TGAAACAAACCTTAGACTTAATTTATGACGACCAACATTTTTTTTAATGAGTGCTATTGAATAAACTGTACGATTAATGATATTTAATTTTAAAAAGACTTGATTGATAGACATTCAGTTAGAAAGGTATTGATTATTGAAATGTCATTTTAATAACTTTTTTGTTTCAGTTCCACGCTGAAGTAGAGGAGGAAACTGCTGCTAGTAAAAAGAAAATAAAAAAGAAAGGTAGGTTTCTGTGGAAAATACATGCCTTAAACGTAACTTTAAGATGGCAATTTAAAAGCGAGTTTTTTTTTTCAGACCCGGAAGAATATGAAACGTATTTGGAATCACGACCATCCAGTATGGAGCAGAACGCCATTTCACTCGTCACTTCTTTTCTCGACAGTACGAAGTAAGAACTACCATGGGTTGAGATCTACTCATATATTTGTTTAAAGCAATTTTGCAGAAAACTACTCATATTCTAATACTGGTCCATAAAAATAACCAGTTGTTTCCAAAATTTGCAAATGCCTGAAGTTTTGCATTGCATGAAAGGTTTTTGATTTTGTGTAGTTAGTTTTCTGCAGTAGGTAAGCTTCTATTCAAATAGAATTATGTGTCCATGGCTTCCATGCATTATAAGGATTCTGATAAGGCCTACACTTCAATATCTAGAGAAATCAATATGATATTTCAGTTAACTTTCTTTGTCAATATCAAGAATAGTCAACTAAATACTTCCAACATTTAACTTTAATGCAATCTAGCGTCCGCGTGCACATAGTCCACGTATCATCAGCTAGCGTGGTCCCCATGCTGGTCAAGGCTCGCAACGACCGCATCGCAGCGGGCCACTCGGGCTGGCGCGGCGGCGTCACCGCGGAGACCTGCCACCACTACCTCACACTCTGCGCCGACGACGTGCCGCGCGGGCGCAGCGAGTACAAATGCGCTCCGCCCATCAGGGATAAGGACAACAAGGTTCTCCCATAGAAAGATCTTCATTCTCCCATTTATATGCCAATAGGAACCTGTTTATTACATGAAGTAATTAACTATTTAATTATTTAAAACTTTTGGATCAATAAAAGGTTGCAGGAAGGCGCTGAATCCTGAAAATCATTGGAGGAAGCTTATGTGCAGCAGTTTTTTTATGTGACAGGAGGCAAACGAACAGACGGATCACCTGATCAGCAGTGGCTGAAATGATGATTCAATTATTGTATTATAAGAATCTCTAAAAGTAATATGTGACTGTTTGTTAGGTGTTTACATACGTGACCCATGTTTATGATTGAAGCAGTAGCTACTCCAAGATCCATGAGCTGATTTCTTTTAATTATATCTCTTCCTCAGGAAAAACTGTGGCAATATTTATTAGAAGACAAACTGGACTTAGTAGTATCTGACCACTCGCCTTGCACCCCTGAACTCAAATGCACTAACAACTTGGAAGCGTGGGGCGGGATTTCATCAGTTCAATTCGGTAAGCTATTTATCAGCTGCTACGTATGGTAATTCCAAAAGTGATTAAATAAGATCCTGTACTGTAAGATGCACGCTAGTGCTGCTTTACTTAATCAACCACATTTTTTGCCATTAGTACTTATCTAGGTAATTTTTGAAAATAGGTGTTGCACTCTTACTAATATTAAAAATGTCAAAGTTTGTCATGGATGTCTGGATGTTAACATGTTTGTTACTCTTTCACGCAAAAACTACTCAACGGGTTTTGATGAAACTTTAGAGAATTATTAAATTGTTTATAACCCAGAATAACATAATATATTCTTTAATTTATGATGATCTGTGACAAACTAAATTTCACGTGGATGAATCCGCGGGTAAAAGCTAGTATTTGAATAAAACCCTCTAATTTCTATCAAAGAAAATATTTTATTAAACTTTGTAACTTGTAGGCCTGTCACTGTTTTGGACGAATGCCGTCGGTCGAGGGCTGGACCTTCAGACGGTCAGCAAGTACTTGTCATCTGGCCCCGCCCACCTGTGCGGCATCCAGGACAGGAAAGGGGTGCTGAAGGAAGGCCTCGACGCTGACCTGGTCTTCTTTGATCCTGACGCTTCGTTCGTCGTTACATCCGACATTATTAGGCATAAAAATAAGGTAACATTTTTGAAATCATAAATCTGCGACTTAATGCTATACCTAGATCAAAGCAAGATAGGTATTATCCAGTATTATCATTTCGACAAGGACTTAAATTAATGATGCTATCTAAACAAAGCAAGGAAGGAAGTTTCTATAAATGTATTGAAAATTGAATCGAATTGATTTCGAAGATATATGTTTCTGCAAAGTATTATTAACACTCTACCTGAATTATTAAAACCGAAGCATTATCTGAAAAACTAAGTAGATATTATCTTATCCTGGTAATTTTAGATTTCAATAACCATTAAATACTCTTCTCTTAAATGATGCAAATGCAACATCATTCCTGTTTGAGTCTCCTTACCAATATTTTCAATACGTAATTAGGAAACATAAAAGATTAGCGTCCTACATATACATTAAAGTAGGAGATTTTAACCTATAGTTAGTATTTATTTTAGTCCTCATAAAGTGCATTGAACTACAATGGATAAGATAGTTTAAATATTTTCTAATTAAATTATTTTTTCTTCTCCTAATAGCTGACACCGTACATTGGCAAGGAACTAAAAGGTGTGGTGAAGAAAACGTATTTACGCGGACAACTGATATATGCCGACGGGGACATTGTTGGCGAACCTAAGGGAACTTTGTTATTGAATAACTTCTAAAATAAATGAATATGGATAAGAATATTATGTGTTTTATTACCAACTTAGGTAGGTACTGATAGACGCCCGCAATTTTAGTATGTACCTAGTTTTTGGAGCTCTCTATCTACAAGCAAGTTCCTTTAACTGCCTTTAAGTCAGCTTATATATTATTGTGAATGTACATTATTGAGGTTTTATTATTTTTTTAAACTTTGGCTTGGATTGAGAACCCTGTCTAACCACCACAAAATTCGAAACGTTAACAAACTACTATAATATGCAAAATATTTTACGAGATAACTCTATCAGTGCGAAAAAGAAAAGAAGCTAAGAGCTAATCAGGAAAAATTTTCATCGCGACAATTTCTCAATTCAGAATCAAGTTGATAGAATATGAACCTTCAGTTCATGTAAATAGTACCTATAAATCTTCATAAACTCCTAGGCAGTTGATAATTACCTCCAATAATACCTTCTTCCGAATCAAAGCAAATAATACCGAACAATATCAAGATAGTTTCTTAAAAAAATGCATAACAAACGACATGTGAGCGATCTTATGGGCATTATTTTTTCAAAATTGTACGAAGTCCTTGAATAATGCAAATACAATGTATGAACATTGTAATACCCGTTCAAGGGATAAATAAAGGTGTGGTAGCACTCGCTGCTTAGGCAATTACCCATCATTATAATGGCTTGAGTTCGATGAATTTAATTTCATGGTGAAATTCCATGACTAAAGTAAACCAAATGTGCGTATAGTTATTTAGTTTTTACATTATTTAAAATGATATCATTAACGGGATTTTTTGCAGATTTCATTTTAATATATGTATTTCAAACTTCGTTTACGTAAATACATGTAGGTAACATAATAATGTTCTACTACTTAATACTAATAAGATTTGCTTAATTTGCGACTAGTGGAAAAATTCCAAGGACTGTGTGCTATTTCTTACTATGACATTTACCTAAGTGCGGAATCCTCACTGCGGATTCATTGGATTCAAAATTGTTCTCTTTTGTTAAGATTACAAAAAGTATTTCACAAATCAATTTATCGAGATTGATGACAACAGTGTTCTCATTTTGTTTTATCAAAATGGGATTGAACACAATCAAGATAATGCACTGCTATCTTCCGAGATTCCAACTTTGTTAGTTGACATTTTGAGAACAGACAAGATTAAACAGGATATCTAGAGGTAAAGCCAGATGATAAAGTAGATAATGCATCCTTTGTTAAAGGGGTCTTTGCCCTCATGAATAGGTACCTACCTAAATGCAAATATTTTCTTGACTCTACGTTGGAGGATGCTTTTTTAATAAATAATTTCCTTTTATTGTTTTTTCAGTGTTTGTAAGTAGGTAATCATCGAAAATAAATAAATAAATATTTTTGGACATTTTACACTGTGCCATCTAGTCCTATGGGTATGGGATAACGGATATAATAAACTTTATACAACTGGTTTTTGTAAGTACATACATATAGATAATAGAATACGCCCAGACCCAATACAAACAAATATTTTCATGGATACAAATTTTGTACCGAGCGCGAATCGAATGCGCGGCCCTCTGGCATAGTAGTCCGCTACGCGAACCACTGCACCAAAAACGGCCGACTAAAATGCGTAGACTATTCATTTTGACATACCTTTAGAAAACACATGCTATGCAATAAACACTATTAATGGCGCATGACTATTTCAGTATTATGTTTTCTACTGTAGCATGACTTCATGGCACTATTGCTGGTTTTATTAAAACAATATCTTTGACTCTAGGTCTAAAATGTACGGAAATGTTATAGTATCAATGACACTATCGACACTATGTGACTAAGAATGTTATTGTTCAGCGGAAGCTGCAAGGTAGGTACACGTTCATAGATTTCATAAGCTGAAAAAAATAATCAGGAATGTTTTCATACGAATATTGTAACATAACATAATAATATAATAATTTGTAAGTGTATTGTGTGTGCTTAGTATAGTTGTTAAGTAGGTACTTAGTTGCTATATGTATTCCAAGCCCAAATTTTAGCAGGTTTTACTTAGACAAATTATCTTTATTTGTATGCAGATTTGCTTCAGTGATCCATAAATAAGTCGCGCCTAACAGCCTACTAAGTTACCAGTGACGTGCGATTAGCCACTTCTTAAACAAATGACTAAATATGTCAGCTGTATTGCGTCGACGACATAAAAGATAATACAATTGGTATTTGATGAAGCGATTCATGATCTTGAGCCGTCTTCAATAATCGTAACAGTTTTTCCCGGCGCGCTGCCTGCTACAAACGCGCGAATTAAAATGTTGTTGTTTAATATTTTGGGGATTTTAACACTTTTGAGTAAATACATTTTTATTTTTCTAATTTGATATTTGGATAACGATACATAGTTAATATTTGTTATATTTTTATACAGCTGCAGGATCATGTCGAATGATCGACATAATGCCAAAACCGAAGACCCTGGGGAAACAATTATTTTTGAGTAGACATGTTGTGACAGAATCAAGTGAATTTGATGGAGGAGTGCTGGTTAACGAAGAAGGAATAATAGATGCGGTGCTCAAGCGAGATATGATCAATTCGATTCTGTCACAGAACCTTAATGAATTGAAGGTTTGTATAGATTTTTTAACAAGCTCGCCACAGTGATGTTTTACAATATGACTTTCCGCAATCCGTAAAGAAAAGTCCTGAAAATGAGATTCAAATGTAAGTACGTCGATGTATTTCAACGTAAGATTGAGATCCCAAGACAAAGGCTCTATTGCGACAATAGACGTACCAAGTTTAAAAATGTTTGGGAAAACCTGTTTTTATAATTCCCTAAAACCTTTACGTAGAATATAATTTAAAAAAATTCAGTATAAAACTGAAAGAAAATTTTACCTAAAGAAGAAGGTATTTTCATGGTTTTCCTTTTCAACTTATCAATTATCCTATGTATTTATTTTTCATCGCATTTAGATAATCGACGGTGGTGAGTTAGCGTTAATGGCCGGCGTGGTGGACTCCCACGTCCATATCAACGAGCCGGGCCGCAACTCCTGGGAGGGGTTCGTGACGGCCACTCAAGCGGCTGCCGTGGGGGGCATCACCACTATCATCGATATGCCGCTGTAAGAACATCATCATCAATCCTTAATTCTTAAGTGTCCATTTGAAAATTACCTGTTATGTGTTACCAATAGGGGTCACTTAAAAAAATGGTATTGAATGTGAAAACGGGCATAAGTCTCCAAATAAGTTCCGCAAAACGCAGCGTGTTACGTCTACCCACAAGGTGAACCTGCTACCTCATAAAGATAGCAGGAAGGCGCTGGATGCAGGCCGCTATCAACCGGGCGATGTGGAAGTCATTGGCCTATGTGAGTAGTGGACGTCCTGTGGCTGAAATGATGATGATGAAATAAGTCTCCACTGCGAAACACAACCCTTTTGGCCTTCACTTCTTACGCTGGTCAGACAGATTGGGAAGTCATAATGTCCTTATTTACGTACTTAATCGCCTTTTAATTTTACAACTAATTCCATTTTCCACCTAAAACGAAAATAATGTAAAAATACGTCTACCAAAACCCTAAAGTTAGGTACTTACATCTGCGCAAAACACATGCACTTTGCATAAGTAAGTGCACCTTATCAGACGAAAATAGGTAGATTGTAATGTAAGTGTTAGTTTCAAATACCTTTGTTTAGTTGATAAATACAGTTTTATTGTTTACAGAAACTCTATACCGCCTACAACTACTCTGGATAATTTGAGGAGTAAGGTTTCTATAGCTCAAGGGGAGGTATTTATTGATGTCGGATTTTGGGGAGGAGTGGTTCCCGGTAATGAAGTAAGTTTTTAAACCAAAGTTATAACTTGTAAGTGAGTTTATAACAATCACAACATTCGTGTCCCATATTATGTGTAAGAGTTTCATGAAAAAACTCTTAGTTTACAGGATCAACGAATAAAAATATGATTTCCTCGTAGCAGCAACTCGTAGCTACGAAACTGCTACGAGGAATTTTCATGATCTATAATGTAAACACATTTTTAATGACTCACGTGTTTATCATTTTATTGGCTCTACGATTAGTTTTATCTACGCCACAAGACAGGGTTTTCAGGTGTTGTTAATAGAGCTGTCTCAGTTTTCGTAGCAACTACGAAAAATATCCCGTAGTAGCCAACATAAAACAAATAAAATTCACTTCTTTCCATGGTTGGGTATTAAAAATGCATTCTGCTTCAATACTTATTCTCTTTCAGATAGAGCTTCATGACCTGATCAGAGCAGGAGTGGTTGGTTTTAAGTGTTTCTTGACTGATAGCGGAGTGTTAGAGTTTCCGGAAGTTACAGCCACGGATTTGAAAAAAGTTTTCACAGTTCTGAATGGAACAGGGACAGTTTTAGCTGTAAGTAGCAAATAAGAAATAAAGCACTTTTATCGTTTCCAACTTAATAACATGGGTTCACAGACATTCAAGTAGTTTATAGTAGTGTAATATTTTCTGGTCATACAATACATACCTACTTACGTTTGTTAATTATTTTGCTTTGTCATTTATACATCGTTAAATAAATGCTATTCAAAGTAGGTAATTAATCATTCTTATCAACATTGACGAATTGGCGATAGGACATGCAGCCAGTCTTGCAATGGTGTCAATCAAGTCATTTAATTAAAGAAGATAATTTTTATTCCAGTTTCACGCGGAGGTGACTAATAATAGTCGGAGTAACAATGTATGCAATAAAGGTGGTTGTTCAGGTAAATATTTAACATGGGTTTTACTTTCACAAATTATTTATTTATTCATTTTGCTAACCCTCAAACATTACTAAAAACACTCCTAATATTTTTCAGACCCAACTCTGTTCACTACGTACATGGCTACACATCCCGAAGATATGGAACTGGAAGCTGTTAAGCTAATCACATCATTTTTACCACATACAGAGTAAGAAACAGAAACTTTCTCTAAGTTTTTATGGTTAGGTACTAAAAGAAAATTGGGGATTTGGTAGTCGGCTTCTTCGGTCTTAATTTTTCCTATGCACAATGGTAATGCGTTTGCGTGTTTGCTATCATTGCATGTACGAGTATTTTACTTGTGTCGTAGGTTTACGCAATCGTCGGTTCATACGCACACACAAAGGAGATCAAGCATTAATTGGTCAAGAATATTTTCCCAAAAAAAATTCTCGAATAATATACCTTAAAATACTAACTATAAGACTGGCATCATTAACGTTCTCGTCACATGTTCGTCTACTAACACTTTTCTTTCTCTGATGCAGCGTCCATGTCCATATAGTCCACGTATCGGCCGAAGGTGTGGTGCCCATACTAGAGCAGGCCAGGGAAGAACGGTTGAAATCTGGTTTCAAGGGCTGGAGGGGAGGTATTACTGCCGAGACCTGTAACCACTACCTGACCCTCAGCTCTGAGCAAATTCCACCTGGGCACTCCGAGTTCAAATGCTCGCCTCCTATCAGAAACAATACAAACAAGGTAGAGTATTGAATTCGTATGGAATCTTCTACAGTTCAAGTACAATCGGACTAAGTTTGAAATGTGATATAACTTTCTGTTGTTTCATAACACAGTTATGTTGGTTAAACCAACTTGGTTCATTTGCCTGTGCCATTGTTAACAAAATACTCAATAAGTTTATTGCTTTCTTAATAGTAGTTAATATGGTACAATTTTTTAAAATCTTTGTACTAGGTATTTCAGTGTTAGGTACCTTACTTACTTACCGAATGTATTAATAATACCTATGACCTATGTATGAATAGTTAGGTATTCGTGAACTTGTAGATCCGGGTAAAAACTTTGTTTATTTTACTTATTATGGAAGGCTTTGTCGATAAATTGACGTAAATATAGCTACCTACTACGTTTTCAATTAGGTCAACTTCATTCATTACATTACACCTAAATAAATATTTTTAGCCTTGGTTTTAGGCTAATTTTGTAATTATAACGTCATCTCTTTAGAAGTTTAATGTGACGTCCAAACTTAAATATGTACTTAAATAGCGAGATAATTACGTAGGTATACTTACTGTCAGAAACAGTTGTTATTTATCCGTAATTTGTAATAAGTATCTAAACGTCATCCTTAAGAACAGGTGTGATGAGAGGCTGATCAGTAAATTTATTTTAACTCTTACTATTTTTGTAATGTTCCCAATATTATTATTAGCTATAATATCGTCCTTACTAATTTTAATTTAAGGATTTGACGATTAGTAGATAAATGATTGTATTTTAATCTTCTCAGAACAATCTAAAACATTTATAACTAGCGATTTTAACAAATTTCAATATTCCTCTTATCGTTTTAGCAAAAACTTTGGGAACATATAAGAAAGGGAAGATTAGATTTAGTGGTGTCCGACCACTCTCCTAGTGTCGAGGATCTCAAAGGAACAAATTTTTTGACTGCATGGGGCGGCATATCATCACTTCAATTTGGTATGTTTTACAACTAGTATGTAGGTACTTACGTGAAATTAGCGTTTTCATTTTCTTCAATATTCATTAATATGTATTTCCTTTCACATTAAAGCTACGTTATTATTACGTTATTACGTTTCATTATTTTTTTATTTGAAGATTGCAAGAACTTTTTTAACGATTTTTTTTATAGGTATCACTTAAAAATGTAAAGTGCGATATTTACTTTTCTGTACCTAAGTACATACATAACACTGCACGAAGAGTGTAACCTTCATTACTTAGTTGTTTTAAGACTGATAATTACTTTTAAATTACCATAAAAGTATTCAATTTAATTCGAGGACAGTCGAATGGATGCGACAATAGACACCATTAATTAATTTCCCAAATCTGTATTTGGATCGGAATCAATTTAAGAGTTTAATTCAAATGAGTTACTAAACTTCGGTTCCAGATCTTCCATTATTTTGGACGGAGGCCAAGGCCCGGGGCTACTCGTTGAGCACAGTGAGCCATTACCTATCTGCCGGGCCTGCCAGGCTCGTAGGCCTCCAAGACCGCAAAGGCGCGCTGCGGCCTGGCCTTGATGCTGACCTCATCTTCTTCGACCCCAACGGCTCTTTCATAGTCACGCCTGAAGTCATTCGTTATAAAAACAAGGTAAGTTATATTGCTAAGTAGAGCCAAGAATTGCACTACATGACAATGGAAAGGAATAAAAAAACAAGGAAAATATTAGGAAATGTTCACAGTACCTACCTAAACTGTAAAAGTAATAGTGTATTCTTAATTGATTTTACCTTCAGTGAGGTAAATAATGCTCAATGTTTCCTCAAGTGTAAAAATGCATTTTGTTACAGATAAGCCCATACATGAACAGAGTTCTAAATGGAATAGTGCATAGAACATACTTGCGCGGGCAACTAATCTACTCTGATGGAGATTTGGTCGGCAAGGAGGCGCGGGGGCAACTTCTGCTTAGAGAGGGTCATTATTAAAAAGAATGTGTTTTGTGTTTTTATGTGTCGTATGTAACTTACTAATATGCCATTTTGTGTTTACTAATAGTTACTGTGAATCAGTATTATTCGTGTTTTGACGGTTTACGGTCGTTGTGGTATTACAAAACCTTTTCACAGAGTCCACGCAGAGACCAAAACTATTCGTTATGATAAGTTCGTGTGCTATAAATTATTTTATAAGTATGTACAAATAATGCGCTTAATAGTTGTTAAACAAATAAGTAAATGGATAAATGTTGTATCACTTTTCTGCACTGTTTTATTTCACTTCCCATTTTGCACCATTCACATTGTAATTCACTATCAAAAAGCAACTCACTGAATACATAAGTGAGGTGGTAATGATTAGCACCCACTAGAAAGTAAGTGTACCGGATAGACTTAAGTTAGGGGGTTTTTATCATGCACTTGGTACACACACATTTGTTTCTAACGTGTGCACTTTGTGTTTGGACACTAAAGTATTCTAAGTACGAGTATACCCCAACAACAATTACAATGGATCTGAATTTGATTCTTGGCCACATCCCTAACTAATATTATCAAAAACGAAAAGGATGATTGACGATAACTGCACCGCATTCAGCGGAATATGACTGATGGGGATGACAAAAACTAAAATTAAATAAACCGCCCACAGAAAAGGCCAGCGTGGGTTGGTTAGCTGCCTGATAGATGGTTTTAAATGATTAAATTTAATGGGTTTCAGGGTTTTTTCTTATTTTGCAGCTGCAAATCAACAGCTTTACATATCTGAGGGAGGGATATTTAGCAACAAACCCTAATTTGAATCTTTCTTATGACGCAATGATTAAATTATGACCATCTGTTGCTAAAGTTAGTTTTAATGACATTTATAACTTGAGAAGCCGATAAACCTAACGCCGTTCTATATCCGTGCGGTCTTCGTCATCATCATCATCATCATCCTTTTCGATAATGTCTAACGGTTTTCACTTCAGTAAAAAGATCTTCTAACATAAAATTAAATATTTATATACCTACCTAATTATATTGTTATTTTTAGCCTATGAATTACCAAAAAATGAAACCAAACATGAAGAGACGATTGTCCTAGAAATGGATCAAATTCACCATCTAGATGAGAATGATACCGCCACAAGAATACTTAAACCACATATTTCAATGCCCAGTATTAGTGAAACTATCGCCCAAATATCAGCCAAAAAATCGAATGCCCAAGAAGATAATGGAAATCACACTAAAGATATTCTAAGCAACATGACAACTTCAATTGATAACAAAATTAAACATGTAGATTATCCGATCATCATGGAGAATTTTGAAGATGGGGCAAATCTAGAGACAAATAAGACAGCAGTTAAAGCAGAGGATCATTTTAATAACAAAGCGACTATTCCAAACAATGGTGCCTTACAGCCTGCAAAACCAATCGAAACAATGGAAGTGGAAACTGCTAAAAACTTTAGAGTAAATAGTGCTACATGTATTACAAGCAATTTGTTAATGTTCTTTATTACTGTTGGAGTTGTTACAAAGTATATTATGTAGGTAAATTATGTACCTATTCATCTTAGTAGACATTGTATGAAACGTAGGCAAGAGTTAAGTATGTAACGTTCTTACACAAGTAATTTTTTTTGTAAATTTTTAAATGTTTTACGAAATTATCAGTAAAAATAAAAAGAAATAAGTAGTAACATCTGCTAATTTTAATAAAATCTTGTAAAAAATGCTAAAATCTAAACTTACTAGTTACCATACTGGCTGGTACATTGTCGTACCTACCGACTTTAGTACATACCTACTACTTAAGAAGCATAGAAATAAATAGCAGAAAATTATCGTACTTATTTATTGTCTGGTAAGTAGGTAATTTACTTATAATAATTTTATTTAGATATTCGAATACCGATACATTTTCAGTTCATGGATTTAAGTGTGCGTGTAGTACCATGGAATTTCTGTGGAGTAATAATAAAGAATGATCACATTTTTATTTCGAAATCTGTTTTTTATAACTCGACTTTTATTTCGCTTGTACCTTTCGCAGGGCTAGGTGATGCAGTTTATCAACGGTTTTTAATAAATTATAATAATTATGTATCATAGCAATTACTTACCTATTAAAAGTTAGGAGGAGTGTGTTTATATTTAGATAGTTAAGTAAGAGGTATGTAAGCATTTAATTTTTCTTTTTTTTTTTTTTTTTGGNTCTTACTTAAATAGATACCTACCTGATTTCTGAAATTATGTCTGATTTGTCCAACATGTGTTTTATGATGGTCACCCTATTGCAACAATCTTAGTCGAAATTTTATCAATTGAACGAATTGCCAATTTGCATTCGGCATTTCATAGAACAGCGAGCGTTTGTAAATTGACGACGCCGTTTGTAAAATGCGGAATCATACAATTTGCCTGCGACATTAGCAACTTGCTGTATCTACTCTAATCCTTAACTGTGGAATGAATGGAGCGGAGAATGAATGAATGACATTGTCTATGATCAGTGTTATTTTAACGTTTTATCCATTTATCGCTCAATTACTGATTCAGTCATTCATTCGTTCGTTCCTGTCATCACTGTCAAAAGCACATGTCAAAATGACAAAAAACATAACCTCGTGTGATTTTTGTTGTGTTGGAGAATTTTGATTATTTTCTCATGAAGATTGCATTGAAAACATTCGAAACTTGTTCCGGTGTATAAATCTCATCATGACTTGTCCTGAAATTGAAGATATTATCCAAAAGTTTAATTCCTTCACCGAAAAACCGGTGAATTTCCTTACGGTACAAAGTGGTATTAAAGATGATGTGAAAAACTTGGTAAAATCTCTTTACGATTACACTAAAAGTGAAGAACCGAATAATAAAAAGAAGAAGAAGACTGCTCTACGTAAGCTCATCGTGCAGGACTTCGATGAAGAGCAAATATGGCAGCAAATCGAACTTCAGAATACTGAATGTTGGGACCAACTTGTATGGGATGTAGCGAACTGTGTATCTGCGAAAAAGGACCTTGTGTGGCCTGTGGAGACCGGTAAGAAGCCTAAGCCGCCTAAAAATGTGCCTATAGAGGATGAAGAAGATTGCGCGCCATCTGATGAACAGGATGATGGTATATCTGAAGCCGAAGGTGAAGATGATATGTCTGAGGCAGAAGGTGATGATGATGAGTCAGAAAAGCCGTCCAAAAAGTCTAAAATCAATAAAAACTCCAATGAAACCTCAAGGAAAAAGTTCAAGCCATCGATTGTCGATGACAAGTTTTTCAAACTGCAAGAAATGGAGAAATTTTTGCTGGATGAAGAGAAAAAGGAAGGCAAAAAGGGGGGCAAAGATGAATCAGATAGTGAAGAGGAATTACCTTTATTTGAGGATATTGATGATGAGGGATCCGGGGAAGAGGATATGATGTACACAGACTTCTTTGGGGAGCAAGAGGGTGATCAAGATAATTTCGATGAAGAATATCAGGATGAAGATGATGTTGAAGATGATTTGGAAATGGAACAGGAACAATTGGAACAAAGGAGTGCAGAAAAAAAAGAAAAATCAAAAAAGAAAGACAAAAGAGTCACTTTTGCTGATGAGTCTTCAGATGATGACTCTGATGATAGCACACAAAATGATCAGATTGTTAAGAATTTACAACCAAACAAAGATGAGAAGAAATCTGACTTTGAATTACGTCAGCAGCGATTACAACAAACAATAACTAGGCTTGAAGAAAAAAATCTAAAAGAAGCTCCATGGCAGTTGAAAGGCGAAGTTGATGCTACGAAACGTCCACAAAACTCTCTATTACAAGAAGTGGTAGATTTTGATCTGACTAGCAGACCAGCCCCAATCATTACGGAGCAAACTACCATCACATTGGAAGACATTATCAAACGCAGAGTCAAGGACAAAGCGTGGGACGACGTTGTCAGAAAAGAGAAGCCTGTTGATGACCAATTATCTTTCCGGAAGAAGGAAATCATCGACCAATCTAAGAGCAAACAAAGCTTGGCCCAAGTGTATGAAGCTGAGTATTTAAAACAAAAGCAAGCATTATCTGGAGATGTAGAAGATGAAAAAGAACCAGAACTTTATACGGAGATTAGAGAGTCTATGGACAAGGTGTTCGCTCAGCTCGATGCATTATGCAACTACCATTACACTCCGAAAGCACCACAGGCTGAAGTCAAAATTGTTAACAACACACCAGCTATCTCTATGGAGGAGGTTGCTCCGATCGCTACAAGCGATGCCAACTTACTAGCACCAGAAGAAGTCAAGAAGAAGCGTAGAGGAGATCTTATGAGCAAGGCGGAAAGAACACAGACAGACAAGAACAGGGAAAGAAGGAAAAAGAAGAAGCTGCAACGTAAGAAGGGAGTATTCCTCCCGTGGCACGCTCGGCTTCACAGATCAGAGCCCCGATTACGGTAATTTTTAACGTCAACAATCCAGACACGCTTCTCGATTCTGCGATACGATTGGTCGTTCAACAGCGTACGTCAGCTGTTTTGACCAATCGTATCGAAGGATAGATGCAGCATGTCGATACCTCTGGGCTCAAAGGTCGTAAAGGACAAAATACCGAAAATGAGTTTTTTATACAGTTGTACTCAGAATTTAATTCTCTATCGATCTGTATATTTAGTTTGTCGAAATTCTCAAAAAAAGTTCCTTTACGACCCATCATATTTGATAAGCTAAACAGAATTTATCGTGAAAATTGGGATGTCAATACCATTTGATTTTTTAGTACAGTTAGCATGGTAGTAAAGAATAAGTAAACACAAATTTTTGGGCGTATAATGTACAATAGTATAATCTTTTGTCCTATACAACCTAAAATTTTCATACCAAAGTCTAAATAATTTGTCCTTTACGCCCTTAGATTATCTAAACAAATATTTAAAAAATCTACAAAGAGAGGATATTAAAACAACTGAGTAGGTAAATTTTATAGACGTTTCTTATTGTATTTAAGTATGTGCGTTTAGAACAAACGAAAAAACTAAAAAATCATCAAAAATATGTAATAAAACTATTTTAGAGTGTAACGTTTATGTGATTTGTACATATAAAATGATGACATCTATCCTCGTCGGGTAAAGTAATGATGTTTTTTTATAATTTCTCATAATATTTGAAGAAACTAGGTATTTGTCCGGTAAAAGATAATTAAAATATGATTTCAGAAAATGAAAACATGCTATAAAATTACTTAACTAACCTAATTAAGTTAGGATAGTCATCATACAAATTTAAAAAATGAAAAAGCTAGTTGAGAAAAAGAAGTAACCTTACTGTAGTACCATAGGGTGTCATTATTACCCGACTGCGCCAGAAGGCGGGTTATGTTTTTTCAAGTGTATGTATGTTTTGTATGCATAAATCACACAAATGCTACGCTTTACAATTGTTTTTAATGATTTCCTAGTAATTTTGACTAACACCCTTGGTCAAAACCACTTTTGAGTTTTTACTGTAACAATTATAATAAATAAGTATAGTTTCTAAAGTTATTTGGATCAGCTAATAAAGTATAACTTGTAGGAAAAATATTTACGCTTAACATGGGAAAATATAGTGTCAGTTGAGACTGTACTGTGTGTAATGTACTAAAAAGCGTGAATGCACTTTTTTTCGAAGTTATATAAATAATTGGCTTTTAAAAACGGTATTATGTAAGAGTAAAGTAAGTAGACATACTTCACTGAAATGTAAAACTTCCTACTTGTAATCTCACTTACCTAACCTTTCTACTTTTGTACAAAGTACAATGACATAATTCAAGCTATTATGAATAACAATGTTTAATCAATTTAGAATTTAGAATAATTATGGTTTGCTTTTCGTTTGTCCTTAATAATTCTATCCTATCTGCATTATCATAATGTCAACTGGTTGACAGACTGCCCTATGGAATTAAGTCGGCCATTTGTAGTTTTTCGAAACAACAATAATGATTAAATAAATAAATTAAATTGGTTTCGACTTTTCGTATAAAGCAGACATCATTATGAAGTTTTATTTGAAAACGTCATAACATTTATTTTCTAAATTCGACTCTTATGATATATCGGAAATGGTATCTTCTAGTTCGAAGATATCAAAACTTCTGCTTCCTTAAATAATAGTTTCATAAATAGTGTGCATAAAATTACGAAGCCACGAAAAATCATTTTATTTAATTTAAAATACCACAATTCATTAAAAATATGTGAAGAAATGGTATATTACATATCAAATACCATAAAACATTAAATATTTAAGCTAAATTATCAATTTACCCTTGCATAATACCTTACCTGGGAGTTCCGTTACGACCTATGAAAACCTATAAAACTATGTAAATTGTCATTTATTACCTTGATTTTGTAGTTTTGTAAAATAAAAATAGACTTACGCCCTGAGTAACTTGCCTAGGACGAATATTTGAGGGGCGTAAAGGTCTTTTAATTGTAATTTGGAGGGCGTAAAGGAAATCTATCTCAGTAAATACAGCCCTAGTCCAGTTTTTCAATACCTCCTCGGAAAATGCTGTGAATTCTAAGCACTTTCTTCTTAAGTCATATTTTAATAGCTCAAAAAACAAAAAAGTTACTGTCGAATAAAAAAATAAAAAATCGTTTTTTGCTTCTCCTGAAAAGTCGTACTTTGTCCTTTACGACCTTTGAGCCCAGAGGTATCGATGTGTCAAAAATTGTATGAAGCCNGAGGAAAAAGAAGAAGCTGCAACGTAAGAAGGGAGGAATAACGAAAGTAACGGACAACAGAAACACAAAGAAGGGTGTCGAAGCTAGTGATAAGTTGTTAAAAACATCGAAAGCGTTCTTCCAACAGCTTAACGATGATTCGACTAGCCTAATTAAATCTAAGAATAAGCGTGCTGTTAAAAATAAAGGACAATAAATGGTATATTTATTAAATAGTTTTTTATTTAACTCTCTTTAAATTCACATTTTGAAATAATTAATTACTTCAAATAAATAACATTACTAATGTGCCACTGCTAGAAAACTTTAATAGAAGTAAATAAACAAAAATATATTGATCTTACTGATCTTTAAAAAAAATGGTTACCTAGCTAAGTAAGTGCTAAGTTTCTTACTGAACTCAATTACATAGTCTATTTCATACATAATATTACACTGTCCTGAACACCACCTCAGCTTTAAAGCATTAATTCTAATAAGTATAGGTTTCAAACAAGTATCTTGTGTATTACACAATCCACAAAAATGGCCCAGTTAAGAAGAGAAGCGAATTAAAAGCGGTCCCTGTCCCTGTGAGCTTACGCGATTCCCTAGAATCGGCGACGCACACTGATATCTAAAGTAAGTAAACCATAATACCATATTTTAACATAGGTAGATTCGAGCTAATTTTGGATGGAAGACAACGATCGTGACTTCGTGAGTCAATTATTTTGTACTGGATTTTTCGGATGAAAAAAAGAAGACGAACTTTTTAGCTCTCCTTGACTTTGAATTCTGCATTAGGCTATGTAGGTTTTAGGTTTTGATTCTGTTTTGTATACTTGCGCGTGCCGTATGAATTGCTGATAATAGGTAATGACGTAACAATGCGTTTTCCGCAATCAGCGGGTAGGTAACTACAACAATTACAGAAAAAGGTGTCCTCCACAGTGTCCTCTCATATCGTCTAACCGAGCCGCGTCAGTGTGCGTCGTCCACGGAATGGCCTCCGCAAATTGGCGGCGTCGGTAACGCGAGCGCACTCATTAGCGAAAAACGCCGCGATATGGTGCGCGACGAATCGCAATGGCCAGGAGTTACGAAAATAGGAGAGGCCCTTGAACGACTAAATATTATCTTCGTAAGGATTTAGGTTTTGTGCAGCTCTCCTCTCCATGGGTTGTCTGGAAGAGATCACTTCATAAAGATAAGATCGCCAATACTTCTATTATTATTATTAAGACACTATAAAAGACTGCAAAAGTCTGTAAGTTTTTGTGTCTTCACTTTTTCCTTTTTGTTTACGTTTGTCGTTTTAGGTGGTCTGGAAGAGATCGCTATAAAGCGGATAAGACCACCTAAATTATGCCGTCTTTTTTGTGTATTTCGTTTCTTTTCCTGTCTGTGTGGTGTACAGTCAAGTGTTTTCTATCTTCGTCTTTTTAGTAAACTTATTTGTTATTATGCTTCATCCCTCGTTCTTGATGAAAGAGGTTCTCATTATGTCTTGGCCACCATTACATCAAGTTTCCATAGTACTACTTACCTAGAACCCTAGAACCTAAGAGTGGGGACAAGAGTTTTTTTTTTTTTTTTTTTTTTTTTTTTTTTTTTTCTTGGCTTTCGCGGTTTGCGTTTAGCCACAACGGTGTGGGAGAAAAGGTTAGGAAACGTTTAGGAAAAGAAAAAACCGGGGTGGAGTACCTACAGAAAAGGATGAGGATCAGGTTGGGAGGTGAGAAATTAAATAATAATAATAAAATTAAAATATATAAAGGAATTAAGGCATGTTAATATAATATAATAAGTTTGCATTTAAATACTTGAGAGATAAATTAAAGTTTAATATTATTTGTAACTAGCTGACCCGGCGAACTTCGTACCGCCTTAGCGTAGAGATTTTCTTAATATTTTTTTCCGTAAGAACCATCCTTGGACTTCCACAAACATTTAAAAAAAAGAATTATCGAAATCGGTTCAGCCGTTCACACGTGATGCCGTGACAACGCGAAACGGGTTTCATTTTTATATATATATAGNTTTTTGGCTTTCGCGGTTTGCGTTTAGCCACAACGGTGTGGGAGAAAAGGTTAGGAAACGTTTAGGTAAAAAACAAACCGGGGTGGAGTACAAAAAGGGATGAGGATCAGGTTGGGAGGTGAGAAATTAAATAATATAATAAAATTATTAAAATATATGTATAGAGGAAAGTAAGGCATGTTAATATAATATTAATATTATAAGTTAATTAAAGTTTAATATTATTTGTAATCAAATATTCAGAAATACATTTATAAATATCAAAGTCATTTAAACCAAGCAGGCAAGATATAGAAGTGGGGAGAGGGACACGGAGGGCTAGGAGGGATGACAAAAAGAAGGAGCGATCGTGAATCTGGCAAGCAAAGAAAATGTGATTCAAATCACCTGACTCCGTGCCACAGTCACACACATCATTTTCGATTATATTAAGCCTTGCTAAATGAGCTGGGGAACATACGTGCCCCAGTCTCATACGGATAATGCTTGAAACAGAAAATTTATCAAGATCTGTTTTGAAAAACCAAGGTTTTGTCGGTATACATGGTTGGATCAGTTTATAAGCTTTACCTTTACTTTGACTACTGATGTTCCACTCCTCATGCCATTTTTCACGCATATAAACTTTAGGTAGTGCAATTAAATCATGCACATAATTTTTGTAGGGAAAAATGTCACCAACAGTCACAGCATTATTAGCTAAAGAATCAGCTTTCTCATTACCAAAAATATTACAATGTCCAGGAATCCAGGCAAAATTTACTACAATATCTAACAATGAGCAAGTAAGTAACAGTTTTCTACAATCAATAATAATAGGGTAAGAAGAATTTGATTTGAACGGGAACTTAACTAATGCTTGTAATGCACTTTTAGAATCACTAAATATTACAGCTTTTTTAAGTTTCATAAGTAAAATATACTCCAACGATTTGAAAATGCCAAAACATTCTCCTGTGAAAACAGATGATTCAGGTGGCAGTTTAATCATCTGGTTAATTTTATATTGGGTGTGGTACACACCTACACCAACATGTCCACTGTTCGAATGTTTTGAGGCATCACAATATAAATGATGCCAACCGTCCCACTCATTGTCTAAAATCATATTAAATTTTATATTTGCATGAATATCGGACTTACAAATATCTATATCAAATTTAACATTAGGAGAAAGGATTAAAGCATCATAATTTGCACAGAATACAGGTAAATACATAGACTTGTGAGTAGGAGCTTGTAAAGAAAGGAGTTTTCGGAAACTAATGACTAGACATGGTGGTGTTTTATGAGACCAGTATGGAGAGTTTTGTACTTGTTCAGACAACGCTTCTAATTTTGAAAACAAAGGATGGTTTGATAACTGAAAAGCCCGAAATAAGAATTTATCACAGAGAAATTGACGGCGAAGTGTTAAAGGCGGGTCAGAACATTCAACTTGCAGTGCGTTATTCGGGCTAGATTTCATTGCCCCGACTACTATTCTGAGTGCTTTTGTCTGGATGATATCAAGCTTTCTAATTCCTACCATGCTACAGGGTTCTAAAAATTGAGTGCCATAATCAAGAGAGCTCCTAATTAAGGCATTATAAATAAGTTTTAAATTAAATGGGTGGGCACCCCACCATACTCCAGCTAAACATCTTAATATATTAAGTGTACGCTCACATTTAGCACTAATATTATACAAATGTGACATTCCAGTAAGTTTCGAATCTAAAGTTATACCTAAGAACTTGGCCTCATTATTAACCGGAATACTTAAATTGTTATACTCAACTAATACTGGAGGAGGGCGACGCATTCGGGAAAAAAGTACAACTGAGCTTTTTGCAACAGAAAGACTTAAGCCGTTTCTATCCAGCCATGACTTAAGCAAGTGTAAAGAAGAGTTAAGTGATGAACATAATTTTGCAACGCTTTTATCAGAAAAGTAAAGGAGAAGGTCATCTGCATATTGCAAAATACTAACATTATTATTAATAGAGCATTCTAAATCCGACGAGTATATATTGANCAGGCAAATACATAGATTTGTGAGTAGGTGCTTGTAAAGAAAGGAGTTTTCGGAAACTAATGACTAGACATGGTGGAGTTTTATGAGACCAATATGGAGAATTTTGTACTTGTTCAGACAATGCTTCTAATTTTGAAAACAAAGGATGGTTTGATAACTGAAAAGCTCGAAATAAGAATTTATCACAGAGAAATTGACGACGAAGTGTTAAAGGCGGGTCAGAACATTCAACTTGCAGTGCGTTATTCGGGCTAGATTTCATTGCCCCAACTACTATTCTGAGTGCTTTTGTCTGGATGACATCAAGCTTTCTAATTCCTACCATGCTACAGGGTTCTAAAAATTGAGTGCCATAGTCAAGAGAGCTCCTAATTAAGGCATTATAAATAAGTTTTAAATTGAATGGGTGGGCACCCCACCATACTCCAGCTAAACATCTTAAAATATTAAGTGTACGCTCACATTTAGCACTAATATTATACAAATGTGACATTCCAGTAAGTTTCGAATCTAAAGTTATACCTAAGAACTTGGCCTCATTATTAACCGGAATACTTAAATTGTTATACTCAACTAATACTGGAGGAGGGCGACGCATTCGGGAAAAAAGTACAACTGAGCTTTTTGCAACAGAAAGACTTAAGCCGTTTCTATCCAGCCATGACTTAAGCAAGTGTAAAGAAGAGTTAAGTGATGAACATAATTTTGCAACGCTTTTATCAGAAAAGTAAAGGAGAAGGTCATCTGCATATTGCAAAATACTAACATTATTATTAATAGAGCATTCTAAATCCGACGAGTATATATTGAAAAGTAGTGGGCTCAAAACAGACCCTTGAGGTAATCCATTCCATAAAATTCTAGATTTTGTAGAATCGTCACATGCAATATTAATACTACGTCCAACTAAAATATTTATAATGAAATTTATTAAAATACAAGGAACATTTAATTTTATTAATTTGTCTCTGAGGATTGATAACACTACGTTATCATAGGCGGCTGATATATCTAGGAATGCTGCAAGAAGGTGTTCATTATTTGAGAAGGCTAGTCTGATGTCGGTTATAAAAATGGCAATACTGTCAGCAGTGCTCCTACCTTTTCTGAAGCCAAACTGGAAATTACTCAGTAGACCTTTACTTTCTACAAACCATTCAAGTCTATTTTTAATAAGGTGCTCAGCTAATTTTAAAAGAACAGAGGATAATGCTATTGGGCGATAAGAGTCAGCGTTGGATGGAGATTTATTTGGTTTTAAGATAGGAATAATTTCTTGAATTTTCCAATGAGAAGGAATGTTTCCGGACTGCATTATAAAATTTATGAGAGAAAGATAATAAGTTAAAGTTGAATCATTTAAATTGACCAGAAAAGAATAAGGAATTCCATCAGTGCCAGGTGCAGAATCTTTCACATATGAAAGAATACCTTTCAGCTCTGAAAGACTGAAAGGATTGCCTAATTCAGATTGATCTGAATTAGTAGAAAACTGTTCATTTGGAATTAAAAGATCTTGGGGGGCAAAAGAAGGGGCAAGACTATCTAAAAATTGTTCAATTAGTGGTTCATGAAGGAGCTTGGGTGTAGGTGGTTTATATGCTGAACGAAAACGCCTTATATTGGTCCAAACTGCAGATGGCGAAGTATCAGGTGAAATGGAACGACAAAAAGCTCTCCAACTTTCCCACTTTTTCTGTTTAAATAGTTTTCTAGTACTATTAATTACGTTCGATAAATTATCAAAATTTTCGGCTGTAGAATAAGAAGAATATAATTTTTCGGCTTCTTTTCTCTTTTTAATAGCGGCCGTACATTCGCTATCCCACCAAGGGGGAGGGGGTAATTTACTTCTATTACTACTTTTTACAGGAAAAACTTCATCTGCTGCTTCTATTAAAACAGATGCTAGTGCTTCAGCACAATAGGTATAATTATCATTTTGAACTACAGGCAGTGATTGAATTTTCAGTTCTACTTTTTCTTTATAACGGTTCCAGTCAACATCTTGAGTTTTATATTTGAATCGTGGAGGGCGTCTAGTATTAATTTTATTAATATCAGGAAAAGAAAAGACAATTGGAAAATGATCACTCCCATAGGTGGAAGGGAGGGTGGACCAGGCTAAAGAGGAAGCAAGATTTGGGCTACATATAGTTAAATCAGGAGCACTCACACCTTCGTGCGGCTGGGTACGACGAGTAGCATTGCCAGTATTAAGAATACACAAGTTATTATTATCCAGAAAATCTACAATTCTATTGCCATAGTAATTGGAATTGCTACTGCCCCATGACTGGTGTTGAGCATTAAAATCGCCCATGATAATAATAGGCCTAGATATGTTGCTAAGAATTTGTTCTACCTCATCATATATAGCAGTTGACGGGTGAGGAATATAAACAGACACAAAACTAGTGTTATTTATAGAAACAGCTATTATGGAAAAATCATTATTGTGTGGTGGGAGAGGAATATATGTAAATGGAATAGAGTGATGGACTAACAAAGCTACTCCACCATAATTATCATATCTATCTTCTCTGGCACAAGAGAAACCAGAAATTTTAAAATTAGAATCTGGACGGAGCCAGGTTTCTTGTAAGGCAATTAAAAAGGGATCAAATTCATTAATTAAATGTAATATATCACTTTTTTTACTGTTAATGCTTCGACAGTTCCATTGAACTGCTAGGGAGAACTTTACCATCAGCAATAGAACTAAGGTCAACTACGAGATCATTATTTTGAAGGGCAACGTGGGACGGTACTAAATTAGATTGATTTAAAGAGGTAATTAGAGTAATAATTAATTCTTTAATTGACATGTTTGTTAAGGTAATTGAATTGTCATTTTTACCTAAAATATTTTGGCTTGGGCCAAACGGAGTATTATAATCATTGGTCATATTTTGATGTTGTTCTCGGTCATAACTTTTACCTGGGTTGAACGGAGATCTAGGTTTCTTTAAAACAGTTTTTTTGTAAGAATCCCAGCCTGGGTTATTATTAGGAACATATTTTAGTTTTGAGTTCTGGGGAAGATTTCCAGAAGTTTGAGAATGAGATTGAGTCGAGCTACCAGATCTTACAACATCTGCAAAAGATTTACTAATTGGAGGATGCAGTTTTAAAGCCTCAGCATAAGTAATGCAACTTTTGGCCATTGTCTCCTTAATATTTTTTTGACGTGTGTATTCAGGGCATTTTCTACTAGTAGCCTGATGGGGACCTGAGCACAAGAAACATAATACATTTTCCTCCTCAACATTACAGGTATCACCGGTGTGGCCAAGACCACATTTATAACATCTTGGAAGGGACCTACACTGACTCTTCACATGACCATAGCGACAACATTGGTAACATTGGATTGTTGGGTAAATGTAAAGATCAACCGGCAAAGAGTTGTAACAAACAAAGATTCTTTTAGGAAGAACCTGACCATCAAATGTTAACACAACTGTCTCAATGGGGACAAATTCAGACTTTCCATTAACAAAATTCTTCTTTTTCAACCTTCTAATTTTTAAGATTCTACCACACCCCATTGGTACAGTTATATTATTAAGGATGTCCTCATCATTCCACTCTGTAGGAACTCCTCTGACCACTCCCATCCGTGTGATATTGAATGTTGGAATAAAAGTCTTGTAATTGTTAGTTTTAAGCAGGTCATTATTAAGGAATGAATTGGCATCTTCAAAACGAGAGAAAGCAACAGAAATCCGATTTCTGCCTATTTTTTTCAGACTACCATCAACAATACCTCTTATAGACTTTCGTTTTAGAAAATGACCCACAGTCACGGGGTGCAGAGTACAGTTTTCATTTGGCATAGATTGTTCTTTCTGTATATGAACAACAAAGGGCGCAACATCAGTAGCCTCATAAAAGCATCTACTTACCGAATTAGGTGCAGTAGGGGTCGAATCAGATGTGTGGGACTGAGTAGCAACAGGAGTTGATGGAGTAACAAAAGGAATCTCATTTTCAACAACTTTTTTAGCGCTATTTACGTTCTCTGTGTTTGCACAACAACAATCAGAATCATTAGGTACCTGGCTCAATGTAGAAGATTTGTTATGACGACTTTTACGCTTTTTATTACAATGCTTGCAAACTTTACGTACAACTACTCTCTTTCTTTTAGAAGGGTTAGAAGCACTTTCAGATCCGTCCGTGTCCATTACAGAACCTTCCGTATCCATACCTGACTGGCTACATGTTGAAATAGTAACAAAATTTGACGCCTGGGGGGTTGTCCCGCCAGGATCGTCCGGCTCGTTCATCACGAGAAAAAGCAATTAAAACTCACCCAGAACTGCAGAAGTGAATGCTACACTACAATAAAATAATAAATATAACTTAGAATACTACTTAATTATGCACTAAACCACCAATCTGATCCTTTTTCTAATTTAAAAATTTTTAGCAAGAAAAATGACGTCCACCAAGTACGACGTTTCCCGCGCTTTAACAATAGCCGTTTAAACTTTAATTAAATGACAGACAGCCAGCTTGAGCTTGACACTTTGACAGTGACAGTGACAGACGAGACGAGTGCAGATGACATGTTTTTTTTCATAGAAAAGTTTTACGGCTTTGGATAAATATCCATACGGCGTGCAAATGAGAGCTGAAGATAGTGATGCTGATGATTCTGAACTTGAGCTCACAAATTGTGCCATTGAGCTCATTTTTATTACAAAACACCTCAATTTAACGGGTGAGGTTAATCCAGTAACAATCTTACAATAGATGACGGAGAATAGACCATTAGACGAATATAAATAAATCACCACCCCTGTGTGTTAATTTTATATGAATAAATAAATAAATTCGTTTTCACATAATTTTTTGGCATAGAAAGAAAATTTTTAAATAAGCATAACAACCATTAACTCTATGATAACAACTGATATCAACAAACTGAGCCCCGATTACGGTATTTTTTAACGTCAACAATCCAGACACGCTTCTCGATTCTGCGATACGATTGGTCGTTCAACAGCGTACGTCAGCTGTTTTGACCAATCGTATTTCAGAATCAGAAACGCGTCTGGATTGTAGACGTTAAAAGTTACCGTAATCGGGGCTCTGAATGGTAAACAAACATATAAGAGGTCGTCTCCATAAAAAGCTGTGCACTCGAAGCTCTGTAAATTTTGATTGAAACGTTCAACAGTTCATACGCCGCCATTTTGATGGCGTCTGCTTGTGAAATTTTTACAGCATTGCACTTTCTTGTTCTTGAACGAAAATTACATAGGCGGTTTATTTGACATGACAATTTAGTTTTAAAATTGAAAAGTTGAACAAGTTTCGTTCGGTCTAGTGTACGATTTATAAAAATGTTGGAAAAGTACGAAGTAAATTTATTAGTCTCAAATGTGTTGAACGAATGCCGTTTTAGCCACTGCAGGTTATGCCTAAGAGGTATAGAAAAAGAGTACGTTACACTAAAAGATTTTGTCGAGATGGACTTTCTAACCGACGATGCTCAGCTTCTTCCTGAATTCTTTGGCCAGGTGCTTTCTTCGGAGAGTAAGGTTAGTTGTAGCAAAGGTACTAGAATCTTAGTCTATTAACACCATAATAGAATATACTAATGCTTTGGTTAATTATTACAGGCTGAAGGAAAGATCGCTGGCGTTGACGCTGTGTGCTTGAGCTGTGTTGAAAATATGCTTGAAATGATGACTTTCATTAAAATGTGTAAAAGTTCTAATGACCTGCTACACAACGTTTTTAATGGATTAACAGAAGCATTAAATGTTGAACTTGATACCACTAATAATAAAGCAGTCTACGTCTTTGTGGAAGAGCATGAATCTAAACTTCATCCAGTTAAAAAAGACAATACAGATAATGAGAATTTTAATGCACTGAAACTGAGACATGAGAGGAAAACAAAACAATACGAATGTACAAAATGTGACATGTTGTTGGACAACCTGCTTGAAATAAAAGCTCACAACTTTAGTTTTCATTATGAAATTACCTGTGACGTTTGTTATGAGAGTTTTTCAAATGAGTCGGATTTGGAAAATCATTCAGTTATGGCACACCGATACGGATGCGACGAATGCGGTATTCGTATGGACACTGACACGGAGCTGTTCAGTCACATCAGAAAAAACCACAAAGTTTATGTGTGCAAAGACTGTGGAGTTTCCTGTGAAGGCGTTGACAAGCTGCAGATACATGAACGGAGGCATCTTTTTTCCAAAAAAAGCAAATGCCCTAAATGTGGTAAACTATACACTTCAAAGGATTTCTATGAAAGGCATGTGAAATTATGTTTGGAGGACAAGTTGGACCCGCATCCGTTTAGAACTGAAATGGTAAAAACATATATTTGTGACCTGTGCGGGAAGGGCTACAGTACCCCCGGCGGGCTCCGGGTCCACGAGAGGTTCACGCACGGCAACGCCAAACCACATGAATGTGAATATTGCGGGAAGCAGTTCACCGCTCCCAGTTACTTGAAGACCCACATGTTAAAACATACAGGAGAGAAGAATTTTAAGTGTACAATATGTAACAGAAGATTTGTGTCTAAAGAAGCCTTATTGTATCATACCAGAAGACACACTGGCGAGAAGCCGTATTCTTGCAAGTATTGCAACGAGAGGTTCGTTAATGCGTCTGCTAGAGCGGAACATGTGAAATTTAAACACGTGGGTCCAAAACTGTCCTGCGAGATCTGTTCCCGCAAGTTCGTGACGGCTTCCTTCTTGAAGCTGCACATGAACCGGCACAGCGACCCCACCAGTAAGATGTACGTGTCGCGGACGCTGCCGCCCAACATGCCGGGCGATGAAAATAAAAAGATTAGATTTGCGATCCTGAAATAACATAGGATCTCAATCAAACTTGTGAATCTAGTTTGAAAAATAATATGCCATAATAGACTGAAATAGAAGCAATGAATTGAATGATTTGTTTAATCTGGAAATCATATCTTTCATAGAATCATAATCAAATTAGTTACTGAAATAGTGCCTGATTAGAGACTGAGAAAGCAGCAATAAGTTGAAGGATTTGTTTAATCCGAAATCTAGGTTTTTATTGTATTTGTGTTTCAATAATGAAATTACTTAATGTCTTTATACACATACACTGTAAATTATTTTTTATAAAGTACCTACATAATGCACAAATTGTGTTTCATTGAAAAGTTAGGGCTATACCACATAATTCATATTTTAGCCTTATATCTGTGTTTATATCCTTCTTCTGTCCATTATAGTGCATCAATAATAGTATAGTTAATTAGTGACACTGTTCAGATTCAAAATGATGTTCGAATAATAATGGAGACATTATTTTCGCAACTTTTTATTATAAGACAACTTAGATCAAGCAGTTAAATTAATAACAAAATAATACAACGAATATGTACATCTACCAACACAATTGTAAACGTTATTACATCAACACAATATGAATACATAAAAATGTTTTCTATTTCATGTAATAATAGGGTAGTTTGACACCATTAGGTAAACACTAAAATAACATTTATCAAAATAATACCTCCTACTATCAGATTTGATCTATACAGAAATTTCTTAAAAATACTGGCTTGTAAAACAAGCAATGTAAGATTTCTCTACCACACATCGTCATTGAAATACCTGTATACGTTTTTTTAACTCTTATTATTAGTTAGTGTATTTGAGAGACGTTTGGTGGTGCCAATACCCTATTTAGATCTAAGAATTGTCATTTCAAAGCAAAAAAGAAAAGGAAAGAATTCACAAACATAATTATTGTAAGAAATAAAACACTAAATGCATCAAACACCTCATAAAATCTGCCCGGGGTACTCCCGAGAAAAATACGAAATCAACAAGCAACCATATCTTAGAGAAGTTACCCACATTTTAACATTAACTTTTTACATATTTGGTAAACTACTATTAGCTGACTAAAGTAATTAATTACCTTCTTTATACATAGCGTTAATCTACTGAGTAGCGACAAAAACCGAAGGAACTACTTAGCGTATTTACATACAAGTTGCTAATTTTCAAGCTCCGTATAAGCGCCATCTAGTGCTCCCGTAACCGCACTAGATTAAAAACAAATTAATCTTTGTTTAGGCAGAAGAATTGAATGAAAAGAGTTTATATAGCCTGACCAGGAACATAAAAACCCTCGCCATGTTGCGGAAAATTAATGGTACTAATTTCTTTTAATGGCAACAGTAACTGAAAACTTCATTGATAAGTCACCTTGCATGTCAGTCTATTGCTGTCAAAGTGTAAACAAACTTTATTTTAAATGTGCGCAATTGATTTTGTGAATTAAATTGCTAAAATCTTTTTATAGTCGTGAAAGAAAAGTGGTTCACAATGTGTTAAAGTATTTGTCGAAGAGAAATACTATGGGTTCGGACAATATTTTCATTGAATAATGTTTCCGACAAAGGTTGTCAAATTGACTGACATGTTTATCGTATAGTACAGTCAACTATGAAAATTAGCTGTGGTTTGTTTCAACTACCTATTTTAAAGTTTTTTGTCACTTTGTAAGTATTGAATTTTATGGAATTGGGAAAGAAGTACCGAGTTTGAAGCGTTCATGAGCAGACATTGTAGTTGAATATTCAAGTTCAGAATTTGATTATTGATGAATAATAATAAAATCCTACTTGCTCGATTGATGGTTTCATTTAATTTATTTAAACCAGTTACCTATAATATAATATGTTTTTGTTAATTTATGAAAATATTAAATTAGCCTATAATCCTGAATCCTGATACATAAAGTTAGCCTATTAATTTAATACAGGTACGACTGTACCCAGTGTTGCACTATCAAATGCAATTGAAGCGCCTCTATGCCAGGGTTTTTATGTTCCTGGTCAGGCTATACAAACACATACAGGGTGACAATTTAGCAATTCAGTGTAGGAACAATAATTTTCAACACATTCAACAGTTCATGTACCTAACCATTTTTACGTGAACCTGCTTATGTTAAATATAAAGTAATCATTTGAGTACATAATTCATATGACTACGATTACTTATTTGAAAAATAAGTAATTTTTATTTAAAAACAATTACATACACTAGATTAGTATTTTATGCGAATCGATACTCCTTAATACCTTATAGACGGTATTTTTTAATTAAATGAGTTTTAAATACAACACTATACAAGTACTAAGTAACTAGTGCTTCACTTTCCCTAATAAATCGATTTTGAATTTCACACAGGTAAATTTATAAATAAGTTAACTGTATTAAATGTATGTATGCTATGCATTTTAAGTTATATTAAACTAAAGTGACTAAATTATACAGGCTGGCATATTCTGGATACATAACAGCTAGGTTTTAGAGCAGGATTTAATAAATGGACAATTGTTAGTTTTAACAATATCTGTATTGGATGTGGAATCTTTTATGAATGTGAACTAAAAACATAAACAATACACTATCATTTTTAATGTGACATCATAATTATGTTGAATTTTAATTCAGACAAATTATTTGCCATTTTTTAATGCAAACCCTGCTATAAAACCATCTGCTAATATGAGATTATATAAAATACAATTTGATTTCATCGAGCCACCCTGTATAACATAACTGCCCTATTCACAAACAAAACAGGTCGTTCCTAAGTGCTACTTCAGAAATGAATGAGTGACCGAAACCATCGTTCATTCATTCGTTCGTTCACTCAGCGAAACGCTGTACAATTTACATTTGTGTTGGCGAGTGCACGCGACCAACTAATCACCAATCTACTTCTCCTTGTTCAATGCTTCGATGAACTCTTCTAATCGTTCTTGCACTTGTCTCACTCGTTCTGTTGGCAAACGAAAGAGATGAAACATAACATCAGGTGATGGTCTAAAGTCCGGTCGCCGAGCACTATAATTACACAGCAATATAATTACGCGCGAGCGATAAGGAAGGATAGCTTGGGGTCATTGGACGAAATTCTATCTGCTCGGCGACAGGAGTTTAAATCCTCATAATTCACAGCGTCAATAGAGTTAAAAGTCGTTCTTATATGTTAAGGAATACATGAGAGTGAACTTCTAGTGTGCTGTTAACAGCACTTAAGTACTCACTTCCAAAAATAATATCCTCTTATGTATGAACTAGATCCAATACTAGTATAATAGTGATGTAATGAAATGTGTATACTCACTTAGTTCTTCTGCAAGTTCTACACGTCTGCCCGAGAGCAATTTCTTCTTTAATTCAGGTTCTGATGCCATCTGAAAAATTATAAAAACGTTACATAATTTTGAAGTCATTTATTAAAAATAAAAAACATTGAGGTATGAGGGTATTGGGTAGTTTTGCTATCACTTGCTGTCAAAACAGAAATAATTATTCCGTTCATCATCTCCTCTTTTTCGAGGTTGCCGGGGCCTCTATGGCTCCTGAGTGGGAGGCTTACATCGTCTAAGACCTCTCTGAGCTCGCAATCAAGTCGCGGAACTCGGGGTCTCTATAGTTCCTCAGTGGAAGGGGAAGACTTACCTCGTCTAAGACCTCTAACCGGGGCCTCTATGGCTCCTGAGTGGGAGGCTTACCTCGTCTAAGACCTTGCTGGGGCCTCTATGGCTCCTGAGTGGGAGGCTTACCTCGTCTAAGACCTCTTACCGGGGCCTCTATGGCTCCGAGTGGGCTTACCTCGTCCAAGACCTCCCTGAGCTCGCGGTCGAGGCGCGCGGCCTCGCGGTTGCCGATGCCTCTATGGCTCCTGGGTGGGAGGCTTACCTCGTCTAAGACCTTGCCGGGGCCTCTAAGGCTCCTCAGTTGAGGCTTACCTCGTCTAAGACCTCTTTCGCGGTTGCCTGGGCCTCTATGGCTCCTCAGTGAAAGGCTTACCTCGTCTAAGACCTCTTTCGCGGTTGCCTGGGCCTCTATGGCTCCTCAGTGAAAGGCTTACCTCGTCTAAGACCTCTTTCGCGGTTGCCTGGGCCTCTATGGCTCCTCAGTGAAAGGCTTACCTCGTCTAAGACCTCTTTCGCGGTTGCCTGGGCCTCTATGGCTCCTCAGTGAAAGGCTTACCTCGTCTAAGACCTCTTTCGCGGTTGCCTGGGCCTCTATGGCTCCTCAGTGAAAGGCTTACCTCGTCTAAGACCTCTTTCGCGGTTGCCTGGGCCTCTATGGCTCCTCAGTGAAAGGCTTACCTCGTCTAAGACCTCTTTCGCGGTTGCCTGGGCCTCTATGGCTCCTCAGTGAAAGGCTTACCTCGTCTAAGACCTCTTTCGCGGTTGCCTGGGCCTCTATGGCTCCTCAGTGAAAGGCTTACCTCGTCTAAGACCTCTTTCGCGGTTGCCTGGGCCTCTATGGCTCCTCAGTGAAAGGCTTACCTCGTCTAAGACCTCTTTCGCGGTTGCCTGGGCCTCTATGGCTCCTCAGTGAAAGGCTTACCTCGTCTAAGACCTCTTTCGCGGTTGCCTGGGCCTCTATGGCTCCTCAGTGAAAGGCTTACCTCGTCTAAGACCTCTTTCGCGGTTGCCTGGGCCTCTATGGCTCCTCAGTGAAAGGCTTACCTCGTCTAAGACCTCTTTCGCGGTTGCCTGGGCCTCTATGGCTCCTCAGTGAAAGGCTTACCTCGTCTAAGACCTCTTTCGCGGTTGCCTGGGCCTCTATGGCTCCTCAGTGAAAGGCTTACCTCGTCTAAGACCTTGCTGGGGCCTCAACGGCTCCTCAGTTGAGGGTTACCTCGTCTAAGACCTCTTACCGGGGCCTCTACGGCTCCTCAGTTGAGGCTTACCTCGTCCAAGACCTCCCTGAGCTCGCGGTCGAGGCGCGCGGCCTCGCGGTTGCTGGGGCCTCTATGTCTCCTCAGTTGAGACTTACCTCGTCTAAGACCTCTTACCGGGGCCTCTATGGCTCCTCAGTTGAGGCTTACCTCGTCTAAGACCTCTTTCGCGGTTGCCTGGGCCTCTATGGCTCCTCAATGAAAGGCTTACCTCGTCTAAGACCTTGCTGGGGCCTCAACGGCTCCTCAGTTGAGGGTTACCTCGTCTAAGACCTCTTACCGGGGCCTCTACGGCTCCTCAGTTGAGGCTTACCTCGTCCAAGACCTCCCTGAGCTCGCGGTCGAGCCTGACGGCCTTGCGGTTGCCAGGGCCTTTATTATCATCATCATCATCATCATCTCAGCCATAGGACGTCCACTGCTGAACATAGGCCTCCCCCAATGCTTTCCATGTTACCCGGTTTATAGATTCTCAGTATTCCTCAGTGGTAGTGGGAGGGGGGAGGTTTACCTCGTCTAAGACCTCATTCACGGTTGCCGGGGCCTCTACGGCTCCTCAGTTGAGGCTTACCTCGTCCAAGACCTCCCTGAGCTCGCGGTCGAGGCGCGCGGCCTCGCGGTTGCCGAGGCCTCTATGGCTCCTCAATGAAAGGCTTACCTCGTCTAAGACCTTGCCGGGGCCTCTAAGGCTCCTCAGTTGAGGCTTACCTCGTCCAAGACCTCCCTGAGCTCGCGGTCGAGGCGCGCGGCCTCGCGGTTGCCAGGATCTTTATTATCATCATCATCATCATCATCTCAGCCATAGGACGTCCACTGCTGAACATAGGCCTCCCCCAATGCTTTCCATGTTACCCGGTTTATAGATTCTCAGTATTCCTCAGTGGTAGTGGGAGGGGGGAGCCTTACCTCGTCTACACTGAAAAAAATGTTTGGTTACTGCTTACACAACAAAAGTGACCACCGAACACTTAGGTTACGAGGAACAAAATGTTGTGTAAATTAAACAAATAATTCTGTAATGAGCTAGACTTAGTTTGGTTATAGTTAACACTTAGGCGGTTATCACACTGCACCGCGCTCCGCCGCGGAGCGCGGGGCGACAGATTTAATCATTGTATGCAAGTACCTCAGTTTGTATAGAAAACACGCGCGGCATTTCAGTTTTCACACGGACAACGCGTCCGCGCGCGTGATTTTTTATATGAAAATCACGCGCTCCGCGGCGCAGTGTGATAACCGCCTTAGTTCGGTGGTCACTTTTGTTGTGTAAGTAGTACAGTAACCAAACATTTTTTTCAGTGTAAGACCTCTTTCGCGATTGCCGGGGCCTCTATGGCTCCTCAGTTGAGACTTACCTCGTCCAAGACCTCCCTGAGCTCGCGGTCGAGGCGCGCGGCCTCGCGGTTGCCGATCTGCTGCCGCAGCGCGTTGGCGGTGGTCCGCAGCGTGGATTGTACGCGCCAGAACATCACTACTTCGCAGCACTCCTTCTGTGCAAGTTATAGTGCGGGTTACAGTGACAGGCACCATGTAATGGACTACGCCCGTGTACGATTACATAGAACATTGCAGCGTCAACGCTTTAGATTAAGTAGGCGCTTGCTTATACAGGGTGGAAACGATAAGTGATCTCGATTATTTCTAAACTATACAAGATATCCAAAAACTGGTAACTGATCCTGAAAGTGCTTCACGAGCTCTATCTAACGGTACCAATATTGAGTTATAAAATAAACTGAACCTATCCGAAAATTCAATGTTTCCAGCTTCCATACATTTAGTACTATCACAGTCATGGCACTCATATCTTGATAATATTATAGCAAGTAAAGCCTAAAACCAATGTTTTTCATGAATAATTTTAAAGAAGAATGCAATTTACGAGTTAATTTTAAGTATTTATTATTTAAAATAAAAAAATTAACACTTCTAATATTATGTGGCTGGCATTGTTGCATACATTTAGTATGGAGGCTGAAAACTTTGTTTTTTCGGATAGATCCAGTTAATTCCGTAACCTATTACTAATAACGTTTGAAAGAGCTCGTGAAGCACTTTCAGGATCAGTAATCAGTTTTTCGATATCTTGTATAGTTTAGAAATAATCGAGTGAGATCACTTATCGTTTCCACCCTGTATGTTAATTGCTAATTATTTTTAGTTTAGTTCACGTTCAATTGTCACTGTGTGCACACATCAATAATAAACCTATCAAGCTTCATCAAGTGTTTTCCTGTTCAATCAAGATAAATGTATGAGTTAACAAGGACTCATACAGCCCGTATTCACAAACATTACTATGAGGTCTCACAGTGCGAGTGGAAAAATGCTTAGTGGTTCTCAATAAAATGGTAATTGTGTTTATTGAAATAAAATTAAAAAATCAAAATCAAAAATACTTATTCAATTTAGACCACAAGTGGCACTTAGGAATGTCAAAATATAGTAAATAATAAAAAAAGAAAAGGTAGCCCTTATGGGGCACTTTACATGTCTCCTTATCTTTTGGGCCCTACCAGCGCTTCGAGACAAACATAATGACAAGTGCTGAGAAGAAACGCCGGAACAAACTCAATAAATCATGATCATCCTACTAATATTTAGCTAGCAACTGCGACACAGTCCTTGACTAATGCAGTTGCTAACGCAACAATGTTTGTGCATGTAAGTGTTTTTGTTGCCAATAAAGATTATTATTATTATTATTAAAAAATATTATAAATGCGAAAGTTTGGATGTCTGGATGAATGTTTGTTACTCTTTCACGCAAAAATTATTGAACGGATATTGATGAAACTTTACAGTATTATTGTTTATAAACCAGAATAACATATAGGCTATCATTTATGATGACAAACTAAATTTCACGCGGGTGAAGCCGCGGGCAAAAGCTAGTTATGACATAATATACACAACAATACGCGTAATAGTAACGTTTACTTACCCCATTTCCATTCTGTTGGCTGTACAAATAGAAACTCTTTTTGCAATCCCGCGCCCTCGTTTGCGCCCTCTCGAAGAAGTTCCTGGAACAAATTGGGATTACTTTATTATTAAAATACTAAAGATTTTTTAAGATCTAACGCTGAAGACAGGGTGGATTCGACCAAACAAGAGTAAATATTAATCTCAGAATAAATCGTCAGTTACGACATATTCCCATACTGAAACTGTCAATGTGCTAGTTATACCAGGAGTTACTCTCAGATAACTTTGGTCGAATCGATCTTTAAAGTGGAAGGATCCGCTAAAGATTCACTTATACTGAAGACATAAAGTTCAAAATCCATTGATGCACTTCTGAAACTAGCGTCTAAACCAGTTTATGTTCGTCGTCTTATGCACAATAGTAGCGGCGCTGGCGTAGGTTGTCTCTTACGGCGACCATCAAATCTTACAACAATAACATTAAGACACATTTTAGATCTAACGCCGAAGACCTAAAGCTCCAAATCCATCTTCCATCGCTGGCTCAAAAAAAAAAGACTTGTATTGTCGCGTCAATACAGTGGCGGCGTAGCATAGGTTGGCACCTGGGGCGGCACCCCCCCCCCTCCCCCCTCGTCTAATTATAGCCTAAGGCACCCCAGAATGGCACCCCCCTGTCATGACATCACGACCGTCCTTGCCATGCAGATGCGCCAGTGAGTACTAATCTGCGCGACTTTTGTCACCCCCTCATGCTNATGACATCACGACCGTCCTTGCCATGCAGATGCGCCAGTGAGTACTAATCTGCGCGACTTTTGTCACCCCCTCATGCTTGGCACCCGGGGCGGACCGCCCCCACCGCCCCCCCCTTACGCCGCTACTGCGTCAAGACAATAGTAGCCGCGCTTGCGCAAGCTGTCTCTCGCAGCGACCACCTCGTCGTACATCAATCACACTAAAGATCACACATTTTGAGACTTGACACTGAGGACTTTAATGGAGTCAATATTGTAATACATTACAAAATGCGGGAAGCAAACTTGGCAGCGCACTGTAGCAGACGAGGCGAAGAAAATCGGCAAGACCTGAAGCGAGATCAAACGCGAAGCTCAAGACCGAACGCGATGGAGGACTGTTGTGGACGCCCTCTGCCCCATCTAGGGGACATAGGACCTTAAGTCAAGTAGGTCATGTGAAGTGAAGACATAAAGTTCAAAATCCATTGAAGCACTTGTTGAGGGGGGGCACTCTAAAAAATCTAGTATCTAAAAACACACATCGCATGTTCATTCATCGTCAATGCAAAAGTATCTTTACTTACTTCAGGTATACGGGCTTCCACGTCTCCCTAATATACTCATTGTCCACTTCCACGCCGCGCCTCCTAAGGTTGTCCCTCACGGCTATAACTTCATCGTAGGCCAGCGCAGGCCGCGCGGAGCCGAGCCTTTCTAGTTCGGCCCTAACCTCCGCGCGGCGGCGTTGCTCGTCCGAGGTACTTTGCCAGTAGAACCAGCGCTCTTTGAAGCCGGGACCTGGAATAAGATACGTAATGTTACGTTTTAGTCATGTTGTATAAACCTTCCATGAAACTTGTTTGTGTTATTTGCCGAGAGATGTCACTGCTCTTTGAGACGCGTAAAGCTGTACCGCGGTGTCCAGATTTTTTTCCCCGGCTTTAGATACCTGTGGGTCTAGACAAAGTGCAAATTATATCGCAAACCAGTCGAAAAGTGGTCGAAAAGCCCCTTTTTTGTATGGAGTTTTGACGGATTCGATTTTCGATTCGATCAAAAAGTGCGTTTTGTCTAAGGGGGCTGGGCGGCTTTGACATAATTAACATCTGTGAACCATTGACAACCTGTGTCAAGCGTTAAATTGTCACCTACATATTGACGTCTTATTTATACCTAGATAAGAGTCCCTTAAGTGCGCCGAGAGTATCCGTGGTTTATTCACATGTTATAGATAGCGTGCTATGGAAAGGGCTATGCTCGGTGTTTCTTTACGAGATCGAATCAGAAATGAGGAGATCCGTAAACGAACTAAAGTCGCTGACATAGCCCGACGGATTAGCAAACTGAAGTGGCAATGGGCAGGGCACATAGTACACAGAACTGACGGCTGATGGGGCAGGAAGGTTCTGGAGTGGAGGCCGCGTACCGGAAAACGCAGCGTGGGACGTCCACCCACAAGGTGGACCGACGATATCGTAAAGGTAGCAGGAAAGCGCTTGACGCAGGTCGCTACCAACCGGGTAGCATGGAAAGCATTGGGGGAGGCCTATGTTCAGCAGTGGACGTCCTATGGCTGAGATGATGATGATGATGGATAGTTTTTAGAATAAAGGTAAGGGGAAGCAGAAAAGATCCAAATGAGTCGACGTGCGCTTCGTGTCTTGTTTTGTCACTTGTCAAACTGCAGATTCGAGTGTCCGTAGTTCGAACCCTGTCGTTCGCTGACCTCTTCTGTTGTAGCGAACCCACTTCACACTGCGTCCCACTCCTGGTCCAGGGTCCTGCAGTGTCCCCGCCGGCGCGGGACGGCCCGGCTGTCCCCACAGTGTCCCCGCAGTGTCCCGACTCACCCGTGAGCTCCTTGAGCTCGTGGTCGGTGAGCGCGCGTCGCTCGCGCAGCGCGTCTTCCATAAGCGCCACGGCCGCGTCCCAGTCGGCGCGGGACGCCACGCACCGGTCTTGTAAAGCGTTCAGTTGCAGCACTCGGAGCACCTGCGGATAGTAACATTATGAACAATCTGCCAGTCTCGACAAGGTAACATTTATAATAGATTCGAGTCTCAGTCAGTCAGACGGAAGAGCCACTCAAACTGCAGCACCTAGTAAGAGCCACTCACATCCTGAGCACGGTCTTCCCAATGAATTCTACTTAGAGCCTCCTCCACTGCTTCATTCTTCAGAGGTTCATAAATAGGGTAACTGATTCAGCTACACGGCCCATGAGCTAATGATCTCCTGCGCTTAGCTAGAACTACTCACATCCTGAGCACTTTCTTCTCAGTGACGTCTACTTAAAGCTTCTTCCAATGCTTCCTTCTTCAACGATTCATAGACTGGGTCGGAGTCAGCAGCATGGCTCATGAGCTCAGTGAACGAAAACCATTCAAACTTCAGCACCTAGTAAAAGACACTTACATCCTGAGCACGATCCTCCCAATGGTGTCTTCTCAAAGCCTCTTCCACTGCCTCTTTCTTCAACGGCTCATAGATGGGGTCTGAGTCAGCCGCACGGCTCATGAGCTCAGTGAACTCCTCTCGTAAGGCCTCGCGGCCTACTGAGTAAGAAGAGAACTACAGCATTTAGTAAGAGCCACTTAGATCCGATCACATCCTGAGCACGGTCCTCCTAAGGGTAGCTTCTCAGGGCTCATAGCAGTATAGGACCACTGCAAGTTCTCTGATGGGGTCTGAGTCGGCAGCACGGCTCATGAGCTGGTAAATTCCTGCACCTAACCTGAAAGCCACTTGTTCTACTCACATCCTGAGCACAATCCTCCCAGTGGTGTCTCCTTAACGACTCCTCGACGCTTCTTCCACTGCCTCTTTCTTCAACGGTTCATAGATTGGGTCGGAGTCAGCAGCATGGCTCATGAGCTCAGTGAACGAAAACCATTCAAACTTCAGCACCTAGTAAAAGACACTTACATCCTGAGCACGGTGTTCCCAATGGTGTCTCGTCAGAGCTTCTTCCACCGCTTCTTTCTTCAGAGGCTCGTATATAGGGTCGGAGTCAGCCGCACGGCTCATAAGCTCAGTGAACTCCTCTCGTATCAAGAGCCACTCAAACTTCAGCATCTAGTAAAAGCATTGACTTACTCTACTTAGATCCATTGATCGACTTACATCCTGAGCCCGGTCTTCCCAGTGGTATCTTCTCAAAGCCTCCTCTACTGCCTCTTTCTTCAACGGCTCGTAGATTGAATCAGAATCAGCCGCACGACTCATGAGCTCAGTGAACTCCTCCCGTAGATACCACAGCCGGCTCACTAGTATGAGAACTAAAGCACCTAGTAAGAGTCACTTACATCCTGCGCACGGTCTTCCCAGTGGTGTCTCCTTATAGCTTCTTCCACCGCTTCCTTTTTCAACGGTCTCGGTGTATATCTCACGCATGACGGCTCATGAACTCAGTGAACGAGAGCCACTCAAACTTCAGCATCTAGTAAAAATAACTTACATCCTGAGCACGATCCTCCCAGTGGTGTCTTCTCAAAGCTTCCTCCACTGCCTCTTTCTTCAACGGTTCGTAGATAGGATCAGAATCAGCTGCACGGCTCATGAGCTCAGTAAACTCCTCTCGCAATGCCTCGCGACCGGCGCGGATGGATGCAGCCGGGAGTTCTGTGTCCGCCCACTCGCGAAGCTTGATATCGACTGATGTGTTGAATTTATCTGGGGATCCACGATTGATATGTTATTGAGGACACATTAATGTTTTCAGTGTGCTTACCATGAGTTTACGTTAGGTGTGTTCGCTAGCGAGTACGTCAAAAACAATTATGAAGATTTTAGTTCTCGAAAGTAGCCGCTAGGGGCGCTGTGCAATCTGTCATACAGTTAATGTCATTTTTTTATGTACTCGCTACCGAGGACTCGTAAACTCATGGCAAGCACACAGTTGGCCTGATTCACACTACAGATTTTTTTTTCTTTGCATAACAAGGCAGGTATTTGACCACAATCGCACCTGGTGTTAAGTGAGATGCAGTCTAGAATGGTACATATCTGCCCTGTAAGTGCCTAGTCACTCTCGTCTTGAAAAGGCCCGGATTACTTCTTTTATTAGGAGATTAGTGCCCATTTCCACCATCAATCCCTAATTTTAAGTGACTCTTATAGAAACAAAATTCCTGTTATGTGTTACCTAGGGGGTCACTTAAAAATTAGGGATTGATGGTGAAAACGGGCATAGGTAATCTATAGTGTAATGATGCTGATTAGGATAAAACTGCCGCAAATTGATACATACAATACTATTTCGTAACCTGCCGGCCTAGGATGCGACCCACAATATAATCTTATCGTCGAAAATCGATAAGACGATATAATAGCGCGCATACTGGACTGGCTGATCTAGCCTGATGTATTTGAAACTCGTACTACTTACTAACATAACTTGTAAACTATCTAAATACATACTTTTCCAAACAACAATACAACGAGAATACGAAAGTATGTCTGACTTCTTACTATAATCGAAATCGTAAGGGTCGAGCCTTATGGAGGAGTCGCCGCCGTTGCCACCTGATTTTGAGTTGCCGTTGTGTGCATCGTTCTGTTTGTATTTCACTTGGCGTGGCAACGCGAACACTGAATATTAGGAAATTGCTGTAGTATTTTTTTCTCCAAGGGAAATGTTTTGACAGATTGATTTACTCCTTCTCGTTTTCATTTCTGCAACTCTTGTATGATTTATTTATATGCACAGCGAAATACGAGTAGGAGATAAAAGTTCATCAAGTGACAAATGACTAAACTATTATGGGGTCTCCGAGATAAAATTGGAGGTCTATGAGCTACAAATGGGTGGTCTTCATTGATTGAGCCTCAGGTCTTGAATAATAACGCGAGTGGACTGTATTAAAGTTATTATAATTTCTGTATATAAACGAAGCCACAACAACAGGTTATTAATGAATTTACTATGCGTAAGTATGAGTGTCGTGCGTGCCGCTCGGTGGCCAAGTGTGGGATCGCCTTCACGCGCCGCCGTCGTCGCTCCCGGTACCTTTCACTGCGTCGCCCGCTCCAAGGTCAGTTGCCCGGGCGCGAACATCATATTAGTGTATTTCATATTGATACTGAATACCTGTGTTATCATGCCATTTTGTTTTGCAAATAAAAAGATCGATGACAGACAAAATTCCGTGCGGGCAAAGCCATCCGCCTGGCTAGCTACCACCATCACCTAAGTCTGTCGCCATAACAACAATGTTAACAGCATTGTTGTGTTCCGGCAGTTACAGGTAAGCTAGCCAGTTCCTCCGTGGTTGAGGATTCCGGATGAAGCTCGCTTCCACCTTCGGCCTGATCGTCACTTACCATCAGGAGAGATACAGGCCAAGAGCTTCCTCGTTGTGGATAAAAAAAGCCGCGGGCGGAGAGCTAGTATTTCCTATTTTTGATTAGAATGAACTCACCCACGTCATCTTGCGCTTGGGCCGCGGCCGGCAGATATATCCCGGCGAAGACTCTCTCGGCCGCCGCGCCCCACAGCGCCGCGTGTAGACGCTGCTCCCAGGCGGGCGCGGCCACGGCGGATAGCTCGGCCGACTGGTCGAGTAACTCGGCCGATTGATCGAGTAACTCGGCCGATTGGTCGAGTAACTCGGCCGATTGATCGAGTAACTCGGTCGATTGGTCGAGTAGCTCGGGTGCCCGCAATACGTAGACGCGAGGTCCAAATGCTGCATGATTGCTTATTTTTGACATGACATTGACAGATATGTTAAAATCCACCAATCACGCAGCAGTCAGACCCCACATCCACGTCCCGCCATCTAGCGGATCTTTCATTCGCGAAAACCCTCATTCGGCGCGTGCTCGCTCGAATTCGAAAGCTAGACACTGCGTCTGTGACGCTTAGTTCGAACTACCTTAAGGGGCACTTTACATGCTTCAATCTTTTGAAGCTTTTCGCTGAGAGCACCAGCGCTTCGAGACAAAAATAGTAGGTGCTGAGAAGAAACGCCGGAACAAACTCCCACCGGAAAGTCGTCGGACAAGTCGCTAGACAGGTCGTAAAATCAAACCTGCCTATAAATCCATGGCTCAACTCGACAAATTACTTAATTTTGCTACAAGGTGTGCACCTGCACATAAACCTGTCTCACTAGCATAAATAAAATACACTATTACAAAGACCTCCCATTTGTAGCTCATCCACCCCCCAATTTTATCTCGGAGACCCCTCAATTTTACTCGGCGTCTGGGTGTTCAACTAGGAGGTGAGAAGAAAATGCTTCCTAATTTCGACATAGGGTAGTTTTTATCTCGGTTTTTGAAACAGGGACGTGCGGGATAATGTTTTTCTGTGACAGACAACATTCCAAGCCGCGGGCGGAAAGCTAGTATTTCCTATTTTTGTTTAGAATGAACTCACCCACGTCGTCCTGGGCCTGCGCCGCGGCCGGCAGATATATCCCGGCGAAGACTCTCTCGGCCGCCGCGCCCCACAGCGCCGCGTGTAGACGCTGCTCCCAGGCGGGCGCGGCCACGGCCGACAGCTCGGCCGACTGGTCGAGTAGCTCGGCGCGTGCCCGCTCGAATAGCTCGTCGCGGTCGAGCTCGCGCTGTCTGCGGATAATAAATGAAAGGGACATTGAATGAAGAATATTGATTCAGTTTGGACATCATTAAGATATAACATGCAAAAACCACAATGTTCAAAACTGGTGGTTTGCGAGCATGTTTGCGAAAAAATATAAAGAAAACGAAAACGGAATCAAATTAAATATACTAAAAAAATAATGTTATGTACTCGATTTTAAAGTGCTCCTGAAAACCACTGAAGTATCCATGAAAGGTTCCATCAAGGTTGTCTGTCCCTGGGAGGTCACCAGCATACCTTTCGAGCACTGAGCTACCCTTAGATTACTGACCCGTGGTTGAGGGGTCACTAAGCTTGATCACCGAGTTGTGCCTGGGGCGTCACTAGTCACTACACTAGAATGCTCATTGGAATTCAAGGCTGTCACTTAAATACTTATGGGGTCACTAAACTGTCCTTTAGGTTACTAGGCCATGTCTGGAGGATCGATAAGCTACCCCCGTGGTCCTGGAATACTCATGGGGTCACTGAGCTACTTTTTGGGTTACTGGGTCGTAGCTGAGCTACCCTTGGGGATCCTGGAATACTTATGGGATCACTGAGCTACTCCTTGAGTTACTGGTCCGTGTCTGGGGCGTCTATGAGCTTCCCCCGGGGTCCTGGAATACTTATGGGATCACTGAGCTACTCCTTAGGTTACTGATCCGTATCTGGAGGGGTACCTGAGCTCCCCCGGGTTTCCCGTTGAGAGACCACACATGACGCGATCAGTTTGAAACTTTCAAACTGGTGTCCTAGAATACTTAGGGGGTCACTGAGCTACTCCTTAGGTTACTGGGTCGTATCTGGGGGGTACCTGAGCTCCCTTGGGTTTCCCTAAGCTCTCCCGGGAATCACTGAGCTCATCTGGGGAAAGTATTCTTCCACTCAGTCTCGAGGTTGAAGCGCATGGCCTTGAAAGCGTCAGCTTGCTGCTCGACCGACGCGCGCACCATCCGCCAGAAGCAATCCGCTAGCGATAGGTTACTTGGCCGTCAATGAGGGGTCACTGAGTTGTACCTAGGGGGTTACAGCACTAAGACGTCCATGGGAAATCAAGGCTGTCACTGGAATACCTATGGGGTCACTAAGCTGCCTCTTAGATTACTGGGCCGTGTCTAGGGGGTCGATGAGCTTCCTCCGGGGTCCTGGAATACTTATGGAGTCACTGAGCTACCCTTAGGTTACTAGGTCGTGTCTAGGGAATCCCTGAGCTACCCCCGGGGACCTGGAATACTCATGGGATCACTGAGCTACTTCTTGGGTTACTGGGTCGTAGCTGAGCTACCCTTGGGGATCCTGGAATACTTATGGGATCACTGAGCTACTCCTTGAGTTACTGGGCCGTGTCTGGGGCGTCTATGAGCTTCCCCCGAGTCCTGGAATACTTATGAGGTTACTGAGCAGCCCCTTGTGTTACTAGGCCGTGTCTGGGGGGTCGATAAGCTTCCCCGGAGGATCCTGGAATACTTATAGAATCACTGAGCTACCCTTAGGTTACTGGGTCGTATCTGGGGGGTCCCTAAGCTCACCTGGGGTCCTGGAATGCTTATGGGGTCACTGAGCTACTCCTTGGGTTACTGACCCGTAGTTAGGGGGTCCCTAAGCTCACCTGGGGTCCTGGAATACTCATGGAATCACTGAGCTACTTCTTGGATGACTGTGCCGTGTCTGGAGGGTCGCTGAGCTACCCCCGGGTCCTGGAAATACTTATGAGGCCACTGAGCTACTCCTTGGGTTACTGACCCGTAGTTGGGGTGTCCCTGAGATCACCTGGGTTCCTTAAATACTTATGGGGTCACTGAGCTACTTCTTGGGTTACTGAGCCGTGTCTGGGGCGTCTATGAGCTTCCCCCGAGTCCTGGAATACTTATGGAGTCACTGAGCTGTATCTGGGGGGTACCTGAGCTCCCCCGGGTTTCCCTAAGCTCTCCCGGGGTTCCCTGAGCTCACCTGGGGAAAGTGTTCTTCCACTCGGTCTCGAGGTTGAAGCGCATGGCCTTGAAGGCGTCTGCTTGTTGCTCGACCGACGCGCGCACCATCCGCCAGAAGCAATCTGCTACAGCCAGGGACAAGTTGCGAGTTGTCACTTGGGATGGAGTCACTAGGCCGTCTCTGGGGACAATACAAATGCAATTGTAAACCATCAGTACTCATAGTTCAAGAAAACACCCTTTATCAGCTACTTTTCACAACCAAAATCCGGTCGCCGAGCACTTAGAATTTCGTCCAATGACCCCAAGCAGGCCTGGCTCACTCCGCGCGGTACATCCGATAATTACCTACAGCGAAGCGCCCCGCCGGCGGGTATTATATCAGTCGAGTGTCACGCGCGCGCTCGTCAGGACGCTGGCGTGCGTTGTAGTATGATTATAATTCTATGATCGAAGTATTATTTAAAAATGGACATAAAGAGAAAGAAATATTGTGCGGCGTTCGAGTGTTTAAATTCGAAAAGTAATCTACCGGATTTATCTTTTTTTTTTTCGCTTCCCAAAGATGCTGAAAGGTATGTTGGCCATGTAGGTAATCAATAATTCTTAGGATAGTATAGGAACCTAACCTACTATGACTACTGCTCAGAATGCGTTCGTTCGTTTCAGCCAAATGACGTCCACTGCTGCAGCTGGACAAAGGCCTCTCCCAAGGTTTACCATAATGAATGCATACTTACCTACATACGTAGGTCATTACAAATAAGTAGATTAATTATTTTTTCACTAGACAGCAACCCTAACAGCGTAAGAAGAGTTCAGAGGCACGCGATAGAAAGAGACAAAACTTGTAGGTGAATAAAATTGTAGGTACGTAGTGCTGTGCGAGCTGAATTCCACTGTATCGCGTCGTAGCAAGACTCGCATTTATTTAAATCGTCTTGCGGAGTAATCCTTCTGTACCTGTACTATTACTTATTCTGTGCCCCAAGCTACCCATCCTTATCGCTCGCGAGTAATTATATTGCTGTCGCGACTGTGCGACGGGCGCAGTGAGTGTGCGAGCGCGACAGCAATATAATTACACACTTTAATTCACAATAAAATAGTGAGTTACAACGATAAGTATTGCACGCGCATGTTCTCGATTGGCTACTAAAACAATTCATACTAGAAACGGGTCCGAGATGCCACGTAGTAATGCGTATCCCAAATGTCAGTTTGAATCTGTATTCTTCCGGGCCAGGATGCGCACCGTGATAAAATCTTATCAATGATTTTAGACGACAAAATTAATCTTATCGAGTAAAATCGATAAAATGATGCCATAAACGCTTATCGCGGCGCGCATCCTAGGCCTACAGAAGAGGCTGTGATAAAAAAAAGCTATGAAATAAAAAATTCTTACATCAATAATGAGTGTGCCCCATTTTGAAGAACATAGAAAAAAATTGGAGATGAAAGGGCGAACTACAAATCATCCCATCATCATCATTTCAGCCACAAGACGTCCACTGTTAAACATAGGCCTCCTCCAACGATTTCCACATTGCCCAGTTGGTAGCAGCCTACATCCAGCGTTTTCCTTCTACCCTTATTAGGTCGTCGGTCCACCGTATGTTTGGACGTCCCATGCTATATTTAGAAGAACATACACTCACTTGAACAATTTGGATGACCTGAAGAACCGCTCCTCGTACTCGCGAATGCTTTGTATGGAGTCGTCTTTGCGGCTACGGCCAGTTACTACCGCATAGTAGCCTAGCGCCTTCATGGGGAACAGCTTGCCTTCTAGGATACGACGGATCTGATGGGAGAATAGAATAGAATGTTGTTTTATTTGATAAAAAGTACACAAGCAATCAAGACACACTTATAGAGAGAAACGTCAGTGCTACAGTGTCCCCTTAGTTAGGCTATGTGCCGGTATGCACAATACTTAATCTCTGCATATCTTATCTTGATCACGTTCACAGTGTCAGCACATTTATTACGTATAGTGTTGATGCTGTGACGTCATTTACCTTTAATCTATATCGTATAAATACTCCCGTAGTTCACGTTAATAAATAGACTAACAACAACTCTTGTCTCATTCATACGGTCCCCTACCATGGCACAGGCTACATCAGTGCCCCTTCTAGGCTACAGTCTCCTTTTCTAAGTTACAGTATCCCCCCTATACTATAGTGTCATCTTCTAAGGCTATATTAGTGTTCGTGCATTCTAGGCTAAAGCCTGGTCCGTGAGCACGTAGAATTTTGTCCAATGACCCCAAGCTACCCATCCTTATCACTCGCCCGTAATTATATTGCTGTCGCGACTGTGCGACGGGCGCCCGCAGTGAGTGTGCGAGCGCGACAGCAACATAATAGGGATGTTTCCTGGGTCAAAAAGCAAGAGTTTTAATTAGTCCGTCAGTTAACTTATCAAAAAATACTCTACATGTATTTTTCACTTTTTCAAACTAATGAAAATTTAAAGAGATAAAGCGCGCCAAAGTTCATAAGAAGAGGCCCGTGACGTCAATGCGTGCATAAAAGTGCCACACGTTGTGACGTCGTGCGGAACTTCAACGCACCATAACTATGTAATTATTTGTTAGATTGACAAATAAAAATATATGTGTTCAATATTTTTTGATATTAAACATTGCGGACTAAAAAATTTTTTTTACGAAACTAGCCTATTACGCGCGAGCGATAAGGATGGGTAGCTTGGGGTCATTGGACAAAATTCTACGTGCTCACGGACCAGGCTTTACAATGTCCCCCTGGGCTAAATCAGTGTCCTTCCTAGGAGTCCCTAGGCCCCACCAGTGTCTCTCCTAGGATACTAGGCTACCATCCCGCCCCTCAGTTGCAACAGTAGTCTTTCCTAAGTTACAGTATCCCTCTAGGCTAGTGTCCTCTCATGCGTTATAGTGGCCCCCTAAATAATACAGTATCACTTCCCAAGCCTACATTAGTGTTCCCTCTAGGCTACAATGTCCCCTAGGCTACAGTGTCCCTCAGACTACACAATTTTCCTAGACTACACTTACCCTGTTGGGATTGGCCAGACTCTCCTCAGCCAGGTCAACCTTGGTAAGAACAAAGATGGTCCTCTTTCCGCCCGGGTCACATGAAGCTACCAGATCCGTCACGTTGCTACGCTCTGCGTCTACGGACCCGTCCTGGGAAACATTAAAATAAACGGTTAATTTATGAGTAAACAATAAAACCCGTCTGACCCGTTCTGGGAGTCCTCAAGTCCTCCATTTGCTTTTGATAAATAAAATAGTATAACAGAGTAGTTCATCTGCAAAGGAAACTAAATAAAAAAGAAAATAAGGGGGGATAGAATGGGTGGTCCACGAGAGTGACCATAATTTTTCGAGGCAAGTCGATTGAGGATTTTTATTCTATAGTCTGGTCTGCGAGCACGTAGAATTTTGTCCAATGACCTCAAGCTACCCATCCTTATCGCTCGCGCGTAATTATGTTGCTGTCGCGCTCGCACACTCACTGAGGGCGCCCGTCGCACAGTCGCGACAGCAACATAATTACGCGCGAGCGACAAGGATGGGTAGCTTGGGGTCATTGGACAAAATTCTACGTGCTCACAGACCGGGCTTTATCATATCTCAAGACAACAAATTACCTGTATGCAAAGTATGATGGCGTTGGGGTTCTCCATGTACTGTCGAGACATGAGCTTGATCGCTTCACGAGTGTCCGACGCCATGTCCACTGTTTGAGTCTGAAATAATAACATTTTAATTAAATTACTATAGAAAAATATACTGTGGCATCTTAGGTAGCTGTAGTAAGGGACATAGCAACAAATCTTTATAAACTCTGAGAGCCTTCAAGCAGCTTATATTATAAATAAATAATGCGCAGCTGCTGTTCACAGTACAGTCGACAGCACATCAGACTATACGTTTAAAAAAAAAACAAAGAAAAATAGTTTATTTGGTTCAAACAAACGTTGCAAAGTCGCCCTTTTATCGCAATAATAATTACGTAAGATACCGCAGTGTTTACGTTGACGTGCTGTCGACTGTACATTAAATAAATTAACTGAGTCAGTGTCTGGAGTATGGGAACGGCACTGGAGGATATTTACGTGACGTCAAACGTCAGCGAGACTTCAGATTTGTATACTCTGTCACGTCATAATATGCAAATTCCGTGTCACTTCCATATCTCAGGTACTGATTCAGTTATCGTTAGCCTAGACACAGACCACCGATTTGGTATCGGCTGATTCTTTATACAAAATAGAATTGGGCCCAACTATCAGCCAACTAATAGTCGGTGGTCTGCGCCTAGACTTAGACCTAGTTCAAAACATTATTGTGTTGTTAAAAACCCAATATTCTGTTAACATAGATCTAAACACAACGCAATAAGGTTCAAAACAAAACTCACCGATATAACACCGGGCAGGTCGACCAACACCATGCGATGCAAGCCAGGTCCCTTCACAGACATGGATATCACTTCTGTGGACACAGTCCGGCCGCCTCGCACGCTGTTACGCATACGGAGTTCTACCTCTCTGTAGAATGAAATTGTTTTATTATTTACTGCAATAAAAACGACTATAGGAACAAAAAGACATAAAGTACGGCCAATTAGCAGCGATATAAAAGGTCGATACGACTGTCGAGTTAACAATATATTCTGTCTCTTCTAGGCATGGAAATGATTGCTATTTTTCATTCATTTTCATTCTATGAAATGATGATTTTTTTTCATATGATTTCACATGCGAAATTTCACAGGCAATGATTTTTATTCGCAGTGTTTTAATGTAGCTCTTTCATATAATGTGCTACTTTTAATGAAGTATGAATTATGATGAAGGATTGCTAATTAGCTAAAATATGAAATGTAACAATATCTGTTTCATTTATGTCGCACAACAAAAAACAAACAGTTTCACAGCACATTAATAACCGCGCGACTAATGAAAATCATTCATTTCATCTGCCTGCTATCTAATGAAATCACACGAATCATGACAAGGAAATCTAAACCTTACACCTTTGAGTTTAAAGTTCATATTTAAAATGACCAGTTTCGTCCGTCATCACATCTCTTGTCCTTTTCTAACACGCACATGATCAAATCATTCCTTCTTACTCGCTCGGTCGCTTCGCAGAGCTGCGCTCACGAACTTCGCTCGAATGAATTAATGAAATTCATGTGATTCGTGATTTCGTTGACTGTGAAATTATAGCAGTCTATGTGAAGTAAAATAGCAGGTGTGATTAATGAAATTCATTTCATATGATTTTTCACCTGCTATTCATGAAATGTTCCATGCCTAGTCTCTTCCCATCTTGTGTATTATTTGTCGTAATGTCTCGTTCTCCCGCCAAAAAATGTCAAAGTCAGACGGGTTCACCCATGACATTGGGTTTGTTTACATTTAGTATCGCTTCTCGTTGGCCGTACTTTAGTAGGTAATTGGTATGTTTAACTTTAAAATGTTTACAAATTGTTGAACATCAACAAAATTGACAACCATAATGGGTAGTGGTATGGACATTTTAAAATATGCATAAAAAATATTTAAAACTTAATCCTTTTTTTTTTTTTTTTTTTTAATTTGTGGCAACCAAACCTCTCTGGGAGGTTTATTTCTGCCAATGTCGAGTGAAAAATATTGACATAGTTATCAATAGAACGTGGGTGTTTCAGTTCTATTGATTTTTCATGGATTCCGTGGAGTTAAGTATGCCCGTAAGCAGGTTTCGAGACGCCACCGGGTCCAAAGCGGGTTGTTCATACGACAACCCACTCGACACTCGATGCGTGCTCAAATTCGAAGTATTTCAATGTTTTTTATAATTTATCACTTCACTGCACTTTAGAACACAAAATAACACCAAATTTGTACACTAAAGTCCATTAAATAATAAATTGAAACCATTAAAACAGATCGACCATGCTTCCCGTTCAACTACCCTCCACGGAAATCCAACTTAATCCTTCGGCCACTATAAATAGGACTGACATTCAGAGCACTGACATTGACATTTTTGCTAACCAGGCAAATGACACTTTCTGACTTAGGCTGAGTTGCACCTTATTAAACTTTGACAAACATCAAAAAAAAATCTGTCAAACTCCATACAAAAAGCACAGGTTATTGTTATAGTTACGGTTAAAATAAGGTGGCGCAACACAGCCTTTGACTTTTGTATTTGACCATTGACATTTATTTATGAGGCATCTTCTAACTAATCTAGCCATCATAATATGACAAAGGTTTAAAGACAAGCTGGAGAATAATTTCTATGGTAATGATATGGGATAGACAAAAATACGTCTTCCAGCCCACGGGCTGGAAGACGTAGCGTGGGCAGGCCTCCTACTAGGTGGACCGACGATCTGGTAAAGGTCGCGGGAAGAGCCTGGATGCGGGCAGCGCAGGACCGTTCATTGTGGAAAACCTTGGGGGAGGCCTTTGTCCAGCAGTGGACGTCATTTGGCTGAAACGACGACGACGACGAGACAAAAATACACTTACTTCCTCAAATCTGCAAGGTCAGATTCCTTATTGAGATCGAATTCCCTCGACGAGTCGCGGAACTGGGCCACGTGGTACGGACCCTCCGATAGTGTCACCTTTACAGGTGCCCTGCAAAAAATACCTTTGTAACAATAGCCATTAAGTAAAAATTTATAATTACAGTTACGTATTGTCAGTAAGTTGGTGTTCAAAAAGTCCTTATAAAAGCTTCTGTCTGGGCTTATCATTTGGGCAGTTGATACCACGAATCAATTTAATGAGGGCTATCGTATTTGCCCTCACCAAGTGGCGCCACTAGATTAAGGTTCTTTTATAGAAGGCATAAGCACAACCTAGGTTGTGTTAGGCAGGGTTTCTGCTATCCCCTGAACTTTCCAGGTATGCTCGTGAAAAATTTAAGATTGTGTTGATCGCTTCAACTCTCGCTGCGCGATCTATAGCGTGTTTGTCCCGACTCTCACTGCGCGACCTTTAACAGTGCACATCTCTTCCGCGCCACGCGGGAAGATCATTTGCAATCATCTCGACCGCAGAGGTGGGACTTGTGGAGCAAAGGGTCCAGATGGGCGGGGCCTGTGAGCTAGATGGGTGGGGCCTGTGGACCTACCTGGTGCACATGTCGCCAGCACCTTGCAAGAATATCCTCGCTTGCGCGATCACCTCAAGAATCAAGGTGGGGCGGGGCCTGTGGGGTCAAGTGGGCGGAGCCTACCTCGTGCACATCTCGCCAGCACCTCGCGGGAAGATCCTGGCCTGCGCGATCATCTTGAGCGTGGTATCTTGGGCCTATGGGGCAATGTGGGTGGAGCCTATGGGACTAAATGAGTGGGGCCTGTGGACCTACCTGGTGCACATCTCGCCAGCCCCTCGCGGGAAGATCCTGGCCTGAGCGATCATCTTGAGCGTGGTATCTTGGGCCTATGGGGCAATGTGGGTGGAGCCTATGGATCCAGGTGAGCTAGATGGGCGGGACCTATACTTGCTTGAACGATCACCTTAAGAAACAAGGAGGGGCGGGGCCTGTTGGGGTCAGATGGGCGGGTCCCATGAGGCTAGATGGACGGGACCTGTGAACCTTCCTAGTGCACATCTTTCTGGCGCCGCGCGGGAAGATCCTGGCCTGCTATATGTCCTAGAGCAGTGTTTTTTAACCTGTGGGTCGCGACCCCCTGGTTGAAAAAATACTGTCCTAGACAAACAAGGTGGGGCGGGGCCTGTGGGGTCAGATAGGCGGTGCCTGTGGGGTCATGTGGGCGGGGCCTACCTAGTGCACATCTCGCCAGCCCCCCGCGGGAAGATCCTGGCCTGAGCTATCATCTCCAGCACGGAGGTCTTGCCGGCGGACTGGTCGCCCACCACCACCACGCGCGGCAGCCGGTCCGTCTCGCCCGCGTCCCAGCCCGACAGCTCGTCCAGGACAGCGCTGTACATGTCGATGAGTGAACGCTGGATAACACAAGACATTATATTAGCCAGATAGATAGATAGATAGCCTCTGTGGTCTAGTGGTAAGACCACCTGCTTCAGACGCAGAGGTCCCGGGTTCGATTCCCAGTGGGTGCAGATTTTTCTGTTCGGTTTGGTTGGTGGTAGGGCTTGTTCTAAGTCCGCCTGGCTAGCTACCACCATCTTACCTAAGTCTGTCGCCATAACAACAATGTTAACTAAAAAATAAACGGATAAACGTGTACAGGTCATATCAACCCGGAAAGGGATCAACACCGTATCGCCTTTAGCCGCGAGGCGAGGCATTTACGTTACAGTGCGGATAAGTGTGTATTGCAATACAGTTTAATACAAATAATACTGATTGCCTCGAACTGATACGTTTACGATCCGTTTCCGATTTAATAAGTCCTATATTGTTATTTTATGCAGTAGTTGGTAGCTTATTTTTGTAAATATTACTTCAAAGTCCGTGCGTGACACTCACTCGGCATGAGGCACACAGAAAATCAGGGTTGTGGGGCCACGGTATAGGCTGAGTGAGAGGTCCCATTGCAATGGGCATCGGTATTGCGTCAAGGTAGGTGGCACTGCCACTACCTCAAGTTGTAAATCCTAACTGTACAGAAGTTGCAGTGATAGGGCGAGAGATGGTAATAGTCCGGTACTTCAGGCTGTAGATCCTGGCTACACAGGAGTTGCAAGTAGCGACGGGAGTGCCGTACCTACATAGTAGTAGGAGACCCCTTTCTACAAAGGAGTTGCAGTGGTGGGGACGAGAGGTGGGAATGGTCCTGGGAAGTGGGAACAGACCTGAGAGGTGGGAGTAGTTCATTACCTTGGCCTTCCTAGTGGGCGGCGCGCGGCCCTGGCGAAGCAGCATGTTCTGCTGATGAAGCTCGCGCTGGTACCGCGCTTGAAGCGCTAACACCTCCTCTTGCAAGGCGTACGAGCTGGGTATAGTCCAGTACCTCAAGCTGTAGATCCTGGCTACACAAGAGTTGCAGTGGTGGTAATAGTCCAGTACCTAAGGCTGTAGATCCTAGCTACACAGGAGTTGCAATGGCACCAGACCAGAGAGGTGGGAATGGGATGTGGGAATAGTCCTGAAAGGTGGGAATAGTTCGTACCTTGGCCTTCCTAGTGGGCGGCGCGCGGCCCTGGCGAAGCAGCATGTTCTGCTGATGAAGCTCGCGCTGGTACCGCGCTTGAAGCGCTAACACCTCCTCTTGCAAGGCGTACGAGCTGGGTATAGTCCAGTACCTCAAGCTGTAGATCCTGGCTACACAAGAGTTGCAGTGGTGGTAATAGTCCAGTACCTAAGGCTGTAGATCCTAGCTACACAGGAGTTGCTGTGATGGGAACGAGAGGTGGGAATGGTCCTAGGAAATGGGAACAGTCCAGTACCTTGGCCTTCCTAGTGGGCGGCGCGCGGCCCTGACGAAGCAGCATATTCTGCTGACGAAGCTCGCGGTTCTCCTGCTCCAAGCGCTGAAGCTCGCGCTGGTACCTCGCTTGAAGCGCTAACACCTCCTCTTGCAAGGCGTGGACGCGTTTTTCTGAAGGATAAAAAGGCCGTTATGGGTCGCGCAGTGAGAGTTCAGGCGATCAACACAAGCAAAGATTTGTATCTGTATACAAGAGCTCTTTGTATCAAGAGCGAGGTAGCATTGTATTCGATATTTGAACTTGCGAGTGTAATATCATCTCAAATTCTAGTAGGCTAGTTGACCCCAACAATCAATAGACATACTTTTTATGATCTGCCAACACGCAACGCAACTAATCCTTTGCTGGAGAAAATAATAATTAAGGAATAAGAAAAGAAGAAGAAGGAATAAGGGTCATGATAGAATACATTGTAACGATAGTGAAACGGTTATCTAACAAGATGGCGATTTTGTGAAGGAATAATTTAAGTGATAGAATACATTTATATGTCTTTAACGATAGTCAAAACACGGTCATCTAACAATATGGCTGAGCATAGGTAATTAATACAAATAGATACAAAAATCATATCATAACAGATAATTATGTTTTTATGAACTCACCGTAAGAAGTGCTTTCTTCTCCCGATGATTTGCTTGGCGACGGTGCAGGTCGACTTTGAAGATTGTTTACAATCTTCGGCGCCGGTTCTGAATGGGGAGAAAGAGATAGCTTACACATGATGAATGAAATAGCTATATGAAAGAGAGAGCAGACAATATTTATCTTTAGTAAATAATTGATGCAATATTAACGAAACCAAGAAGCATTGTTGCAGTAAAAAATAAAGCAAAAATTGTTTTGGAAATATTGCAAAAAAGTAACAAAAACTAAGAAGTTGTCATGAAGAAATTACACAAATTTAAAGATTCGTTAGGAAAGAAAGGTTTTACATTTTAGAAAGGAATAAGATTATTTTCATAGGGCATTTCAATCACAAGAGTTTGGTGAAAGTTTGATCATTGAATCGATATTAGCTCACTTTCTGATTCATATTGTTATTGTAATTTTAAAACACAATGGGGTAGTTTATAATGTTATCACTGACTAAAAATGGAAATTAAATACCTTCTCATCCAGGATTCTACAATGCAGCAACAAATAACAAAAGAGGCATAAAAAGCATAAAACAGAAACCAAGCAACAACTAAGCGGAGTCAATTCCTGCCGGCACGCTTATTACCGTTCTTATTTAACCGACTTCAAAAAGAAGGAGTTCTCAATTCGGTTTGTATATTTTTGTGACAGTCGCAATCGTGGAGACTGTATAGTTAGCGCAACGAGTGTTGAGGCGATCAACACAAAGATTTGTATCTGTATAGTACGCTGGTCGCGCTGACGACTTGCGTAGTCTAATGGACAAGTGTTTTCTTTCTCGCTTGCACATATTTAGCAAGAGCGATTTAGCTGGTGTATTCGTTATTTTAACTTGAATTTGTAATGTGTTCTGTATTCAATGGCCTAATCCACGTATTTTGACAGTCAAGATCTCGGTAACGTTCAGAAGTCGTCCTATTGAAAAACAGTTCTAAATCCGTATTCACAAGGTTCATTTTGATAGAACGATTACTCGATAGGATCGCACTCTGTATTTTGTTGTCGTTGAAGTTTTGTTACGTGAATAAGGCTACAAATCTTATATCGATGTGAGTATGTGTTCGTCTCAACTTTCGATGCGCGATCTATACTAAGTAGTCGCAGCAGAGACCAATTTGTTAAAACATTTTTGCTCTTATGTTGTTTTTATTTTTGGTAAAGCTCGGTCGCCAAGCACGTAGAATTTCGTCCAATAACCCAAAGCTACTCATCTTTATCGCTCGCACGTAATTATATTGCTGTCGCGACTGTGCGACGGGCGGCCACAGTGAGTGTGCGAGTGCGACAGTAAAATAATTACGCGCGAGCGATAAGGATGGGTAGCTTGGGGTCATTGGACGTAATTCTATCTGCTCGGCGACCGGACTTTAGCAGCCAACGGTCACTAAGATCGGTAACAAGCGCGCCGGCCTCACCTATATGGCTGGCCGCGTTATTGGCCGCGGCGGCCGCGACGGCGTCCTCGTAGCGCTGCGCAAGCCACTCGCGGAGTTCCGCCGCGCGTGCGACGCCCGCCTCGCGAAGCCGCGGATCTGCGTGCAGCGACAGCGTCAGAGGGACACCTAGCGGGGCGAGGGACAACGTCACTCTCTACGTCTCTACACCTTCGGAGGGGCGGGGGTAGGGTTGCCAGGCGTCCGGCTTTAGCCGGACATGTTTGTTTTTTTACGGTCTTGTCCGGCCTGTCCGGCTTTTTATTTGGCCTGTCGCGCCAGGCGAAAGTCGAGCCACAGAACAATATGACGCACGCACGCACGCATCAGGATGTTGGGCAACTGATGCTACCGATGACAGTACTCACTCGAGCTATGACACTAATTGTCCGGCTTTTAGGGTAAAATGTCCGGCCAAATGAAGCACAGAGTCCGGCTTTTGTGTTTTTGGACCTGGCAAACCTAGGCGGGGGTCCTACATCTCAAAGGGGGGTATACAAATATCCTTACCTTGCTCAGTAAGGTCTAGGATTGCGAGCGTGTGGTGCTCATCAGAAAGATGGAGCAATACTGTCCAGAGCCGGTGTCGCGAAGTCGCGGATCTGCGTGCAGCGATAGCGTCAAAGGGACACATAGCGGGGACGAGGGACAACGTCACTCTCTACACCTTCCACAGGGCAAGGTCCTACACTTCTAGATAGGGTACATATCCTCATCTTGCTAGCAATAAGGTCTAAGATTGCGGGCGTGTAGCGCTCATCAGAAAGATGGAGCGACACTGTTCACAGCTCGTGTCGCGCAGCCGTGGATCTGCGTGCAGCGACAGCGTCAGAGGGACACCTAGCGGAGCGAGGGACAACGTCACTTTCTACACCTTCCACAGGACGGGGATCTTTGGGGTATTAGTCCTACACTTCTAAGGCCATAATAGAGTAATTGGGGGTAGACCCTGCTATCTATCTTCATCCTGCTATCGGTCTAGGATTTGGCGCAAGTGTCGCGCAGCCGCGGATCTGCGTGCATCGACAGCGTCCGAGAGACACCTAGCGGGGGCGTGGGACAACGTCACTCTCTACCTTCGACAGGGCAGGGGTTCTACACTTCTAAGTACGAGGAACTAGGGGTTTATATCCTGACCTTTCACAGTGGCAATATCTAGGACAATAACGTGGCACTCCATAGAAAAATGGAGCGACACAGTTCACACGCTCGACTTACGTCAAAGGAACACTTAGCAGGGGCGACTTTTAACAGGAGGAGGAGGATGACCGCATAGAGGAACTTGCTCAAGTACAAAAAACAATAAAGAATATCTCATTGATTGGGGAAGCAGGTGGAAGTAGTTACATTATATGCACTAAAGATGTTTTTTTTTAGGACAGGACGATGTATTTGGATACTTAAAAAGCACACAAGAGAACACCTAGTATCCTCCCTATGAGCTTTTCATCTTGGTATTCTTGTACTAGCTGGTCAACTTCACAACAAGTATTTAAGTGACTTTTCGACTTACATTTGAGATCCACAGTTGTGACCATACTTGAAGTTTATAAAAAACTTTCTTCAAGTCACCAAGACCAGGATAATACCTAATTGTAAAGAATTTGCAGATTTCTAACTTGCATAGTAATCTACTTATACATTTCTCAGAAAGACATACCTTCTATTATTACCAAACTCTCAAAAAGTTGACTTCACAATTTTTACTACAGCATTTTATGTTCTACCGTCAAGTTACATTAGATAAATTGATATAATGAGCTTAACTAATATTCAACAATGTCTTTTTGAATCTAGCACGATACCAAGAATTCTGTACTGTATTATAATCTACTGGTTTTATCAATCTTACCTATTTGAAGTTGATCGCCAATCTTTTCTTTGGCTGAGATGAGGGTCGTAGTGAATCGGTCCCACTGTTCATTGTCAGGCAGCAGGTCGTTCAACCACCCCATGTCTGGAAGGCCATCTTTCCATTCGGTGTATTTCTGGAAGAGGAAAGATTAAAGTTTAGTGCATCAAAATTAAATGCTAGCATGTTGTTTCTTATTTTGCAAGTGTTTATTATTATTTAATTTGATGAAATATTAGATAATTCGTAAATTATGAAACTACAAACATGATAAATGCTCAAAAGTGGCTCCTAATAGCCATGTTTCAGGTCCCAAAGTTCATTATGGAAGCAATTAAATCGTTGGGTATTGAGTACACATGACAAATTACTGTTATGTGTATCTTGCTATGTGATGTGTAATTATGATGATTCTCTCTTTCTTTCTTCAAAATTGTTTTCAAAAGAATATATTTGTGTTATTATAGTTTAAAATCTTTATTTTAATACATTTCAGTACCTTATTTAAAGTCATCCCACCGCCCACAGCTCCACCGAGCAACAAGTATCGTATCTTCAGCATGCCCCTCACGGCACGAGCCACCAGCATTCCGTACCGTCTGCGGGGGATCTGGATCGGGTCTAACGGTTTGTGTAGCAACATACTCCGGCCCGTCCATACTGAGAATGCTACGGCACGCTTGTCTACACATGACCAGGCTGTTGACCGTCTTAGAGATGATCTGGTGGCGGAAATGTATTTTGTCAATTTTTTTAAATGAGAAACAAACTGAAAATTCTTGATGAAGCTTCCAAATGATGTTACAGTATTGCGTACCAATGTGCCAGGTGACTATCATTGCTCTAGATCTTAACTAACACGATAATTGCCGGGTTTTCATCATTTTTGTCTATTTAACAAACTAATATAACTTCAAATATTTTTATTCTGTTCCTTTGCCAAAAGCAAGCTAAGTTCAAAATTTGAAGAAAATTCATATATAGGCCATGAATATTATCGGTTCTTCAATAAGAATCGAACAAGGCTTCTTCCTTGCATCAGTTAACACTTCTACAATCAATGTAGCCAGGCATTGAATACGGTTTGGGAGTAAAAATAGAAAATTATGGGCGACCAACATTGAAATCCTTTACCTCATTCGATTGTGCAGTATTCTTGACATTGTTTACGTAATTTCTTCAGCTACTTCCTAGGAAATATTGCATAAACATAACCAATAGGTGTTTTGAAGAAAATCTATTTTATAACCTCTACCGGTCCTTACAACAAAAATATAATCACGTTGGACGAACTAGTTATAGTAAAGTTAAAGTTTATTGAAAATATATTACACAATCAACATGTAAATCATTATAAATCACATCACATTTTCAAAATTCATGAATTAAGTTTTTCAAGAACATTTTCGATTATTTCATTTGACATTTGACAATTTTTGACGGACATATTTTGACAGATTGTGTAACTTGTGACTTTGTATTAAAAAAAGTAAAAACTACCAAACAAACTACCATTTCTTTCAACAGTTTTTCTTGCTTGCGTCAATTTATAAGTCGCGCAACGAGAGTTGAGGCCATCAACAAGGCCAATCATCAACACAAGCGAAGAATTATGTCTATAGACAAGTGCGCTCTATTTTGCTAGCAGACATTTATTTATTCTGGATACCTCGTTTTACTCTTATTTTCGTATTTAATTTTTATTACTTCTTTAACTTTATGAGCTAAAATCAAGAAGATTTTTTATTATCAAGTGAAGATTACACTAGTTTACAAGGTTTTTTACCCAGAGATGAAACTGATATGTATCGGTAGAGTTATTAACACGTAGGCTGCCATGACAGTCACCGGTGACTGACAAACATGCAACCTATTCGGGCCATGTCAGTCACTGGAGCCTGACACTGAAGCATCTAAATCAAACGACCGCAGTAGGCCGCCTGGCTCGTTTAATGCGTTACTTCCTATTTTAAATGACTGACGTGGCCCCCAACAAAGTATGTTCAGCATGGCCTGCAACTCTTGTACCTAAATAAAAATTAACACAGGTTTGAATGAAAATTTTAGTAAAAACACGACAAATATTTGAAATTCCTAATAAAATCACAAGTTTACGTTATATTTCGGAATAAATTATTATGCATAATTATTAAAATTATTATTTGTGTAAAAAATTTAAACATTACAGACAAAAATTAGGCTGATTAGGGCTTTGAAGAGAGTAAGTTATAACTTGCTGTCTTTCTCGACTTTACACNGACAGACCGCTGAATTTTGTCCAATGACCCCAAGCTACCCATCCTTATCGAGTCCTTATCGATCTTAGAGTGATAAGCATGGGTAGCTTGGGGTCATTGGACAAAATTCTACGTGCTCACAGACCAGACTATAGTCACAGTACTTTTTTAACCTCACATCTTACCTTCCCAGATGCTAGACCTCCGCCAACAAATGGAAGAGATGACCCAAAGCCTGACCAACAGCGACATAGCGGCCACACCCAACAGCGTCCAAAGTCTCAAGTTCGACTCCCGCACGCCCACCGCGCCCGTATCGCCGACCACGCCCACTAAGACCGCCACGCCCACTAATGAGCCGGAGGAGGAGCTGAAGATTGAAGAGACACAGAAACCTAAGGCTGCTGAGGTTTGTAACTTGCAGAGTCTCTAAGCAGAGTGTCTAGAGTCCCAAGGCAATAGTGTCTAGAATCCCAGGACAACAGTGTCCAGAGTCTAAAGTTCGATTCCCGGAGAAGGAGCTAAAGTTTGTGGAGTCACAGAAACCTAAAGCTGCTGAGGTTTGTAACTTGTTTAGTCCCTAGGCAACACTGTCTAGAGTCCCAAGGCAACACTGTCTAGAGTCCCAAGTAGGGTTTCTGATTTCTCGACCTATTTTTTTTCTCGAGTTTCGAGAATTCTCGAGGCCAAAGTCTCGAGTTTTCTCGGGTCTCGAGTCTTTTAATGAAAACTGCTGCAGTCGGTTGAAATTTAATAAAAACACAGGTTTTTTAATCTAATATACCTACTTTTATGCACAACAATCAATATTAGAATTTAGTACCACTTATTTTGGTAAGGAAATAAACAAAAAATAAAATCTTCTTTCATAATTAATATTTACTAATAATCATAACAAAAGTCATAAAGTCGCGTGTACTTTAAGGATAAATAACAATAAAAATCTGGAGCTACAATTGAATCACTTGTTTTCTAAAGAACACTAGTCCAAATAGCAAAATTACGATAAATAAATAAAAAAAAATCTTTTTTTTTTTTACTTTAGTCGATACTACGCTTCCACGCAATCTATGCACATGTCGTGGCAGCTTTTAATTAAGGCTACACTATAAACACGTATTGTTTTCAATGTTTTTTTCAGTTAATTGTGTATGTCTTGTTAGCTGTCCTTAAATAAATAAATAAATAGTTTTTTTTATGAACGAAAAAACTTTTCAATAATTTTTTAAATTTCTTACAGATAACGACTTGAATAAACTTTACGAGGAGGCACGAGTACCTAACCTAACGTCTGTTAGGTAAGGTAACTGTCTAGTTAACAAATTTTTCAGTCTTTAAATCAGTCAGATTAAACATACAACAATAAATATAACATACTCGTTGGTGAACATTATTACTTAGTTTCGATTGAGATCATTACTTACAAATCAAATCAGTTAAAAAAGGAAAGACTAGGCCAGTCTAAAAGCAACGTTGACCTATTAAATAATAAAAAAACTTACTTTTGTCTAAGAAAATAGGCTTTCAAGAATATTAAAGGTTCAAAATCGAAACTCGAGAATTCTCGAGCTCCGGTAATTTTTTTCTCGTCTCGAATGAAGCCAAATTTCTCGAGTTTTCTCGAGTTCGAGAAAGCTCGAGCANTTTTTCAACAATAACTATTCATTTCAAGCCATTACACATCGATTAGCAAAAAATTCAATTTTGGCGAATTAGTAAATTTACTTTGGCAGTCAACGTGTTAACCCTTACTTAAAAACTGAACTTAGAAAAAATTTAGGACGTCAAATTTTATAAATATTGATTATATTAATTTTTATCATTTTTATACATTTATCTCTAAAAAACAATAAAAAATGAGTCGTTTTACTCCTTCTTTTATACTGATTAGTATCAGTTTCCCTTATTATAGACCAGCAGCAATCCGATAATATATTTTTATCCCAAATTCCTTGGTATCTTTCCTCAAAAACCTTCAAATCATGATGAAAACTTTCGCCATGCTCAACACTCACGCTTCCCAGGTTCTCAGGAAAAAAATCCAGGTGAGAATGTAAAAAATGAATTTTTAACGACTTATTCACACCCATTCCTTGGTAATTCCTCAATAATTTGGAAACAATTTCTGCATAATTCTCAGTTTCCCTGGAAACTTTTCACTACTGCTTTAAATTAATACCAAGCATCTTTCCCTTACTGGAATTGCTGGGTAATGATGGATAAAGAACTCCTTCAGACTGTAGCACAGGTTTTGTGACTGATGCAACATCAGGATATTATTGTATGTTCTTGGTTTTTGTTGCTAAAACCTGTAGTTTCCGTGAGGCAAAAGTAACAGTCATTAATGTGATTTGTTGGTTCTCTCCATAACATTGGGGTGCCGAATAGTATATGTTTTCTTCTTCCTGGAGCCTAGTGTAATAATATACTTCTCAAATTTTCGCACACTACAGCAGGTACCCATTTTTTATCAGTTTTGTTACCGAGATTTGAAAGTAATAGAAATAGGCCCGTTTTACGGCCTCAGTGATTGGTCTCTTCATTTTTGACAATATAATTTGACCACAAACTTAGCAAAAGTTATTTGGTCTTAATTTACACTGCCTTGGTGACATTTTAAAACAAGTGAAAATGTTAAAATAATACTTAAACACAATTAAAATAAAGTAGAAACTCCGACACGGCTAACAAGACAGCTTACTTAGGTTAATGTGGATATCTCAAAAACTTGACGTGATAAAAATATGAGACATATATTTTTGTAATAAGGGGGCTGGTAGAAAACACATCCCACATGAATTATCTTTGGGTAAAAGAAAAACTTTTTTTTTGTAAACTAGTGTTATAAGTCGCGCAACGAAATTTTTCAGGCGAAAAGAAAACGTTACTCACACTTACGCTAAAGCGGAACACAAATTCAGATTCAAATACACTAAGTATTGCAGTGGTTCCCAAAGTTGTCTGGGCTACGACTCATCTAATACAAGTTCCCAAACTCGGGAGTCGGGACCCACCTATAGGAAATTTAACCGTTACCAATATACCTAAATAAAGGACTCGGATCGGTAGGGTGATGTGTCGTTCTACAGGCAGGCAGGGGAGGGCCCACTCAATGTTCGCTCACCACGACCCACATTTGGAAAACCCTGCACTATTGGATTGGAAGTGAGGTTTTCATTTGTTCAGCAGCTATCAATATCCTCTTCCTTAACTCTTTAATGGATGTCAGAGTAATAGGTATACAGTCCTTCATGTTCTGTTGAGTTTTCGATCTTAATTCAATTTACAAATCAAAATGAAATGTGTTACATTACAGCTCTTTTATTTTTAGGCGAGGAAAGTTGATAACTTTTTGGATAGCTTATGAAACGCTTCAGTTATGCAACTAATTTGTACGCCAATTTCCATATGGTTTTTTTCTGACTAAATGTTATTATTACGTTACGGTGCGGCTGATCATTTAATTACCACTTGATATTTTATTTTCCTACACTTACCTAAAGATTATCGTGTTTTTAGTAGCTAAATGTTTGATTGATTAATCACTCTTCTTACTAGACACTCAGTTACGGACATCCTGTATAAACCTTGCAAATTTTATTCATGTTGCTCGGCTAAGAGTCAGTCCAATTCAGAAAATAAATTCTACCATTTAGTTCACTATAGTAGTTTTCATCGCAGCTGATGAGCTCACCACACCAAAAAAAGTAAAACGTCAAAAAAATGTATTGGAATTTTCTGCTTGATACAGTTAATTTACGTAAAAAATAAGCTCCTAAAAAGTCTCCTCTATTGTAATTATAACTAGTGATACGAGAAACATTTCTGTGTGTTGTGATATATAATTAGTGGTGTGTATTTAGATGGTTTTCTTTCTGTGAAGCGGATAACATTGTAATCGCTCGGTGAGTATTTTATCGAATAATTTCGGAAGGTTTTAGCAAGGCTACAGTGTTAATTGAATCATTGGGGTATTGGACCAGGAAGCGATGATATCATGGTTAAAGTTTGAACTTTCAGTCAAGTTGTACCAAGGTGCTCTCCAGTTATAATTTCTAAGTGATGTATTTTCAAGTATGGTTTCTTTCTGTACACTTGCGTTATTTATAGACTTGTAGTACGCACGCAAGGAGTTTGTTTGTTCGTCGTGCGTTGATGGTGCGTCTTGTTTATTTGGACATTCCCCCTGGGAGACATGAAAGGAAGCTTTTGGGTGCTTGACTAATTTAATTCAAGGTTTTTGACCTGCTGTAATGAACCAATTTAAAGTTCTCGCCTCCAGAAATTACCTAGTTTTATTACTAAATAGTAGCAGAGAAACATTGATTATTAAAAGTGTGGACTGTATTTTAATTCAAGTCTAAAATATAGTTAACAGGAATAACCTAAAGCTATCTTATCAGTAGGTCCTACATTTGCACAGTTTGTTATCAGTTCAAGCAACTTTTATGTCACATTTTGATATTTTGATTACAATGCACCATTTTAATCACTTAGACATAGTTAGACCAACAGTTTATTGATTAAATCTAGATTAATTATCATTAGATAACTCAATAGATTGTGATCACTGAATTATAAAATAAAAAAGTAAACATCATAAAATACAACACCAGCAGCTAGTTTAATTTATTAAAATAATGCTTAAAATTACATTTAATTGTTTTAATTCTTCTGTAATTACAGAAGAATCTAATTAGATTCATTATTATTTATACCATGTTTAAAAAGTAATGACATCAATTTGTTTATGCAAGATTTATTTATCAACTAATCTTACAACAGCACATTAGACTATACATTTTTGTTGCAAAATTGCCACTATTGTCACTACATAAGATGCTAGGTACACAGTGTTTAACTTTACAAGCTGTTGTCTGTACCAATACTTACAGGGTAGATATGTACATAGTACCACCCTAGTTAGACTGTATCTCACTCACTTAACATCAGGTGTGATTGCGGTCAAATACCTGCCTTCTTCTACACAAAAATCAATTAATTCTACCAATTTATAGCAACTTTTTTGTCCTGTTATTACATTATTATTTTTTCAGTTTTTTTTTATTTATTATTCATTATTGAGCAATTACATATTTGATCCAAATAGCGTCCTAAATCCTCTTTAGGTTTGTCTAGACACTATTGTTCTCTATACATAAAAACAAACGTTTTAGTATAAGCATTCACAACACTTTCAGATATTATACAAAACATTATTTTAGCGAGTGCGCACTACGATTAGTTGTTTAGTCCGTTGCATGTTGTAGCATGAAATGACCTCCAGAGCCCTTATCTTAACCACTTCAGTAGTAATGAGGTAGTTTGTGCAATTTTATTTTTATGATAACATAAACGCCACTGGAATGTGAAACTTATTGGTTTGCTGCACAGTTGTTTTTCGAGTGATTAAGGAAAGATCGTAGATTTTGTATTAACGGTTGTCAGGAAAATAAATAATGTGCAATGGTTTGTTAGTAAAATTAACAAGGATTTATTAAACATTTTATTGGATTTACTACAAACTGATTAACAGTTCAATTCCACTTAGAACCTTATTGGAATGTACACTAATGCCAATTTTAAATATCAAGTTTTAGGTTCCTCATCTTCAAGAAGAATAAAATTTTTCTTTCATATTAAGTTAACACTAAAATAAAATAGAAGAATAAAATTTTTCTTTCATATTAAGTTAACACTAAAATAAAATATGATATTTTATGGGATGTTTGAATCATTGAATCCTCTGATTACTTATTTAAAAAGGATGTAGACTCCGGAAGTGGTCATCATCAAATGACTAACATGACTCAAGGGAGGTCAAAATACTTTATCTCTAACTGGACCATGCTAATTTTACCATACAGTTAGGTATGTTTTAAATGTTTTTTTCCTGCAAACATTTATTTTTATCCCTTGCTTCGCCCGTTTTAAGATACATTTTACGCTGAAGGTGTCCGACTGGCCGACTCGTGATCCGAGGAACGCGGGTTCGATCCCCGCCGCCGACTATTGTGGTGAACTCACTCGTAACACAAGCATATTTAGCTTACCATGAGGGGTTAACGGGATTTACTTATGTTGCTAATACTTAAAAAAATATAGGAAAGAAGTTCAAACATACCCTAACAAACAAAAAGACAGGCAGATTAAGTTATGTTAACAACATATTTCACGTAATTACTGTAATATTAGAATAAGAATAGAAATAGCCATTAACAATATTATCCATAAATTAGCTCACAGACAAAACATTACAGTTTTCATCTGTAGTGATGTAAATTGCAGCCTACTTCAATGTGTGAGGTGATCTCACCACAAAAGCAGGAGAAATAGAACAGCCAAGTTATTATGTACAATAAATACATAATATAAGTCATAATACTGAAATAATCTGATTAATCTAATAGGTTGTTATGTATATTTTTGTTAATTCCTTCCAGAATAAACTTGTGTAAAGAGTTGCTTATATTTGTTGAAACTTAGGAGTTTATAAGTTAAAAAAAAATCTCCGACTAATTTGACCAGAAATAGCGCACTAACCCTTTTGACCCAGACTCCAGTCGTCGGCGGGAATCGAGCTACTGACCCTCGATTCACCTTGATATTGCTGGTAGGCATTTCAAGAGCTTTAAAAAAGTATAAAACCCCTAATAATTTATCTATTTCTACAGCGTGCCGTTTTATGTACCTATTTATGCTATGGTTCTGGGTTTGTTTGTGTGCATACCACACAACCACATGTGGGTGGGAACAGATTTATTATGATCTTAACAGGCATGCTATTTACGACCTTATGGCGTAAGCAGAAGGCTGTATCATGGTATTGTTATACTGTTCTATTTGGAATGCTCTGTTTACAGTTTCAAGTTGAGGATAATGATGGTGATACATTTTATTGGTCATTTGAGGTTGAATGTATTTTGGGAAATCAATGACATTTTAATGCAAATTCAAATATGTAGTTACGACACTTTCTCTGTTTAGACAGGTTTCTTTTAACTTGTGGGCTTTAAGATCTGACCTAGGAGTAAGATCCCCCCTTAAAAATGGAACTTGCACCTTTCCTTAACCGTAACTATAACCATAACCGGTGTTTCTAGTATGGAGTTTGACAGATTTTTGACGTTATAGTAAAGAAAGTTAGTGCAACCCAGCTTAAAAGTTTAAATTGCGCGCCCGCGGTCAAAACCATATTTATTTGGGGCTTCATCCACTTCAAACGTTCTTTAGTCATATCTACTCTTGAAATAACCCTCCTTCTGGCGCAGTCGGGTAAAAAAATCAGTAAATAATGCAGCGGTAACTGTAAGTGGTTAAAAAGGTACACCGGACAACACAACAAACAATGAATTCCGCATTTGAAACATTAATTAGTAAAATAGCTCCTATGGCGTTGGAATCGGAAATAGGTCAGTCCATGGGGGCCCATAGCACACGACCGCCATAGGTGCCCGACGTCAATCGATCGGCCTCGCAGTTAATGTGCCCGACGAAACGGTTATCTATCTTGAATTGATAGACAATCAGGTCAATCCAAATACTAACCGATTGGGAACTACCAATGTGTATTTTTAAGGAATATTAAGCCACGTTAGCTCCTTGTTTTGAACTAAATACTTACATGCTACTGTTACGAGTACCCACTCGTAACAGTAACAGACCAGCGTTCCTCAGATCTCGAGTCGGCCAGTACGACACCTCCTATACTCTACCGCAGCGGTCTCCAAATTTTTTCCGTATGTTGCAAGGGCCATAACCCACCACCTATGCAAACATAGGCTTAGGCTAGTTTTAGTGTCACGCGGACTGTCATTGCGGATCGCTCCGCACAGCCGATCTGTATGAACTGCTAGGAAGCGGGAGCGGTTCCTCCGGACCGCATTACTCTAAAACGCTCCCTAGAAGTTCATACAGATTGGCCATGTGGTCCGCACCGGACGGTCCGCGTGACACTAAAACCAGCATTAGTCATAAGCAGTCGCGGGCCGGATTGATGGCAGTGGCGGGCGCACGGCACGCGGGCCGTAGTTTGGAGACCCCTGCTCTACCGGGAGTCTACCCTATTTCTAGGCAAAGTCTTCCCCAGATCTCTCCAACCATTTCACTCGAAGGCAAAATTGGCTATTCCTTCTTTTCTTTTTCTTCTTAGCGACGTCCCAATCTTCACGTTGAATCATTGACATTGACGACGATGACGATCGATGTTGATGACGACTTGTTGTCTCCACAAGCGCAAGCATCATCCTCGGCCCATAATTAAGATTCATAAATGTTTACCTTCAACACGTACAAATTGGGAAGTCATATGCATATAACTAGTTGTTTACTGTTAGGTCATGAAGCCGCACGCGACGATTAAGTGGTTTTAATTTTTCAAAATATGTCTAACTCCTTATAACACAGAGGTCATACAAGCTCTAATCGCTTCGCTACACTAGCTGACCCGGCGAACTTCGTACCGCCTACAGAAATAATGTAGGATTCCAATGGTGAAAAAATTAAAATCGGACCAGTAGTTTCGGAGCCCGTTCAATACAAACAAAAAAAATATCAAATCTTTCCTCTTTACATTATTAGTCTAGGATACATGTGATTTGCTTTGGTCGAAATAACAATGTCCAAAGCCATAGCTAGTAACAACTACCCTCTTTTCCCCTTATAGGGAAAAATCGAGCAGACTTGTTTACAAAACCCAAATCTGCACGAAGGATAACGAATTGTACACAGTTTGTTTGCGCATCAAACATTGAGTTGTTTATCATAATACGACCTTTTAACCTATAGCGTAGTAATTTATTATTAATCTGTGCTAATAGTGTCATTGCTATTTCAGTGCCTGTTGATAAACAAAATAGTTTAGACTAGAGGATTGTAGGTTTTCATCTATAATATAAAAATGAACTAGCGGCCGCCCGCGACTTCGTACGCGTGGATCCCGTTTTACCCCCTTAGGGGTGGAGTTTCATAAAATCCTTTTTTAGCGGATGCCTACGTCATAATAAGCTTACGTGCTATACAATTTGTGAAACCTTAATTGTAATCTGTTTTGGATCTTTAATAAATAAATAAATAATATCTACCTGCATGCCAAATTTCAGCCCGATCCGTTCAGTGGTTTGGGCTGTGCGTTGATAGATCACTATGTCAGTCAGTCAGTCAGTCACTCAAAATGGTAAGCGCATAACTCAACAACGCTTGGACCAATCTTACGATTTTTTTTAAAAATATTCGTTGAAGTCCAAGGATGGTTTTTATGGCGAGAAAAATTCGAATAGTTTCCGGGAAAACCACGGGCGAAGCCGCGGTCCGAAAGCTAGTTTTTAATAAGTAACAACCCGCCTCAGTCTTTACGTATGTGTCGTCATGAGTCTAGTTTTAAACGTCATCAAAGTATGATTCGGACGGAGGTAAATTCTATTATTAGTGATATTTTGCATAAAGATTATTCATACACACTCGTAGGTAGGTACTACAGCGGTGGACCTGACGCATAAAGTATATTAATGTTAATTAAATTAACATTTTGTTTCAGGTATAATGAATTCGCGCAGTTAAAATTTACCCAGAAAAGTAAGGTAGGAGGTAAGTCTTGTACATCAGCGTTGACAGCATGAAAGAAGATATAGATCGTTTCATCCACGAAGACGCGCCCCACCATTCTTCCGCTAATGTTTGCGTGTTATCGGTACACGCCAAATTATCCATAAGTGCACACACATTACAATAATGACGATCGGATTGCTCGGATCAAACTCCCCGCACCCCGCGCGACCGAGACCAAAAATTGGTGGAGCGCGTCTTCGTGGGTGAAACGATTTTTACTTAAATAATCGTATCTGATCATTTTATGCTCGTAATTCTCCAGCACAAGATGGCGTCGGTGTGGAAGCGGCTGCAGCGCGTCAACAAGCGCGCGGCCAAGTTCCAGTACACCGCCTCCTACCACCGCATTGACTTGGAAGTCACCCCCAAGTGGTATGCTGTCCTACACTATGTACTCTAGGCAGGCTGTGACGTAACACTCCAGACAAGATGGCGGCTGCAGCGTCAACAAGCGCGCGGCCAAGTTCCAGTACACCGCCTCCTACCACCGCATCGACTTGGAAGTCACGCCCAAGTGGTATGCTGTCCCACACTATGTACACTAGACAGGCTGTGACCGACCGAAGGACCGACGACCTCATAAAGGTAGCAGGAAGGCGCTGGATGCAGGCCGCCACCAACTGGCCATTGTGGAAATCATTGGGGGAGGCCTATGTTCAGCAGTGGATGTCCTATAGCTGAAATGATGATGATGATGATTAAATTCTTCATGTAACAGTTGTTAAACTAATAGTCGTCACGTTTTCGTCTTTATGGTGGAGCCCAAAGACATTTTTCACAGGACAGGACGTTTGGTTGAGCTATTGAGCCAGACTCCTAAATGATGGCAGTTCATAATTTCCGAACCCAATGCTTCACGAAACGCAGTAACATAAAAAAACGCGTTGATTTCGGAATTTCGACTGTCACGTTTTGTAATTTTTCTCCTACCTACATAATTATTTTATTTTTTATCAATTATGAAACTTATCGGTTCGTTGAATCTTTTGTTAAGTTAAAGCATCAAAATGTGGGTAGTATTGTCATAAATATTTTTGCAGGAAACCCAACAAACTCAGCATAGTGTGGACGCGGCGGTCCCGGCGAGTGTTCACCGAGCCGCAGGAATGGGAGCCCTCACTCAAAGATCCTCTCAAGTAAGTGTTTGAACTTATTAAAAATAACTACAATTCGCGTAAAACAAATCAATAGTGTTTAGAGAAAACTTAGAAGTCCGGGATAGATAGATGGATAGAAAGTATTTACAAATGAATTTAAAAAAGTACAACAAATAAAACTCCCCATCAGATGGTAGACCCACGGAAAAATGGATTTAAAGTACGCTCGGCGCCTTTTACGAAATAGATCCATATTAGTCTAGACCCAGTGCCAAAAGTTTTCTTTCTATTTCTGTTATACAAATAAAGAGTACCCACGGAGGGTACTTTACTCTTCCACGGACTTCTCGACTGAGCAATACTAGCACGGAAGATAAAGATATTGTATTTTATTTTAAGTATGTATTTATTTGATTTATCATAAATCAATAACAGCTAACGACATATATATACTTTAAGCTCGATAGTAAAAAAGTAAATACGGAAGAGTACTCATTATTATTTCGGTCCTGGATTTTGTGGAGGGTAGTTAAACGGAGTAGTTTCGATCTATTGTATTGCTTTTAATTCATTGTTTTCTATAATTTAGTATACATATCTTGAATTATTTGTGTTCAAAAGTGTTGTAAATAAATAAAGCAAATATTAGATAGATTGGTACAGAGAGATTTCGAAGTCATCAATAGTTGTGTCGTGTTGTAATGGCTTCTGACGTATCTCATACTAACAACCTTACTTACATTATAAAAAGTTTTGGCTTGTTGAACGGAACACTGTTTTATAGTGACATTTCCATACTTCGTCACTTTAAAACACTGTTCAAAGAGTGTTTAATTTGTAAAGGTGTAAATAAATGTATTGAACCGATTCCGTTCTGATGCGGCTATATCCGCCTTCAGTCGTTATAACCCAGAAGAAGTAACAAATGCACTTCGTGGCGGGAATGTGAAGCCTCATGTTAGCAGTTTTGTTTTATTTTCTAAAATTCGTGTTTAGACGTCTATTAATGTGTAATAATAGTGGATTATTAACCATTAAAGTGCATGAGTGTGGGCAAATGATACAATACAGTGCAGCGTGGTTATTCGGACTCTCTCAAGTAGTCCATATGAAGTCTCAGTAAAGCACCACAACTTTACTGAGAGTCAACGGGTGGGAAGGGGTATCATTTACGTCCTTCATTATATCATTTAATTAACCCAAATCTCATACCAGTTGGTCCCATTTAGTAACTCGTCTCACTTGAAACTTGAAAATGGCACAAATCAAGTCGGCCTTGACGTGTATTGCCAAAATAAAAAAAAGAAGAAGAAGTAGGAACTAATGCATTATGTCCTCAGGGGATCAGTGATCTACACGCTGCCTCTGAACCACACGGTGGCGGTGACGCTGTTCAAGGACTCGCGCACCAACGAGCTGGAGGACAAGGACTGGACCTTCGTGCTGGAAGATGTGAGTTTTTTTGCGTTTAATTATCTACATATTACTGTTTGACCTCGTTTCAGCCAAATGACGTCCACTGCTGGACAAAGGCCTCCCCCAAGGTTTTCCACAATGAACGGTCTTGCGCTGCCCGCATCCAGGCTCTTCCCGCGACCTTTACTAGATCGTCGGTCCACCTAGTAGGAGGCCTGCCCACGCTACGTCTTCCAGCCCGTGGTCGCCACTCGAGAACTTTCCTGCCCCAACGGCCATCGTCTCTACGAGCTATCTGCCCCTGTTTGCTGTTTGACCTGTTTGTCTATAATTCGAGTAAAGAAAATAAATGTCGACAGTAGGTGAATTTTGCTCTTTCTTCTCAGACAAGGGACTTTTAGATGGATGTTAGTCGTGAGTTTGCATAACTGCATCATACCGCCTGTTGGTATTTGTTTTATTTCAAAAATCATCATCAACGCAGAAGTCAAAAAAAATTCCCTGTCCGGTCTTTAAAACGGAGGACTGATACCTGAGATATTGTCACCTAAAATGATTAATATTTTCAGAAACCTTAAAATTAAAAAAAAAAACCATCTTTTTTATTCTGGCAAAGTATTCCTTCAAACATTTCGAAAGTTCCAGCTAATTTGTGGACATGATTAATACCCATGGTCATGGTATGCGGTTATGGGCGAGATAACCGCGTGGTTTCTGGGTGGTTCTCATTCCCGCCTCAATGGGAACCGTGCGGTTACAGTTTGATGCAAATGTACAAGAACTGCACGTTTATCGTTGTCTGAGCAATGCCTAAAAACCTAGTGTGAAGGAGATCTAAAGAATTTTGGACGGTTTAACATCGGTATCTTATCAAAGACTTGTATCCAAATTACAATTATTTCAAATTACACTCGGCTATCACATTCCATTGCTTCTTCTATTCAACTTTGTTCTATAACCTTAATGTATTAACATAATCAGATGAAAGAGACTGGATCCCACAACGCAGGGAATCCTAGTGTGGGAACCAGTGCCTTACTTTATGTGCATGTAAAGTTTTGAAATAAATAAATTTTATTATTATTATTTATTTATCCCTCAGGTGTCAGTAACAGGCAAGCGTCGCCGCATAGCATCGTGCGCGATCAACATGCGCAAGTTTGCCAGTCTGGAGCCTACGTCACGCACATTAAAGCTTCAGCTCGAGCCAGCTACGGGCAAGGTGCGCTGCGCTTCGCTGCACGCCACATTGCACTGCGTGTTGCTGCGAGAGGGACGCGCCACGTGAGTACAATACAGTACACTTGTGCTACAGTACACCCGCACTACAGTACACCCGCGCTACAGTACACCCGCGCTACAGTACACCCGCGCTACAGTACACCCGCGCTACAGTACACCCGCGCTACAGTACTCCCGCGCTACAGTACACCTGCGCTACAGTACACCTGCGCTACAGTACACCTGCGCTACAGTAGTACACCTGCGCTACAGTAGTACACCCGCGCTACAGTACACCCGCGCTACAGTACACCCGCGCTACAGTACACCCGCGCTACAGTACACCCGCGCTACAGTACACCCGCGCTATAGTACACCCGCGCTACAGTACACCAGCGCTACAGTACACCCGCGCTATAGTACACCTGCCGCCTTTTTTTCACTTAAAAAAAACTTAATTACCCGACTGCGCCAGTGCGCCAGAAGGAGGGTTATGTTATATTACAAAGAAATTGTTATTTGTTACAGTGACGAAGACATGCAATCGCTGGCTTCTTTACTATCAGTCAACAACAACTCCGATATAGCTGTTTTAGAAGATCTGGATGAAGACGACTACACCCTCTCCGACCAATCCACTAGACAGGTAAGATGCTTCACTAGTCATTACTTAGGTTTCCCACCTCTCGTTCCCACCGCTGCAACTCCTGTGTAGCCAGGATCTACAGCTTGACCGCCAATAAAAACTTAACCAGTGAAGGTCAAGTTTGTCCCGGGGGAAAGTTAACTGTCATAATCAGAAGAACATAGGAGGAGTTCGAAGTTAAGGTTCGACATTCCTCCAATGCAATAGACCGTTTGACACCATACCCCAATAATTCGAAACCACAACTGTTTAAAAAAGACTCTTCATTCTAGTCTTAAAAACCTAATTTATTTTAAATTACCTGTAAATTTCGATTTTTGTTCGAATTGTAATTGACAAAAGTAGTTTAATTGGGTTGACAAAATAGTGACGTCACTTGCTTGTAGTGCCATACAAAATCTATGGGAGAGTTTCGTTTTGACAGTTTTAAAAAGTACGTCAATTGACTGGTGTCAACATGTCCATTAGGTAGTGCACTTTCACTTGTTACTCACGGTGTCAGTAGGGCTACTCTGAAACGCAATTTACGTAGTTTCGGATCTATCTGTCACCTTCGCTCATGCTAGCATCTCGCTTTGCATGAGAGGGATGGTGACAATCGAAACTTCGGATAACGTTTTTCGGAGTAACCACGCAGACGTCGAAGACATGCAGTCGCTGGCTTTGTTATAGTCTGGTCACCGAGTTCACTCGCACACTCACTGCTGCCGCCCGTCGCACAGTAGCGACAGCAATATAATTACGCGCGAGCGATAAGGATAGGTAGCTTGGGGTCACTGGACATAATTCTACGGCGACCAGACTTTATCAGTGAACAACAATTCCGACATAGCTGTTTTAGAAGATCTGGATGAAGACGACTACACTCTCTCCGACCAATCCACTAGACAGGTAAGACTGGTCGTTTATTCATCATCACGTAATTAAATATCAACTGCAAAAAGTCGCCTTTACGACGACAGCAATTGTTGACCATCAGGTGATCCGTCTGCTCATATTCCTCCTGTTCCATAAAAAACGAAATGTAGTATTTGTCCTAGCCATTTATTCATCATTATCAGATTATACATATTGTATTTTTCTTAGTTATATCACAAAAACCTCAATGTAAGTAGTAAGTCGGTAAAACTAAATTAAACCAGAACGAAATAAACATCTTTATCGGGCCAATTTTTTACGCATTGTTATTTACGACGTAAAATAGTATTGTATGTACTCACATATGTAATACAGTTTCATTTAAACAACACTGAGGCCGACAAACATCACTATGAGGTCTCATAGTGCGTGTGGACGCACAGGGTGATACACGAACCAATCGCAGAGCTCTATTCAACGCTGTGCTTTCGATTTGCTGCTTCGCTTAAGCAAGCATCGTTTGTGAATACGGGCGTATGTGTAGTTTTTAGCTCGTCTAAAGACAAAATTCTACGTGCTGACAGACCGCTGAATTTTGTCCAATGACCCCAAGCTACCCATCCTTATCGAGTCCTTATCGATCTTAGAGTGATAAGCATGGGTAGCTTGGGGTCATTGGACAAAATTCTACGTGCTCACAGACCAGACTATAGTCACAGTACTTTTTTAACCTCACATCTTACCTTCCCAGATGCTAGACCTCCGCCAACAAATGGAAGAGATGACCCAAAGCCTGACCAACAGCGACATAGCGGCCACACCCAACAGCGTCCAAAGTCTCAAGTTCGACTCCCGCACGCCCACCGCGCCCGTATCGCCGACCACGCCCACTAAGACCGCCACGCCCACTAATGAGCCGGAGGAGGAGCTGAAGATTGAAGAGACACAGAAACCTAAGGCTGCTGAGGTTTGTAACTTGCAGAGTCTCTAAGCAGAGTGTCTAGAGTCCCAAGGCAATAGTGTCTAGAATCCCAGGACAACAGTGTCCAGAGTCTAAAGTTCGATTCCCGGAGAAGGAGCTAAAGTTTGTGGAGTCACAGAAACCTAAAGCTGCTGAGGTTTGTAACTTGTTTAGTCCCTAGGCAACACTGTCTAGAGTCCCAAGGCAACACTGTCTAGAGTCCCAAGTAGGGTTTCTGATTTCTCGACCTATTTTTTTTCTCGAGTTTCGAGAATTCTCGAGGCCAAAGTCTCGAGTTTTCTCGGGTCTCGAGTCTTTTAATGAAAACTGCTGCAGTCGGTTGAAATTTAATAAAAACACAGGTTTTTTAATCTAATATACCTACTTTTATGCACAACAATCAATATTAGAATTTAGTACCACTTATTTTGGTAAGGAAATAAACAAAAAATAAAATCTTCTTTCATAATTAATATTTACTAATAATCATAACAAAAGTCATAAAGTCGCGTGTACTTTAAGGATAAATAACAATAAAAATCTGGAGCTACAATTGAATCACTTGTTTTCTAAAGAACACTAGTCCAAATAGCAAAATTACGATAAATAAATAAAAAAAAATCTTTTTTTTTTTTACTTTAGTCGATACTACGCTTCCACGCAATCTATGCACATGTCGTGGCAGCTTTTAATTAAGGCTACACTATAAACACGTATTGTTTTCAATGTTTTTTTCAGTTAATTGTGTATGTCTTGTTAGCTGTCCTTAAATAAATAAATAAATAGTTTTTTTTATGAACGAAAAAACTTTTCAATAATTTTTTAAATTTCTTACAGATAACGACTTGAATAAACTTTACGAGGAGGCACGAGTACCTAACCTAACGTCTGTTAGGTAAGGTAACTGTCTAGTTAACAAATTTTTCAGTCTTTAAATCAGTCAGATTAAACATACAACAATAAATATAACATACTCGTTGGTGAACATTATTACTTAGTTTCGATTGAGATCATTACTTACAAATCAAATCAGTTAAAAAAGGAAAGACTAGGCCAGTCTAAAAGCAACGTTGACCTATTAAATAATAAAAAAACTTACTTTTGTCTAAGAAAATAGGCTTTCAAGAATATTAAAGGTTCAAAATCGAAACTCGAGAATTCTCGAGCTCCGGTAATTTTTTTCTCGTCTCGAATGAAGCCAAATTTCTCGAGTTTTCTCGAGTTCGAGAAAGCTCGAGCAGAAACCCTAGTCCCAAGTCAACAGTGTCTAGAGTCCCAAGGCAACAGTGTCCAGAGTCCCAAGGCAAGGTCTAAGGCTGCTGAGGTTTGTAACTTTCAAAGTCCCAAGGAAACAGTATCTAGAGTCCCAGGACAACAGTATCCAGAGTCTAAAGTTGCAATGCAACAGCATCCAGAGTCTCAAGTTCGACTACCGCACGCCCACCGCGCCCGTGTCGCCGACCACGCCCACCGCGCCCGCCACGCCCACTAATGAGCCGGAGGAGGATCTGAACATTATAGAGAGCCAGAAACCTAAGGCTGCTGAGGTTTGTAACTTTCAAAGTGTCTAGAGTCTTAAGGCAGCAGTGTCTAGAGTCCCAAGGTAAGAGTATCTAGAGTCCCAAGGCAACAGTGTCCAGAGTCCCAAGGCAACAGTGTCTAGAGTCCCAGGACAACAGTATCCAGAGTCTAAAGTTGCAGTGTAACAGCGTCCAAAGTCTCAAGTTCGACTACCGCGCGCCCACTAATGAGCCGGCGGAGGAGCTGAAGATTGTGGAGGCACAGAAACCTAAGGCTGCTGAGGTTCGTTACTTAAGAGTTAAGCCTACATCATGGGAATAAGTTCCCATGATGTAGGGCTTAACCAACAACGACATAGCTGCAACGCCTATTCTCTTACGTCTGTGTTGCCGATCACAACCACCAATGAGCCGGAGGAGGCGTTAAAGATTGTGGAGAAGCCTAAGGAAGACTACTGAGGTAATTGTGGAATATCAGACAGTTGCAGAAACGAAATGGTTGCTTCTGGACTATGGGGCATCTTGGGGGGCCGTGCAGAGTCCCATTAGTTGCAGTATTACAGTGCGAAGAGTCCGAAGACCACGCCCACCACGCCCGCCACGCCCACCAACCAGCCGGAGGACGAGCTGAAGATTATAGAGAGCCAGAAACCTAAGGCTGCTGAGGTTTGTAACTTGCAGAGTCTCTAAGCAGAGTGTCTAGAGTCCCAAGGCAATAGTGTCTAGAATCCCAGGACAACAGTGTCCAGAGTCTAAAGTTCGATTCCCGGAGAAGGAGCTAAAGTTTGTGGAGTCACAGAAACCTAAAGCTGCTGAGGTTTGTAACTTGTTTAGTCCCTAGGCAACACTGTCTAGAGTCCCAGGGCAACAGTGTCCAGAGTCTCAAGGAAACATTGTCTAGAGTCCCAGGACAACATTGTCCAGAGTCCCAAGGCAATAGGGTGCAGAGTCCCAAGGCAAGGCCTAAGGCTGCTGAGGTTTGTAACTTTCAAAGTCCTTCCAAGGAAACAGTATCTAGAGTCCCAGGACAACAGTGTCCAGAGTCTAAAGTTGCAATGCAACAGCATCCAGAGTCTCAAGTTCGACTCCCGCACGCCCACCGCGCCCGTGTCGCCGACCACGCCCACCGCGCCCGCCACGCCCACTAATGAGCCGGATGAGCTGAAGATTGTGGAGGCACAGAAACCTAAGGCTGCTGAGGTATGTAAATTGCAGTCCCTAGGCAAGAGTGTCTAGAGTCCCAAGGCAACAGTGTCTAGAGTCTCAAGACAATAGTGTCTAGAGTCCCAGGGCAATAGTGTCCAGAGTCCCAAGAAAGAAACCAAAGGCTGCTGAGGTTTGTAACTTGCAGAGTCCCAAGGCAAGAGTGTCTAAGAGTCCCAAGTCAATAAGTGTCCTGAGTCCCAAATCAATAGTGTCTAGAGTCCCAAGACAATAGTGTCCAGAGTCCCAAGGCAAGGCCTAAGGCTGCTGAGGTTTGTAACTTTCAAAGTCCCAAGGAAACAGTATCTAGAGTCCCAGGACAACAGTGTCCAAAGTCTAAAGTTGCAGTGCAACAGCGTCCAGAGTCTCAAGTTCGACTCCCGCACGCCCAGAGTCTCAAGGCAATAGTGTCCAGTCTCAAGACAATAGTGCCCAGAGTCCCAAGAAAGAAACCAAAGGCTGCTGAGGTTTGTCCACCGCGCCCGTGTCGCCGACCACGCCCGCCACGCCCACCAACCAGCCGGAGGACGAGCTGAAGATTGTGGAGGCACAGAAACCTAAGGCTGCTGAGGTTTGTTACTTTCAAAGTCCCAAGGAAACAGTATCTAGAGTCCCAGGACAACAGTGTCCAGAGTCTAAAGTTGCAGTGCAACAGCGTCCAGAGTCTTAAGTTCGACTCCCGTACGTCCACCGCGCCCGTGTCGCCGACCACGCCCACTAAGACCGCCACGCCCACTAATGAGCCGGAGGACGAGCTGAAGATTATAGAGAGCCAGAAACCTAAGGCTGCTGAGGTTTGTAACTTGCAGAGTCTCTAAGCAGAGTGTCTAGAGTTCCAAGTCAATAGTGTGCAGTCTCAAGGCAACAGTGTCTAGAGTCCCAGGACAACAGTGTCCGGAGTAAGGGATTGATCTTGTAATTGTGGAATATCAGACAGTTGCAGCAAAGACATGGCTGCTTCTGGGCTATGGGGCATCTTGGGGGAACGTGCAGTCTCACTAGTTGCAGTATAATAGCGCTTTAGTGTGCAGAGCCTCAAACTTGAATCCCGTTTTATTCACGAGGAGGTGCGTTCATGCTTACAGTTGCTGTCAACTGCGGATAGAAGTATCCACCAAAAACTTCAATGAACATATCTCTTACTTTTTGAACTTACATACAATTATTTCTATCAACTGGCAGCTATTTTCATTAGGTCATCCCTCGTCTCCTTTAGCTGGTCTTAATGCCAGAGTGGAAAGTTCTAGGACTCAAGTCCTTTTTAAACGCCATTCAGTATCCATTCCAGAAGCATAACCCTTGCTAAAGCTCATGCAAACAAAGGCTTAACCCTCATTTTCGTGTTAGCAAAATGGACTAGGTTGGGCCGTAACAATGCCGTCTATAAGATTGATATGAAATATTTTTGTATCTTCCACAGCCCCCAAAATTCACCTCCACACCCAAGAGCGACGAGCTAAAAGGCGTAGTGTTCAAGCCAAAGACGATAGCCAAGCGGAACCTCAAGCCTTTAGAGCTGAAGACGCCTCTCAGCTGCATCAACCTGGACAGCAATGACAACGAGAGCGGCGAGCGCACGCCGACTGCCCGCCCCGACCGGAATGATAAGGACAAGACGCCGGTAAGTTGGAAGGATTCTATGTACCAAACAGCTGACGGTGGCTTATGCCCGTTTTTTTACCATCAATCCCTAGTTTTTAAGTGACCCCTTCACAGGAGTATGAATTTTGTTTTCATAGGGGCCACTTAAAAATTAGGGATTGATGGTGCAAACTCATTAGCTCCCTTTCCAATCCCTACCTTTTTTTCATCACACCCGGATCCGATGAATGGAAGAAACAAATGAAGATAGAAAAGTGACAGCCCATCTTTAACGAAGACTCCTGCCCGTTTTCACCATAAATTCCTAATTTTTAAGTGACCCCTTTGAAAACAAAATTCCTGTTATGTGACACTCGATCCGGCTCGAAGGACCATGTTGTTTCGTCGTCGTCGACCGACCATGTTGTGTCGTTGTTTTGTACGATAGGGCTGGATACTGCGGGTTTCTGATTAAAACAATCAATCCGCTCGCAAGCGCCGTCAGACTGCCACGAGAGCCGGCGTGCGACTACTCCTGACGGTGCCTCTCGACGGTTCTTACCGGTCTACCAGTGCCTCAAAGTCAAAGTCAAAGTCAAAATTTCTTTATTTGTTTGGACTAATAAATAGTTCTTACAAATCGTCATTTTACTCTTAAGGAGCCTCTACATGTCTCATAATCTTTTTACCCTACCAGCGCTTCGAGACCAACATTTGGCAAGTGCTGAGAAGAAGCGCCGCAACAAACTCAGTCACCACTGTCACCTCTAGCATGAACAACTTTTGTCTCCGAATCGTTTGCGTATTCGACAAAATTCGATACTCAATCTTCGAATTAAACGATAACGAGACAATTCTGATTTTCAAAATGAGTTTCGTGGAACCATTTCTCATACTAAGTTCACTTTACGACACGTTCACAAGGGCGCTGTTGTAGTTTTCGTACTAAATCTTTTGATGGCGATTCGAATACGCAAACGATTCGAACTCGAAAGTTTTTCGTGCTAGCCGTGGTGTAGACCTGTAAGGTCTACTACCATTTGCTCAAAAGCCCAGTTTCCACTAAAACTGAGAGGAGACTTTACGAGATCTGTTTGGTTATTCAAAACACATCCTCTTCTCTCCGCTTTGGTTAAAATCGGGCATGGTCTAATGATAATGATGAACTGATGAATATTTCCTGTTCCCAGGTGCAAGACCTACTAGAGTGGTGCCAGGTGGTAACAGGGGAATACAAGGCTTGCCGCGTCACCAACCTCACTACTAGCTTCCGGTCTGGCCTGGCCTTCTGCGCCATCATACACCGCTTCCGACCGGACCTTATGTAAGTGACAGTTCAGCCATGTTTTTTCAGGAACCCTGCTTCAAATAGCTCTTTAAAAGCTGACAATTAAATAACTTTTTTTACACCTAACTGCTTTGGGACAATAAAGTAAGAAGAAACAATTCAATATATTCAGATAATTGCTTCACGATATTGTGTATTGTTGAGCCATATTAAAATTTACATAACCTATCTAACTTTATAATTTGTAGTTTTTCTTTGTCACTATAAATCTGTCCGTTACTGATTTGAAAGACACAGGTTAGCTTCCAGTGTTGCTATCTTCACCGCCTCTGTGGTCTAGTGGTTAGACCACCTGCTTCAGACGCAGAGGTCCCGGGTTCGATTCCCAGTGGGGGCAGATTTTTCTGTTCGGTTTGGTTGGTGGTAGGGCTTGTTCTAAGTCCGCCTGGCTAGCTACCACCATCTTACCTAAGTCTGTCGCCATAACAACAATGTTAACAGCATTATTGTGTTCCGACAGTTAGAGGTAAGATAGCCAGTTCCTCCGTGGTTGAGGATTCCGGGTGAAGCTCGCTCCCACCTTCGGCCTGATCGTCACTTACCATCAGTTGAGATACAGGCCAAGAGCTTCCTCGTTGTGGATAAAAAAAAAAAAAATCTTCAAAAAAGTCGTCCTTCTACATTATGTCAAACCTGACTTTCAATAAGAAGTTTATATCTGACTCCTTTGCATACCTATGCATTCCCACTCCCTAGCAAGTAGATAAGTGGCAAAATTAATCCAAATCTTTCATTTATCTCTGGTAATTTTGAAAAGCTTTTTCACTTGCCGTCGAGACATGACCGACCATGTCAGGCTGACAAAGGTTACTAATGGCCGTTTTCACCATCAATCCCTAATTTTTAAGTGACCCCTATGAAGACTAAATGCCTAAGTTGTGTTACTATAACTACTACTACTACTACTAATCACTTAAAAAATCGGGATTCATCCTGAAAACGGGCACAAGTTTCTTCTGCCACTTAAGCACCAGGCAGCCGCTATGTTGTTTTTTTTTTAAATGTTTTGTTATATTTTTTATTAAATGAGCAGACGTAGTAGTAGACAGAGTAGGGTAAGTAAGATATTTGGGACGTGAACGTACACGTGCCATGAAAAGGGCCTACATACCAATAAAGAATTTGTATTTGACTTTATGGCGATGCTATCCACAGTGACTTCTCGGGGCTCCAACCGGACGATGCGGAAAGGAACCTCAGAGTGGCGCTAGAAGCGAGTGGCTCACTAGGCCTCCCACGAGTGCTGTGCGCGGCCGACGTCCTCTCACGACCGACGCCCGATCGCCTGGCTGTAAGTATAAAGTCCGGTCGCCGAGCAGATAGAATTTCGTACAATGACCCCAAGCTGCCCATCCTTAATGCTCGCACGTAATATTGCTGTCGCACTCGCACACTTACTGCGGCCGCCCGTCACACAGTGAGTGTGCGACAGCGAGAGCAATATTGCGAGCGATAAGGATGGGTACCTTGGGGTCATTGTACGAAATTCTATCTGCTCGGCGACCGGACATTACACCCTTTTTTGCGCATACCCACTGGTCACTGGAAATGGCCAGTGGGTTATTGGTAGGTTTAAGGACCTCCCCACCTGCTCACTAAAGGCTGGGTCTACCCTAAAACCCGACGGTGTCCACCGGAGCCCAATGAAACAGAGCCGCGAGTTATTGTCCTAGCTTGGATATTTATTTATTTAGGAAAACCAGAGTTTTACAGTGTTTAATAATAAAGACAAATTATGCAATAAGTAAACCACTTACAGCTTCATTATATTATATTCGTCCGCAGCTTCGTCTCAGGCTACAGTCTCGCTCTCCAGCGAAGAAAAAGATAGTGCAAGAAGTCACAAATGACATTTCTTTTTCAGATCATGACATACCTCTTCCAACTGCGAGCGCATTTCACCGGCAACGAATTGCAGGTTGAACAATTAGGTTTGTATCATTTATTTTCGTCTTATTCTTATAAATTAACTTTAGCATGTTTTTTTTAATTTTAGGACTATAATGAAGCGTTTTTTAGGATAATTGTGTTACTATAAGTTTAGCTTAACTTAGTCAGTGCCTAAGGTATGAGCGCGCCACGTGAAGGAGTTTTTGTAACGTCAAACGTCAGCGAGACTTTAAATCTCCTTAAGTGGGTCTAGTCAAAATGCACTTTAAAAGACAAACGCAATCGCAAACCAATCGCAAACCAGTCGCAAACAAACAAACAAATCGCAAAGTGGTCGATAACAAAAAAGGCTTAGCCAAAAAAATCGAATCGCAAAGCCCTACCTATCGATAAATCGAAAGACTGGCTTGAAATTTCCCATGCAAAGGCTTAGCCAACATGCATTTATGACTCAATCAAAATCGAATCGAATCGAAACTCCCGCCATTTTCATTGCGATTACCAAAACCCCGGTAATAAGATTCGATTCGATCGAAAACCAATAAAAACAATAAGGGTGAGTTGCACCACCTAACTTTGACCGTAACTATGACGATAACCTGTGTTTTTTGTATGGAGTTTGACAGATTTTAGATGTTTGTCAAAGTTAAACTAAGATGGTGCTACCCACCCTGTTGGCTGGCTGTTTTGACAAATCCGTATCGTGATGTCGTTTTAACAGCTAGTTTGACAGCGAAGCATAGACGTAAACAGAGAGCAGAAAGAAAGAAGAAACTAATTAAAAAAAAAAGCTAAAAAAAGTAAAAACAATCCCAAAGTCATAGACATTTTTGAACTTTTATTCGATTTTGAATGAACTTTTATATCGCCGCGTCGATGGTGGTTCAATGTACATTTTGGCTGCCATTTTACGATTGAATCGAATTACTGGTGACGCGGCGACTGACATTATCGAAAGCTTCCTATTGCAGTGGGAACGAGAGGTGCGAATAGTCCCTTTTAGTATCTTGAGCTCCACTTTACAATATAGCTTTTCCCTTCAGGCAACGACGAGACGGAGTCATCTTACCTAGTGGGTCGGCATGACACTGACGCGGCGTTACCGAGGGAGCTATTCAGCCGAGAGGTCAGCGCGCGCCGCTCAAGGAACACCATCGACCGACCGAGACCTATGTGAGTTTGATTACTGCTTCAGTAGTTCCAGGAATTTAGGTAAATAGGGTGGATGCAAACAGGCGACTTTACCCCTTGGGAAGTGGACGCAAACAGGCGACTTTACCTTATGGGAGGTGGACGCAAACAGGTAACTTTACCCTATGGGTGGTAGAGGCAGACAAGTAATATTACCCTGTAGGTGGTGGACGCGACGTAGACAGCCCCCCTAGACAAAACGCACTTTTTGATCGAATCGAAAATCGAATCCGTCAAAACTCTTTTGTATGGAGTGGCCCACGGTGACGAAGGCCACGGCGCTGGTTTTCAGTGTGCCCCATGCCGAGTGAGGGTCACGGACCATTGGTAAAATAAATAAAATAGTAAGCTGCATAATATTTTCTAAACATACATAAATAGTAATATTAGTGCACAGATAAATACAAAAGGCGGGAAATCGGTAAGGATGAAAGGGTCATCACTGGTTACACTCCGAGCCATAAGTAATTCACTGGTAACACTCCGAACCATAAGTCATCACTGGTAACACTCCGAACCATAAGTCATCACTGGTTACACTCCGAGCCATAAGTCATCACTGGTAACACTCCGAGCCATAAGTCATCACTGGTTACACTCCGAGCCATAAGTCATCACTGGTAACACTCCGAACCATAAGTCATCACTGGTTACACTCCGAGCCATCAGTCATCACTGGTAACACTCCGAGCCATAAGTCATCACTGGTAACACTCCGAGCCATAAGTCATCACTGGTTACACTCCGAGCCATAAGTCATCACTGGTAACACTCCGAACCATAAGTCATTATTTATTTATTTTATTACGTATACAAAACAGGACAATGTCCTAAGCAATACAATGACAATATGAATAAAAAATCAAAACCAGACATTATCCCAAAGCATGTATACACAACATGGAATATTGCCAAGCAGTTGTTGTAAAAATCATGCAAATGAATCTAAGCCTAAAACTATTACAATTTTAATAATAAAAATATATTAAAAATATAGTTAAATTAATGTTACAGTCAGTTAACATTTTCTAAAAGGATGCCAATTGTTGACTTTTTGAATCGAGGTAAATTATCATTAAATATATCTATTTTATTGTGATTAGTTTACTGGTAACCTCTGTGCCTAACTCTCGTGATTGTTTCGCCGCAGGTCGCAGGAGTCCCAGCCAGTATCGGAGCCACGCGTTGACCCAGTGCCGGAGCAGCCGGCGTCGCCTGCCGCCAAAGACGTCCGGGACATGCTCGTGGCTTCCAGGACTCTGCTCGGGAAGGTCGGTGCTTAGTTGAAGGAGAGACGTGTTGATCGACCTATGCTATGACGTAGAGATAGGTTATACTAGGTAAATTTGATACTAGGTGCACCTATTCCTAGTATTTATTAATACTTGATCCAAATACCTATTCCACCTAGTACGTAGTAATTTAGCATACTTGACGCGACTAGTGCGGACTAATCCACGTAATATGACTTTAAAATATTTTTTTTTTAAAAGATACAACCGTAATATGAATAATGCAATTTGAAATTGAATAATAATTCCTCCCTTTATACTTCAACAGGCTTAGGACTGTCAACTTAAAAGTTGGCGTATTTAAAAGATATCAATTTCATAAAAATATTTACATAATATATTTTTTCTCATTTACATGAATATGGTTTGACTACGTTTGTGTGCGTTTGCTTCGTCGCGCTCAAATTTGTTTGGTCAGACAGAGACGGAGTGAATCTCTACGTTCGCACATAAGCTTAGCGAGAAATACTAGGTGCGCGTAATACACGACTACGGATTACGCAATAATAACCTCTATTACTTTGATGGTAGGGTCGGAAATCGTGTAATTTATAAAATACTAGGTGGATCAAGTATTTAAAAATTGGAATAGGTGCCGCCTAGTACTGTAAAATACCTAGTGTGTGGATCTGTTCTAGTAAATACGTCTCATCTCTACTATGACGTCATTCATCATCATCATCATCTCAGCCATAGGACGTCCACTGCTGAACTTAGGCCTCCCCCAATGCTTTCCATGCTACCCGGTTGGTAGCGGCCTGCGTCCAGCGCCTTCCTGCTGCCTTTATGATGTCGTCGGTCCACCTTGTGGGTGGACGTCCCACGCTGCGTTTTCCGGTACGCGGCCTCCACTCCTGAACCTTGCTGCCCCATCGGCCGTCATTTCTGCGTACTAATTAAAAATATGCGCAGACCACAGACTTTTAGTTGGCCGATAGTTGGATTTATTTCCAATTTGTATGAAGAATCGGCCAATACTAAATCGGTGTAGTGTGCGCACATACTGATCAACCTCCCAACCTAAGTATCGGCCAACTAAAAGTCGGTGGTCTGCGCCTAGGCTCAATCTTACTATCTTACCACCTCTGTGGTCTAGTAGTAAGACAACCGATTTTTCTTTTCGATTTGGTTAGTCCTACCCGACTAGCGGGTTGGCTAGCGCTACCACCTGTCACCATAGCAATATGGTTAACAGCATTGTTGTGTTCCGGCAGTTAGAGGTAAGATAGCCAGTTCCAGATTCCAGGTGAAGTTCGCTTCCACCTTTGGCCTGATGATCATTTTCCATCAAGTCAGATGCAAACCAATAGCCTCTTTGTTGTGGACAAAAAAAAAGAAAGTGAGATTGGGCTCTGAGGTAGTGAAACACTATTTTATTTATGTCAAATATATGTATAGTGTGCAGTGATTATCCACAAACCGATTACATAAGTGAATATAAAAGTTTTATTAAAAGTGCACTGACAAATAAATTGTAATAATCTTTGAACATTTAAAGACATTTCACTTTGTTCTCTAAAGGTGTTGTCGCCGGCGCGGGAGCTAGCCAAGCCGACGGCCAAGTGGTTCGCCGAACCGATCGGCAGGGTCGACACCACTAAACACATTGAGGTATGTGAATATAAAGCATAAGGATCTATTTTAATGTCTTTCCTGTACCTAGAAAAAGAGGCTGAAAAAAGTGGACTCCTTCTCAGCACTAGCCCATATGTTGTCCCAAAGTGGTGGTAGGGCAAGTTATACATAATTTTGAGAAGTGTACAAGTACCCTAGCTAGAAGAACCCAAGTACTGAATTAGGTATTTTTTATTGGTAAAAAAGAAAGAGTTTTAATGAGTCCGTCAGTTAACTTGTCAAAAAATTCTCGATACGTATTTTTCACTTTTTCAAAATAGGAAGGAAAGACTAGCTTTCCGCCCGTGGCTTCGCCCGCGTGGAATTTTGTCTGTCACAGAAAAACAATCGCGCGTGTCCCTGTTTCAAAAACCGGGATAAAAACTATCCTATGTTCTTTCCCGGGACTCAAATTATCTCGATGCCATATTTCATCAAAATCGGTTCAGTGGTTTAGACGTGAAAACAAGACAGAGATAGAGTTACTTTTGCATTTATAATATTAGTATGGATTTAATGAGATAAAGCGCGACAAAGTTCAGAAAAAGAGACCCGTGACGTCAAGGAGTGCTTAAAAGTGTAGCACTTTGTAACGTCATGCGGAACTTCAACGCATCATAACTTCGTAATTACTTGTTTGATTGACAAAAAAAAAATACGTGTCCAATATTTTTTGATAATGTAATTGACGGACTAAGTTTTTATTAGGAAACTAGCTTATCTAACAAATTGTTAGGGATATATTAAGTCCGCTACAGAGCAATAAACACAGTTGTTGGTAGTAACATAATAAATATATTGGTATCAAAGCACACGTAGAATATTTACAATAGAGAGTTCGGCACAGCCATTACACAGCTAAAGACAACATCACATTTGAATATAAATGACAGTTCTATCATAGCGGTTCCAGCTAGCCAGCTCTACGTCATACAGCATGAAGGTGCTCATCAACACAAATAACATTTCCTCCCTTCAATCTTCTGGTTACTAAGATACAGGTTGTAACCTAGTTTAGTAGTCATGGGACCCCCGATTATCATGCCACTTTTTGTAACCTTTGCATAGTAATACATGCATAATGTGACTTCTGGTTCAAATAAACGTTTTTATTATTTATTTTATCTCTAGCCTCCCCCCGCGCGACCGGAAAAACTAATGACCCGTAAAGAGCTCACCGACCCTTTCGGCTCCGACGACGAGGACGAGGCACCACCCCCCGCTGCCATACAGACCCCTCATGAGGATAATAATGACACTGGTAAGTTATGACAATGTGTGTAACTGCTTACTAAACTGAAGTAACATAGATAGTGTAGTTGATGACGTGCAAAGAGCTCAGTGACCCCTTTGACTTATACAGACCCCTCACGAGAACACCTTTGACTCGATACCAATCATGCTGGTAAGTGAGAGCCATAACACACATGCAACTAAAAGTTGCCGTATTTTTAGAGTAATGCAGCGACCATACATTCCACACCGCACACTTAAAAAAGCCAAACCTGGCGATTGAGCCGCTTTTCGGAAGCACGATGCAGCGACAGCAGTCACTAAAACGCGCGATTCCGAACTTCATGTGTTGAAGTCTCGGAATCGCGATGTTGCATCGCAAAACCGCCGATTCCTGTCAAAAGTGGCATGTCTGCTGCGGCCCTTAGGTAAGCTTACTAAACTGAGAAACACTATAAGGTAGAGAGAAGCCAAAATCAAATCAAAATCAAATCAAAATCAAAAAATATTTATTCAGTTTAGACCACAAGTGGCACTTATGAACTCCGACTCCCACAAGATCTCACGAGTCAATTCTGATTGAGAATAGCCTTCCCACGCACTCCCTCGAAACCTCACCTCTGCATGACAACTAGATTATTGTTTCAAAGCACTAGCTTTTTGAGCTGGTTCCAATATTCACCACTATCTAATCACAATTTCAGTGAAATCAGAACAAAAACCACCAACAATAGAGCCGGCGCTTACAGACCCGCTCACCACGCCGGAAAAACCAGACACCCCGCCGGAAACCGCGCCGGAATCCGCGCCCGAAGCGGGCTCGCCTAAACCGCCGTCGCCGGAATTACCCAAGCCTACGCCGGTAAGTGAGTCAATGAATGAGGGTACTCGTTTAGACATTAGTAGGAATGTAAACAAAATTATTTTGATTGGCTATGATAAATGCTTGTTCTCTAGTCGTCTACTTTTGGAATTCATTAGATTGTAATTTCAGCTAAATCTTAGAATGCGACCTATTTAGTTAATTTATGGTTGCAGACTAAGAGCTAAGTTAGTTTAGCTTCGCTCGCATAACTGACGCAGGTTCCCATAGTGTTTGCATAGTTTGAAAGTTGTATGTAACTATGAAAAATTGTGTCAACTGTGCGAGCTAAGTTTAACTCTTGGTCTGCAATCCGCATTAGATTCTGAAAATAACTAAGACAGGTTAGATTTTTTATGTCAAATGAATAGAGATACTAAATAAATGTTTTTGCTTTACTTTATTTCAAAACGTTACAGTGGTAAAAACATGTTATTAAACGATTAATTTCACAAACAATCATCTTTACTTTCTTAATTACTTTACCATAGTTTTGCTTACTTAAAAAGAAATACATACATTTTTTGTTTACATTCTTTCAACTATTTCTAAACGAACAGATTGTATGTTGTGGCTTATTTGTAATGTCTAGCATTGTTGAGTTATAGTGACGTATTTGACAACCGAGTATTGCCATTGCGAGGATGCTGCAATTCATTATTTGAACTGGCAAGAATTAACTCACTCACATCGGCTTGAGACTTGGTAAATGATCACAAATTAAAAAAGAGTATGTAAAAGTGCAGTGACTAAATTAAATGATTAAGGGTGGATTCGACCAACAAGAGTAAATATTAATCTTAGAATAAATCGTCAGTTTTGACGATTTATTCTGAGAATTTCCCATACTGAAACTGTCAATGTGCCGGTTATACCAGGAGTTATACTCGGATAAAAGGTTGGTCGAATCAGGCCTAATAAGACTTCATTTCACAGAATTAAATTGATAGATAATTTTTATCTAAAGCAATAATATTTAAACTTTAAATCACAATATTTTTCTATCATTGGAGTTACGAGCTTATTCCTAACGAGTCACATCCAAACGAGTTATACAGCTGTTACTCATTGGGAAAAACAAATTCCATCCAGTCACTGTTACTCGTTCGGACATTTGGTTTCCTATCTTCCTAACCGGTCACACATTAAGGCTAGGTTGCACGGTTGCAACATGTTACTTTAACTTTGACAAACGTCAAAAATCTGTCAAACTTCATACAAAAAACACCAGTTATCGTTATAGTTACGGTCAAAGTTAGGTGGTGCAACTCAGCCTAAGAAATAGTGTACTTACAAAATACATAAAAATTCAAAATATGTACTTAATTTGTCTAAGGCTTACTGTTGCGTGACCGGTTGGGAAGATAAGTAAACAAATGTACTGTGTGACTCGTTTGAGAGTGACACGTTGGGAACAAGCGGAGTTAAGTATTACTTCATATTACTAGCTTGGATTCATACAAATAACTCATACGAACCATTTCTTTCCATTGCCGCATCATCATCGGCTTGAATGCGTGTGTGATTTCGCATCGCTTGGTCGAACGCTTCGCTCCGATTGGTCGAAAACGGTGATGCTTCGCTCCTATTGGTCGAAAACGATGACGCTTCGACCCGATTGGCCAACGCTTGGACGCCATTGGCCCAATATTGGCCGTGATCGGACGACGGTTACGCTTTGGCATATAGCAATTGTTGTCGAGACACGACGAGCTTAAAGAGCGAGCGAGACAGCTGCTGGAGGCGACGAAAAGAGAAGCGAGGGAGAAGGACAGACTGAGGCGGCAAGCTTCTAAGGAAAAAGAGGAGAGAGAAGCGCTGAAAGAAAACGGGATAAGGAATGGAGAGTTGAGTCCTGTTAAAAAGGTACGTACAATAATTTCTTTGAAAATACAAACTGGTGAATGTGGTCAGGAGATTAAACCCATAAATTAATTTCCAAATTCCCCTTATAGATTGTGAACTTCATGTCTTTGAGATATGTTTTATAATTGATTGAGAAAATGGTCCTACTTTTGTGTGTGATGTATTTCATAAAAAACTTAAAACTCAAATCGAGCTTAGGTTTTCTGTCCGTTTTTTTACTGTCCAGTTTTGTTCATATTATGCCCAGTGTTTTATGAGAACTTTGTTTCGATATTGTCTATGGTACCGGTTTTGATACCTGATACCTGGTGTCTGTTTTCTAGTACTCTCTCTGAACATAAATTGATTTCTAGCACTTTCCACTGAAGGTACAAAATTGACTGTTCTTGTTTTGAAATTATAAAGTACTTATTAATTTCTCCAGCCAATGACAGAGGAGGAGCGACAAGCAATGCTCCGCGAGCGAGCGAGAAAGCTGATAGCCGACGCGCGCGCTGGTATCGTTAGGTGAGCAAACTACCCTCTTGTTTGTATTATAATAACTAGCTGACCCGGCGAACTTTGTTCCGCCTTAAATGGCAATAAATAAGCAGACTTTTTTTTTTAATTTCGAACGGGATAAAAAGTATCCTATGTCCTTCTCCTGGCTCTAAACTACCTCCCTGACAATTTTCAGCTAAATTGGTTCAGCCGTTCTTGAGTTATAAGTGGAGTAACTAACACGACTTTCTTTTATATACAGTGTGAGTCACGTTAAAGTGTACATATGAAAATAGATTAAACTAGACCTATTTTTATCGACAAAAAAGAGGTCAAAAATTTTTTGAGATTTTTTTTAAATTTTTTATAGAATTTTTTTTCTTCCAATTACTTATTGTAAAGAAAACGTAATAACTTTTAAACTAAGCGGTATATCGTGATAAAATAAAAACAGTAATAATGCTAAATAACAGGCAATACTAAAAAAATACATACAATTCACAAAAAATGCCAACAAGTAATAAACAATGATACTTTTAAAAAAAAATCTGCTTAAAAATTCGTGTTTTTTTTGTTATTTGATCAATTTCTCCAAAAAATTCCCCTATAACAGGTAGTTTTTATTGTTGTGTATTATTCTCTATCGTATTACCTTTGTAAAACCAAAAATTGCATGTCTCTATCCCTATCACAACATTTGCTATGATAGTTTGAACAAAGGCCTACCACCACATTATTCTTCTCTACAGGTAGGGACAATTTTAATTTTAACTAAAGTGCTTATTTTACTTCGAAATCTTTTGTTTTTACTTGAAATCTAACTTGTCTTTATCAAAATTACAAATCTAGAGCCATTTTTAGTTTCGTTGTTAACGAAGCGTTGAATGGCGCGCCCGGAGAGGCTTAGTTCAAACGATCATAGCAAATGTTGTGATAGGGATAGAGACATGCAATTTTTAGTTTTACAAAGGTAATACGATAGAGAATAATACAAAACAATAAAAACCACCTGTTATAGGGGCATTTTTTTGAGAAATTTATCAAATAACAAAAAAAACATGAATTTTTAAGCATATTTTTTTCAAAAAGTATCATTTTTTATTATTTTTTGGCCTTTTTTGTGTATTGTATGTATTTTTTTAGTATCACCTGTTATTTATCATTATTACTGTTTTTATTTTATCACGATATACCGCTTAGTTTAAAAGTTATTACGTTTTCTTTACAATAAGTAATTGGAAGAAAAAAAATTCTATATAAAATAAAAAAAAAATCTCAAAAATTTTTGGACCACTTTTTTGTCGATAAAAATAGGTCTAGTTTCATCTATTTTCATATGTACACTTTAACGTGACTCACACTGTATATATATATATATTTTTTGAAGAAGGCTTCCCCCTTATTTCAAATCTGCTTAAAAAAATTGCATTAATATGACAACGTTACCTTTATCAATTTTAGGGTTCCGTAGTCCTGATAAGGAACCGTTATAATTTTTTCACTAATTAATTTCATCTTTGATTCCAATTATAAACAGTCTGAGGGCTTGGTGTGAGTTTACATCAAGCGAGCGCCTTAAAAAACATGAAGATTTAAGTTCTTGACAGTTTCCGCTAGGGGCGCTGTACAATCCGTCATACATTTAATGTCACTTTTTTACGCGTTCGACATCGAATGCGTTTGACGTAAACTCACACTACGCCCCCTATAGTCAAATTTTCATAATAAGCAAAACTTGCTTACTTGTTTTTATGATATCTTAACAACTCCTGTTTTATTATTGAAAACTCTAAGAAATTTTATCAACACATTTTATTGTAAAAACCAAGACAACATGAATGACAGAACATGCAATGGCGGGCAATCTGACAGATGACATTAAGTTCAGAAACCATAAATAAAACAACTCCAACATTAAACACACCGTATTCTTTTCTACAACAGCCATTTTGTTTGCAGTCCTACGTCACCTTTGTCACCGTCCCGCAACCGCGGGCCCACGCTAGAAATCATTAGCAAGCAGTCGCTTATGGACGAGATTGCTGCTGGTAAGTCTTACTTTGTTTAACTTTTTATAGGGCTCTGTCGAATATATTGCCAGCTATTATATTTATTTATTGATTTATTTACATAGGTTTTAGATTTTATTAATATTATATGAAACTTGCTCACTTATTTATGTAATGAAATTCCTAGGTTTTCCAGACACAGGTAACATAATTTATGACGTTTAGGCTGGTTTTAGTGTCACGCGGACCGTCCGGTGCGGACCCGCTCCGCACGGCCAATCTGTATGAACTTGAACTTCTAGGGAGCGTTTTAGAGTAATGCGGTCCGGAGGAACCGCTCCCGCTCCGTAGCAGTTCATACAGATCGGCTGTGCGGAGCGATCCGCAATGACAGTCCGCGTGACACTAAATCCAGCCTTAGATAAAAGTAATGTCCTTGTTTCTCTATACAAATCTTATTATGTGTTTAGTAAAAGTAAGATTTGTATAGAGAAATCTTATTATGCAAACATTATGTATAGTCAAAATGGCTGGTACACCAAAAGCCCCTGGCCAAAATGCCCCTTCCGTCGACGGCCCATAATCAAACACTCAAAATGATTATTCAGTACTAGCTTTTCGCGATTTCGCTCACGTTAAACTTTAGAACCTAAATTTTCTTAATGGATGCGTACCCATCCATTCATAAACAAACGTCACACTGGGTCACGTCACGTACAGATCACAAAAACTAATGGGAGATGTGACAAGGGGGCGGGGACGGTGTCGCAGCAATATGCCCAAAACTAATGCGACACTGAGTTTCGAACTAAGCGCATTAGTTTGCACCTCTCTATGTCTATGGGGTCACGTCATTATGTAGGTGCCTTTCAGCGAAATCTGTTTAGTGGTTTGAACTGTGTGTTGATAAATGAGTGAATAGTTGCTTATACCAGGCCTGTTCATCTCCGCGAGTTTACATCGATAACAAAACAAGCAAGATGGCACCCTACAGGATTACTATTCGACAAGGCCTCACATACGAGCGAACATTGACTCACGCACGCGTATTCTTGTGTATGATGGAAGAAAATAAAGAAAATGGTGTACTAAATACTGTGCAGTATTTAACTGCCTAAATAATAATAAAAACACAGAATGTACTTTTTTAAGTTGCCTCAAGACACTGAGAGGTAAATAAGTAGTTAATATTATTCATGATAATTCATGCTAAATCATGTATTTCCTCCGCCATTTTCCGCAGTTTGGCACCTCACGTCACATCATTTTACCGAAGTCAGCCCTATAGCTTCGGCGCAGTGCCGATCACTGACGTTTGTCAACAAAATGGTGCTTGACTCTTGAGACAGGCTAAATTACACCATATTGTTAATGACATTGAGCATACATTTTTTTAAATACCTTCGCGAAGTAAAACTTCTGTACGTAGTACTTATTATTATTCTGTGATATAACTGTATGAAATGATATTAGTTTGTTTGTAACTCTAGCTGTCTCAGCGAACTTCATATTGTAATGGAATCATGGAACCCACAGTTTATGAGAAGAAAAAGGAATATATCGGAGAAGGATATACTTCTGGCTTAAAGTGGGAAACCTTTTTCAGAATATGAATATGCAAAACTGCCTCCTCTAACTGGCATTTGTATGCCCCTCTCGTACTTATTTTTCGTCTAAAGAATTTGAATTTAACAAAGCACAGAAGGCCCTTCTCAAAAAACTCTTGGTTTATCTTGGCCCAGAAAGACTGACCACTGTCAAAAGAGTGCAACAACTGATAAGACCGTCGTCCTGCCTCCTTTCTAAAGTTGCTGTGCCCTAACTGGGTCCATATTGTATAACTGCCTAAATCAGCGGTTCCCAAACTTATTTTGTCTACTGCCCACTTTGAGAATATATTCTTTTTTAGCTCCCCCATTTTTGTAGTCAAGAGTCGAGTGCTCAGTCGGTGTCTAAGAGTCCTCCTAGTAGATGAAATTATAAATCGCCTCCCAAGCCTCTACACAACGTCCAGATTTTTTCCGGGGTCTCTTACCGCCCCCCTTTAAGCCTGCAGCGCCCACAAGGGGGCGTTATCGCCCACTTTGGGAAAGACTGACCTAAATTGTAAGACCTAATGTGAATGTGCTAATTTGGTATAGAAATCAATGATTGAGTATTGAACTGAGGAGTCTTGGTCCAAAAACTGAGTATATCAGTGGCCTTTAATTCTATTTACACTAGCCTTCCACCCGCGAATTTGCCTGCGTGGAATTTTGTCTGTCACAGAAAAACTTTATCGCGCGTGTCTCTGTTTCAAAAACCGGGATAAAAACTATCCTATGTCCTTTCCCGGGACTCAAACTATCTCTGTGCCAAATTTCATCAAAATCAGATTCATTTATTAGATTTCATTGAATGGGTTTAGGCGTGAAAGCAAGACAGACAGAGTTACTTTCGCATTTATAATAATATTAGTATAGAGGTATAGATTACTTATTTATTACTAAACTTACGACTTTTTTATTGTTTTCCTTGCAGCGGGCGGCGTGGAGCAACTAGACGCCATGCTGGCACGAACCACCAACGGCAGCGGGCCCGGCTCCACGCACTCCAGCCCGGGCTCCAGGAACAGCTCCGTCAGCCCCGACCGATCAGGTAACGATGGATTGTGAACCTTTAGTCAGTGTTAAGAAGATCGACTTGGCAGGGGCACTTTAATGCTCCCAGATCATATTAAATTGGTATAAAAAACTTCGTTAGATCAGAGCTGCATGTGCATTAAAAAGGACAAATGAATCAGAATTTTATTTGCGTAAAAATATGGTACAAAGATTTTACATAGTTCAGTAGGGCACATGAAACTTATATTTTGTATTATCTTGTATAATCCCAAATACCTAATATTTTTGATTTGTGGCCATTTGACTCATGACTGTTAATGTTAAATCTGTCAATCGTCAATGAAACGTTACAATAGCAACAATACTATGTATTGTAAAATAAGAAAGTACGTCTGTACATCAGCTGTTTCAGTCAATTAACCTATTATCTGACCAAAAACAAAACACAGTTGGATATCCTTGTCTTCATAAAATATGACTGACCAGTTGCTTTTGTGACATACAAAATACTGGCAAAGTTCCCAAATAAGCCAACCAAAAATCAACTTTATATGCAACTAGCTGACCCGGCGAACTTTGTTCCGCCTTAATGGCAATAAATAAACAGACTTTTTTTTTAATTTCGAACGGGATAAAAAGTATCCTATGTCCTTCTCCTGGCTCTAAACTACCTCCCTGACAATTTTCAGCTAAATCGGTTCAGCCGTTCTTAAGTTATAAGCGAAGTAACTAACACCACTTTTTTTTATATATATAGAAGAATAGCGCGGTAGCTCCGACACAACTATTCAATATCTTATAACAACCAAAATTTCGACAACTTACCCACAGTAATAAATACTGTGTTTTTAACAAATAAACGTTTGAACTTGAAGCCATTCAAAAAGCGTCCTTATTTGTATGCGCAGAAGAGCGCGATAACTCCGACACAACCATTGAATGTCTTATGACAATCAAAACTCAAAAAAGTTACCCATAGAAGCCATTCAAAAACCGTCCTTATTCGTATGCACAGAAGAGCGCGATAACTGCGACACTACCATTGAATGTCTTATGACAACCACTACAACTTACCCAAAGAAGCCATTCAAAAAGCGGCCTTATTTGTATGCACAGAAGAGCGCGGCAGCCCCGACACAACCATTGTATATCTTATGACTACCATAACTCCAAAAACTTATTATTATTATTGGTTTTTGGGCCTTAATTGCGCCAGCTCGACCAGTAGGCCTAAGATGCACGCCGCGATAAGTGGTTATCACGCCATTTTATCGATTTTTCCCATACATTTTGACGTCGATAAAAATTATCACGGCGCGCATCTTAGGTCTACAGGTTTGATCTATTGTGGCAGCCCTTGTGTTTAGAGTTCACTGCTAGTCCCGTTGAGTCTCCAAAAAACTTACTCAAATGATTCATTCAAAAAGCGTCCTTATTTGTATGCACAGAAGAGCGCAATAACTCCGACACAACTATTGAATATCTTATAACAACCACTAGAATTTACCCAAATGATCCATTCAAAAAGCGAGCTTATTTGCATGTGCAGAAGAGCGCGGCAGCTCTCCGAAACAACCACTGAATGTCTTATGACAACCACTACAACTTACCCAAATGATCCATTCAAAAAGCGACCTTATTTGTATGTGCAGAAGAGCACGATAACTCTGACACAACCATTGAATGTCTTAACATGAATGTCATGACAACCATAACTCCAAAAACTTATTATTATTATTGGTTTTTGGGCCTTCATTTGCGCCAGCTCGACCAGTAGGCCTAAGATGCACGCCGCGATAAGTGGTTATCGCGCCATTTTATCGATTTTTCCCATACATTTTGACGTCGATAAAAATTATCACGGCGCGCATCTTAGGTCTACAGGTTTGATCTATTGTGGCAGCCCTTGTGTTTAGAGTTCACTGCTTAGTCCCGTTGAGTCTTCAAAAACTTACCCAAATGATTCATTCAAAAAGCGACCTTATTTGTATGCGCAGAAGAGCGTGGCAGCTCTGGCGGCAGCGCGGACGGCAAGCGGTCGCCGCTGCAGTCCTTTTCGGCCTTCATGGAGCGCCTCACGCCCGACAAGGAGCCCGACGAGGTCAGTCTTCATCATCATCATCATCACCTCACCATCATCATCTTCTAGACCAGTAGGCCTAAGATGCACGCCGTGATAACTTTTATCGACGTCAATTTGTATGGGCAAAATCGATAAAATGGCGTGATAACCGCCTATCACGGCGCGCATTTTAGGCCTATAGAGGTTCCCTAACACATTTTCCTTTATGCGCATATTGTCAAATTCGCAAATTGTCTTGTCAAATTCGCAAAATGTCAAGTGTTCAACAAAATCAAAATCCAAATATTATCGTGTTATATCAAATCAACAAAATAAAAACCAAAGTCAAAAGATGTTCAATTTGAAGTTAGGTATAAAAATACCTAAAAAAGATTTTGTTGTTGATTTTATATTACGGTTTTATTAAAAAAAAAACCTTAAAATTTTAATGATTAAAATTTCTGTCAATTAATTACTTGACTTTTATTATTAAACCTAAAAAAATTTACATTTTGCGAATTTGACAATTTGCGAATTTGGCAGATTGCGACCGCTTGACAATTTGCGCATAAAGGCATATTTTGTCTACGTGGGCTGCTAAAGTGGGCAACTTTGAGAATAAATTATATTTTAGCGTGCCCATTTTTTAAATTACATATCTCTAATTTTTTTTCTGGGTACACAAGGAAGCTTGACCATGACCATTACTATTTAAAAAACGTAACACATAATATAACGCAACTTAACATACCGTAATGGAACCTAACATACCGTACCGTAGCGGAGCGTAACATTAGCTAACGTACCGTAACGTAACGTATCGTAACGTAACGTATAATAACGTAATAAACATAATCATCACTCGCCAATATAACATTATAACTTCCGTCATCACCTTTTTACTAACATCCTTGTCACCATCATCATCATCACATCAACATTCATCCTTATTGGCTTTTAATAAAGTGCATTACCCCCCAACAGAGTCGTGAGACGGGTTCGTACATCCAAAGCGAGCTGGAAGCGTTAGAGCGCGAACAGAAAGCGATCGACGAGCGAGCCGCCGCGCTTGAGAAACAGCTGAGGAGGGTCATGGAATCCGCTGACAATACTGAGGTAAGTTAAGTAGATAGATAAATAAATAAATATGGATATTTGATCAAAAACAGATTCAAAAGACAATGCCAAAATTGGCGACTTTTTTTTTTCGCGCGGCCATCGACCAAATCTTGTTTTTTTATTACAAAATAGTGTAATAAACCAAACTTGCTATGACATGTATACCTCTAAACTCAGTCTGAACTGAGTTACGAGCATTAGAAGTTTGATGATTTTACATACTAGATTTGCTTTTTGCGCGCAAGTTTTGTAAAAAATTGCAACAAAATATTGCGCTATTTTTTTATTGCGCTGATTCTGCTCCATACTGATGTCTGGAGCCTTTAATGGATGGTATTGTTTGTTTACACATACAATGTCACTACTTTGTTGCAATCCCAACTAATATTATAAATGCGAAAGTAACTCTGTCTGTCTGTCTGTCTGTCTGTCTGTCTCTGATGTCTGGAGCCTTTAATGGATGGTATTGTTTGTTTACACATACAATGTCACTACTTTGTTGCAATCCCAACTAATATTATAAATGCGAAAGTAACTCTGTCTGTCTGTCTGTCTGTCTGTCTGTCTGTCTGTTACGCTTTCCCGCTTAAACCTCGCAACCGATTTTGATGAAATTTGGCATAGAGATAGTTTGAGTCCCGGGAAAGAACATAGGATAGTTTTTATCCCGGTTTTTGAAACAGGGACGCGCGCGATAAAGTTTTTCTGTGACAGACAAAATTCCACGCGGGCGAAGCCGCGGGCGGAAAGCTAGTCTACTATATAAAAATAAGTCGGGTTTTCCTCCCTGACGCTATAACTCCAGAACGCACGAACCGATTTCCACGGTTTTGCATTCGTTGGAAAGGTCTCGGGCTCCGTGAGGTTTAAAGCAAAGAAAATTCGGGAAAAGGGGGTAAAACGGGATCCACGCGTACGAAGTCGCGGGCGGCCGCTAGTTTCTTATAAAACTTCTAGCAAATCTAGTATGTAAAATCATCATATCAATCAATCATAAGGTTTGGTCGATGGCCGCGCGAAAAAAAAAGACGCCAATTTCCGGCATTGTCTTTTGACAGTTGCAATTCGGACTTGGACAAGGATTGAATATGGAAAACGGGCGTAAAAGAAGCTCACCATGTTTATAGATCATTTCATCCACGAAGACGCGCCCCACCATTCTTCCGCGAATGTTTGAGTGTTATCGGTACACGCTAAATCATCCATGAGTGCACACGCACACTACAATAATGCCTTAGGCCTCAGCCTCCAACTTAGCGGGCAGCGGAGCGGCGGCGGCGGCGGCGCGGGAGCGGGGCGGGCAACGCAGACCCGTTCTCGAAATCAGCGGGCAGCTCGCGCGGCGCTTTAGCGGCGAAGTGTTGTGTTCGGGGTTGTGTTGTCGAGATATTTGTTTTTATTCGCAAACGAAATGTCTGAACAACGGCGACAATTTTATTTCGATTCAAATTTATTCCTAACGCTCGATTTATTGTGGGCAAAAGAAGGAGTGCGCTCCCCGCTCGTTGCCCGCTCCGGCGCCGCTGCCGCGCCGCTGTTTTCGAGTACCGGTCTATTTGATTTTACGCATAAGATCCTGCCGCTCCCAATATTTTCATTGAATAATGTTTCCGACAAAGGTTGTCAAATTGACTGACATGTTTATCGTATAGTACAGTCCACTATGAAAATTAGCTGTGGTTTGTTTCAACTAGGTACCTATTTTAAAATTTTTTGTCACTTTCTAAGTGTTGAATTTTATGGGATTGGGAAAGAAGTACCGAGTTTGAAGCGTTCATGAGCAGACATTGCAGTTGAATATTCAAGTTCTGAATTTGATTATTGATGAATAATAAAATAAATTCTACTAGCTCGATTGATGGTTTCATTTCATTTAATTTATTTAAATCAGGTTACCTATAATAATATTTTTTCGTTAATTTATGAAAATATCAAATTAGCCCGTAATCCTGAATCCTGATACATAAAGTTAGCCTATTAATTTAACACAGGTACGACTGTACTCAGTGTTGCACTATCAAATGCAATTGACGCGCCACTATGCCAGGGTTTTTATGTTCCTGGTCAGGCTATACTAAGGTTATAGTAAAACAAATAACAATGAAAAAAATATGTTATATTAACGGGAATATTATTTAAATTGTTGGTAATTTTTCAATTATCCCGGAAATATGATTAAAGTTGTTGGTAATTTGCATATTACCCGGGAATTCGAAAATTATAAATTTCCCGGGAATTTTAATGGAGTAATCGGATTTATTAAGTTACTGGCAATTGTTATTTTTTCATTTCACCGATCTGGTTAAAACTACAGCCCTATTCGCTAACCATAGTTTAGAATTGAAAATACGTCTTAATATTTGCAGAAAAAATGGCGTAAAGTGATTCTAACATGTGTGCAAACCCCAGTAGATCCGGTATTTTATTTTAACATTTTATACGTAAATATAAAACCTGGCTTACACAAGCAATATACCTCCGTAAATAATTAATATTTTTAATGTATCGATTGCTGTTGGTTTCTATAAATAAATAAAATAATATTATTTCCAGGGATACAGCTTCTCGCAATAAATTATCATGAAAAAAGATATGTTACTTGTGTAAACCTGGCTTTACATAATTCGAAGTAAGTAAATTATAGCCCGACCAGGAACATAAAAACCCTCGCCATGTTGTGGAAAACTAATGGTACTAATTTCTTTTAATGGCAACAGTAACTGAAAACTTTATTGACATGTCACCTTGCATGTCATTGAATAATGTTTCCAACAAAGGTTGTCAAATTGACTGACACGTTTATCGTATAATACAGTCCACTATGAAAATTAGCTGTGGTTTGTTTCAACTACCTATTTTAAAGTTTGGGAAATTTGGGAATTGGGGAAAAAAGTACCGAGTTTGAAGCGTTTACGAGCAGACGTTGCAGTTGAATATTCAAGTTCTGAATTTGATTATTGATGAATAATAAAATAAATCTTACTAGTTCGATTGATGGTGTCATTTAATTTATTTAAACCAGGTTACCTTTTATTCTTTTTTCGTTAATTTATTTAAATATCAAATTAGCCCGTAATCCTGAATCCTGCCTGATACATAAAGTTAACAAAGGTATGACTGTACTCAGTGTTGCACTATCAAATGCAATTGACACGCCTCTATGCCAGGGTTTTTATGTTCCTGGTCGGGCTATAGTAGATAAATCCTCTGTATGTGATGTTGTAGGTAGTTAAACAACCCATATTCTGTATACAGAAAGGATTCGTTGTATCTTTGAATAGTAAATTTTATCATACTTTCCATAGTATAATGAACCAATAGGTTTTTGGATTATGGGAACTGGGCATTCTGGGCGTAAAACATTGGGTTGGAATGTTGATATACTATCAGAATATGTGTTAATAATACTGTAAAATAGTTTGTACAGTCATTAAGTATCGTTTGCAGTAAAATACGAGTAATAGACGTTGAAAAATGTAGTAGTAATAACTTTAAAACGGTATTTTTATGTTAATATTTTATTTATACCAGGAGGAGGACCGTCTGATGTCGCAGTGGTTCAACCTGGTGAATAAGAAGAACGCGCTACTTCGTAGGCAGATGCAGTTGAACATACTGTAAGTTATTCCATGAACAACGGGACTATTCCCACCTCTCGTTCCCACCGCTGCAACTCCTGTGTAGCCAGGATCTACAGCTTGATTGCCAAAAAAACCCAACCATTGAAGGTCAAGTTTGTCCCGGGGTAAAGTTAAACTGTCATTGGACCCGTAACGAAATTAATCAGAAGAAGATAAGCATAGAAATAGTCTGAATCCCGGGAAAGGACATAGGATAGTTTTATAAGATTTTAAACTTTACGTTCCATTTCAACTAAAATAGTAAGACACGGGTCTTAACGCGACGTTTATAAATGAGTTACATTATGTACTCACGGCTTGATGTTTCGGCTGTGATGTTGCAGCGTGGTCATAATGTAACTCATTAATAAACTTCGCGTTAAGACCCTCTTACTATTTTAATAGGATAGTTTTTATCCTGATTTTTGAAACAGGGACGCGCACGATAAAGTTTTTCTGTGACATACAAAATTTTACACAGGCGAAGATGTGGTCAAAAGCTAGCAACCTTAACATTATTATGTTAATTTAATATAATCCTGCTGAAAACCAGTGTCGGGACATCCTACAAGGTATTCCAAGTATGAGCGGGCGCCCTATTAACATACATTTCTTTCTTTCTTTTCAATGTAACCTTTGTATTGTCTTGTTATACAACGTGTTCCATTTGTTTTCCGGAAATTTTAGGGGTATATTCTATAAATAAAAACTAGTTAAAAGAGTCTTAGGAATATGTGTTTTTAAAAGCATATTTTTGAAGATATTGTGGATTCTAGATTTAGAAGATACCTACCTAGTTGATTTAGATTATAGTATCATCAATCTAGTTTTTTTTTTTTCAAAATTGTCACCTAGTCTTTTTGTGCAGACTTTTTATTGATAAGTGTATATAAATTATGAATTATTTCAGTGAAAAATTAAGTTTTTAAATAATTTGGTATGAAAAAATAAGTCGAAAAGTTTTTTTGAATTTAACAAAAAACGTAATACCATTCCATTCTTTGAAGTGGTCTTATTAATGCCCTAGAGTTCCAGGAAATCAATAAGAGCACGTTGTATGTGTGTTAATGAAGTTATTCTTATTTTCCCAGCGAGCAAGAGGAAGACCTGAGCCGTCGTTGTGAGTTGTTAGCGCGCGAGTTGCGGCTTTCGCTGGGCGTCGACGAGTGGCGCAAGACGCCCGGACAGAAGCGCCGAGAGCGCCTGTTGTTACAGGTACGTCCCCACAGTTTTTAGGGTTCCGTAGCCAAATGGCAAAAAACGGAACCCTTATAGATTCGTCATGTCTGTCTGTCCGTCCGTCCGTATGTCACAGCCATTTTTTTCCGAAACTATAAGAGCTATACTGTTGAAACTTGGTAAGTAGATGTATTCTGTGAACCGCATTAAGATTTTGATGCAAAAATAAAAAAATAATAAATATTGGGGGCTCCCCATACTTAGAACTGAAATTCAAAAGTTTTTTTTTCGTCAAACACATACGTGTGGGGTATCTATGGATAGGTCTTCAAAAATGATATCGAGGTTTCTAAAATACTTTTTTTCTAAGCCGAATAGTTTGCGTGACAGACGCTTCCAAAGTGGAAAAAAGTTGGTCCCCCCCCCCCCTCTAACTTCTAAAATAAGAAAATGAAAAATCTAAAAAAAAACGTATGATGTACATTACTATAAAAACTACCAACGAAAATTATTTTGAACGAGATCTAGTAAGTAGTTTTGTTTAATACCTCGTAAATCGTAAACCGTTTATTACCGCGTAATCTTTCTTACAAATAACTTAAATAAAAAAAAAAATNAAAATAAGAAAATGAAAAATCTAAAAAAAAACGTATGATGTACATTACTATAAAAACTACCAACGAAAATTATTTTGAACGAGATCTAGTAAGTAGTTTTGTTTAATACCTCGTAAATCGTAAACCGTTTATTACCGCGTAATCTTTCTTACAAATAACTTAAATAAAAAAAAAAATCATAAATCAATGGTACGGAACCCTTTGTGCGTGAGTCCGACACGCACTTGGCCGGTTATTTTTTATCCACAACGAGGAAGCTCTTGGCCTGTATCTCACCTGATGGTAAGTGACGATCAGGCCGAAGGTGGAAGCGAGCTTCACCCGGAATCCTCAACCACGGTGGAACTGGCTATCTTACCTCTAACTGCCGGAACACAACAATGCTGTAAACATTGTTGTTATGGCGACAGACTTAGGTAAGATGGTGGTAGCTAGCCAGGCGGACTTAGAATAAGCCCTACCACCAACCAAGAAAAATTTGCCCTCACTGGGAATCGATCCCGGGACCCCTGCGTCTGAAGCAGGTGGTCTTACCACTAGACCACAGAGGCGGTTAAATATCTCTAGATCATTGGTTCCCAAACTTATTTGAGACGCGCTCCCTTTCGACCATACAAAAATGCGCGCCCCCCTCCAAGCAAGATTATTTATTGGTAGTATCGAGAAAAAGAGGGCTATGCTTGGTGTTTCTTTGCGAGATCAAATCAGAAATGAGGAGATCCATAAACGAACTAAAGTCGCTGACATAGCCCGACGGATTAGCAAGCTGAAGTGGCAATGGGCAGGGCACATAGTACGCAGAATTGACGGCCGATGGCGCAGCAAGGTTCTGGAGTGGAGGCCGCGTACCGGAAAACGCAGCGTGTGACGTCCACCTACAAGGTGGACCGACGACATCGTAAAGGTAGCAGGGAAGCGCTGGACGCAGGCCGCTACCAATCGATCAACGTGGAAAGCATTGGGGGAGGCCTATGTTCAGCAGTGGACGTCCTATGGCTGAAATGATGATGATGATCGAGCAGTCTGGAATGCATTCTCTCAGCGGTCGCAGGTTTTTTACACTTAAGTACACAGATGGCCTAATGACCCTGGGGGGCGCGCCCCCCACTTTGGGAACCAATGCTCTAGATGTCATTACCATACCACCCAGTGAGCAGAAAGGACTTCTGTCGCTGGGAACTGTGACAAGATGCAGGATTCATTCATGCGTCATTTATACCAGAACAACGGAGCGAAGGCCTCAGGAATTTCCACAGCCGGTTGCGCTGCCTTCACCAGGTCATCGGTTCCTGCTTACACTACGTAATCATTGATTCATAAATTACGTTTCATGCAACTTAGTGACTAAACAAAACATGACTTCATACACCTCGAAAAAATGAGAACAATTAGACTAAGTAAGTTTAACTTTTACGGTGGCTTTTGCTGTATATTCAATAGACTGTAATTCTACTAACGTTATACCATTAAATTTGATTTTTATGTATAATATTTGGACAATAAATTAGAAGTATTTTCCCCAACAGCCAGACAGTTTTGACAGTTCCAACTCCTTGCCAGACAGTTTTTTTAAGGTAGCTCCTAAAGCCACCATGACCCAAACTTCATAATTCACCAACATTATATCCTATATTGGAAGCATACGCTGACAAACTTTCTGCTTTTATAAAATGACGTAGGTCTGGCGTTCTCTAGCTCTTAGTCTAAATACCAATTACCAAAACAAGTCATTGACAAACAATTGACCAACCAATTTTCACTGTTCACAGGAGCTGTTGTCAGCGGTGAACGAAAGAGATAGGCTTGTACAAGAAATGGATGAGCAAGAGAAAGCGTAAGTAACACTTTTCACCTTTTTACCCCTTTATGTCAAAAGAACTCAATGTAAACAATATCAATTTCTCCAACAGGATAGCGGACGACGAAACGATAGAACGAAACCTGTCCCAAGTGGAAATACAAAGGAAAAACAACTGTATCTTACAGTAACAGCTTACACGACAGTCGATTATTTATTTAACTTAAATAATAATTATATAATACGCGCGGGATGTGGTGCGTCAATGGATTGGTGCTAAAATTGGATATGTTCGGTTTTTCAGCTTACTGGTTATACAGGGTGTTAGGTAAATGGGTATATGAGCCGACACTAGACCATGTTAACATGGGCATATAAATGGTATGGCGAAGTCAGAAATTTGATATCATCATTTAATCTTTTTTTAAATTTTTTTCATACAAAATAAATTTTATAAAATCAGATTTGTATGAATATTTAAATAATTAAAATGAAGATATCAATTTTCTGACTTCACCATACTATTTATATGCCCATGTTAACATGGGCTAGTGTCGGCTCATATACCCATTCACCTAACACCCTGTATATGGCTTGTTGAAGCCATGTATAAGTGAATAGTAAAATAGGCGTGTATTAAGTATATTTTCACAAGCCTACACAAGCAAGATACACTATCAGATTTCCTAGAACTTTTGACTTGAATTCACAATCCATTCAATGATGTTTGGTGCAATTATTGGCTTTAATTTTATTTCTTACTAATCATTTGAAAGAATGAAAGACATGGCGCTACGCTAAAAATATTGTCAAGAAAATTACAATAAAACAATAAAAATCGCACCCGCGCGCATCGTGTATTCTAAATTATTTTTTACTTTAGACGTATCACTGCGATGTATTGTCGTCACCACGCGAACAAGTACTTTGGTCAGTCCATTAGGAATAATAATATTATAATAATATTTATTTTTATTAATAATACGGACGTAAGAATTATATCAAACGACGAAATGAAAATTATTCGTGGATCTGTCTGTAAATGGTATCATTAGATTTGCGTTTGGTTCGGTCAATAGTTACCATTTTAAAACTAATTTTGAGACGGAGATTGAAGCGTTTCATTTTCCATCTTTTGACATAAGGCCATAATCCAATATTAAAAATGATTTCTCTAAAACTTTATCATGATTAGAACATTCCCGGGAATGTTCCCGGGTAATAATGATCATTCCCAGGAATTTTATTATTAATATTCCCACTCTTGGTAAGATTCAGTTAACCCTCCGCATAATGTTCTGGGAATATTCCCAGTAGCCCTCTACAATACTCCTCATAGGAAAAATTCCGGTAACGGGATCGGGAATATTCCCTAGTTGGGTAAAGATCCCGGGAATGACACATTTAAACATTTTTCGTTACTACACTATTGACTGGGCCACACAAGAGTGCTTGACGATTGGTAATAAATAAATTCGGCCTTACTACGAGACGAATAATACTCATGTATTTTGTTTCCTAATTAATTATGTATTCGTAGAATTTTACCCCGTATCAGTAAGTTTATACGGCTTATTTTTTTTTGGTATTTGCCAAAGAACATTTATGTAATACATCTATTTTTTATTGTTTTTAACGCCCCATTTTTTTTATTAAAACGGTGATAAATAAGTACAATTTGCCATAGTTGAATTGATTTTATGAACTACGACGGTAGAGTTTTTATTTTTTTAAGTATATTTGAAATCAATTGCTTTCGACGTGTAAATATAATTTTAGTTGTTAATTTTCTATTTATTTGAACGACCTCTTGCCCGAGACAGTAAATACAAATTATTTCTTTGACTACCCGCGAATTAAAATTAAATCATCAAGTAAAAATAATTTATATTAACAATGGAGTGAGATATCATTATGTTAGATTTTTATAAAACATTAAAATACCAATTTAGTCACTAAAGTTATCAAGATAGAAGGTTCTGTATTCTGTCACGACGAAGCCTGGGATTGGCTTGAATCTATACTTAAGTTTTGAATCGAGTTTTGAGTCTCGTTTCAGAATAGGAGCATATAACTTCACGTTATTACAGTCATTTAGTAGCAGTATAGTTTGATAGCATTTACATAAATAAATATGTGCAGAAGGTAGATAGTTTGAAAAATAATAAAATGCAATATTCACTGTATGATCAAAAGTAAGATAATCTTACGCCCGTATTCACAACCGATGCTTGCTTAAGTGAAGTAGCAAATCGAACGCACAGCGTTGAATAAAGCTCTGCGATTGGTTCGTGTGTGACCCTGTGCGTCCACGCGCACTGTGAGACCTCATAGTAATGTTTGTGAATTCGGGCGTTAATGTTTATTACATAATTGTAGTAACAGCTTTAACTGTACCGCGGTTAAATACGTATTTTGTCTTTGTTTATCGGTGGGATTTTATTTTACAGTCGAGAATATTAGATGAAATTTTTATTGCAACATAACCCCTATTTCAACGGCATAAGGTACCGCAGTGTTTACCTTGAAGTACCGTCTGTATTTGTGGTTTAACTCTACAGTCCAAAAATTCTGAAATTAAGAAAGAAAGAAAATAACTTTATTTTGGCAACAACAGATTCAGGCAACAAAGACATACACAAAAAAAAACTAAGTTGCCAAAAAATGTCACCCACTCAGTAATATCTTGACAGTGTGACTGCCAAAACACTGATTTTCAATGGGTGCCTTGTTGCAGCGCTATACAACAAAATATTAAGATTAAAGGATTTTGACTCACAGAAATCGTGAAAAATATTTTTTTTATCACCCTGTATTTTCTCAGTAATAATGTCCCAACCGATAACGAATTCTCTGGGTTGACGGAAGAGGTGCTATTTGGTTTTGTATTCAACGGCGTGCAATTTGTAAGACTTGTACATAGTAGTATGTTTTATTCACGGGGCTGCGTAGTCTGTCGGTTTGACATTATACAGGGTGACTTGGAATTAGAGCATAATGGAATGGTTCGCTTTTGCATATGAGTGTCCAATGTCCATATACAAATATGTTCTAAATAATCTGTACTAAAGCCCGGTCCTCCGGTAATTCCTTATCGCTCGCGCGTAATTATATTGCTGTCGCCATACAAGATTATGCTATAATTTCAAGTCACCCTGTGTAACGCCATGTTACATTGGATCATGCTTTCGATTGAAACTTCCTCCTATGATGATAAATCGATGAAATGTGTCATAAATTAATTTCAATGTATGTCAATCTCGGCCGTAATGTTAAACTAACAGATTGGCTGCAATTTTTGTATAGTACGGTATGTAGACGATTGTAACGTCGCATCACTAAAGGTTATTAAATAGAAATGGCGATCTCGAAAATGTCACAATAAAATAAAAGATATTGCAAGCCGATCCCGTGAACGCAAGAATTGGGTAATTAACGCGAATAATTCATTAGCAATCTTGTTTAAACAAATCATAAAAAAGTATTTACATAGAGTACAGCAGCATAACTAGTTCGTACTTCGTGATATCCAAAGTGACCAAAAAGTTGTTAACGCTAACTTATTCCAATAATTGTAACAATGACTTGCTGCGAATTTTTTGGCTACTTTAGGTGTCACGAACTGTCTGACGCTGTACACATTCGTTGTAACCAACTAACAAAGCTAACGCGCCTTTGATAAAAGCTGTTGGTATAATACTTGAAGTATTTTTTTTTTTTTTTTTAAAACGACAAGTCTGGCGGTCACGGGATTTTGCATGTGTTTTGGCTGTCAAATGAATATTTAAAATGTATGTTAAAAAAATCTACACAGTTTATACTTAAATGGTTACATACACATTAAATTTTGGTTTGGAGTATTAATTGCAAACTCTTAGCTTGATTATACTTTCTTTATCCAAATTAAAGTATATAGGGTGAACGTTTATTAGTGTAACTGTCGCGTGTCTCTTCTATTAAACTGACTTATTTTTTTAATAAATAAAATTAAGTTTGTTAGTACCTATTACTTATCTGGAATGTGGGATATTTTAATTATTATGACATGATGTAACTGTGTTTTCAATACACGTTGGCCTATTGAAATAGCAGTACAATTTTCACACCCTTTATATCCTTGCAAAATAATTTTACAGTACACTAATAAAAGTTCGCCCTATATGAGCACATAGTTAAAATTACTCGTGAATTTTACCATATGGTTCAGCGCTGTACAACTGATTGGTGTCATGTTTGTGTTATTGCTGTTTTTGACAGTTCGCACGTATAATAGTAAACTGCGTTAACTCGAAAAATCAGATTTTCGAGTTTTTAACATAAAATGACAATATTAAGATAAAATCACGAAAAACTGATTTTTCGAGTTAATACAGTTTATTATTTGTTCAGTTTCAACAAGTAGCGAGTGTTAGGCCGTGTATAGTAGACGTAGGCGGAGCGCCCTTCGTCTGATATGACGCTATGTAATGCGAACCCTTAATAAAGTGATATTGTAAAATAATCTTGTCTTTCATTTCAGATACCTTTTTTCTTCTTCTGTTTCTTCTTCGTATTGTCCAGCAATTCATACAATTTACTTTATAAAGTTAGTTATCATTACAAAAAGATAGTAAAATGATAATGTTTTAATTTTTTTATTGATTATTAGTTGTACAAGCAACTATAATAGAGAATACAATAAAACTTAATATAAGTAACAAGAATTTAAAATATTTGAGTTAATACGAACTTAAACTTATGGAAGAACTCGATAGAAGTTTTTCGCAATCTCAATTTTTACACAATTCTAATTATTTCTTAAATAATTTTTAATTTTACTATTTTATTCTTACATGCAATAATTTATTTCCGAATTCATTTATTTTATACTCTGTACAAATACGTATTTAAAATTTAAATTTCAAGATTTTGGGTACTTTAAAAATATTATACAATTCTGCATTAATACAAGTTAATGTTAAAAAATTATATCAGTACAGTTAAAACTATAATTGGTTATTTATGTTGATTAACACAATTTAATTAACTGCATAAATAACTATTAGTTAATATTGGTATGGAAAAATGTCAAAAACTACAGTAAGTACTTATGTTTGCTAAAAAACTTTAGTATTGTGACCGCTACTAATATTTGAATTCAAAAAAGTTATATTTGGTCATTTACAAAAGTTTCTTAATTATTTATTTTATGTTTTCATTATTTTGTCAAGATAGAAGACTAAAAAAAGTTTAAGTTTTATTTTAAATGAGTTTCAAATAAGAATATAAATAAGTAGGTACTTACAGCCAATAGAATATAATGAGCGCTCCAATTACTCAATGTCTTCTATCTTGAGCATTTATTAAATATTGAGTTTATTAAATACTATAGTTGAAGCACTGGGGCCGTATCATATACATAGTACTCAAGTACCTGCCACAAAGATGCGATTTCTTAACACATAATTTTATATATTGAGTCAAAAAAATTACTTATTTATTTGAATAAAATAATGGAAATAATTATTTTGTCATTAAAGTTTTTCAATGTTTTGCCAGATGTTAAGAGTAAACTAATTTTTTCTTACTTTTATATTTACATGTTCTTTATTTACTTCAAAAAGCAGGAAAATTTTATTTTACATCTTTGTGGCACCCTTGACAAGTAACTTACACACTAAAAAGACCAAAGTGGTCGGAAAACTTCGAATGGAAGTGTTTTTATTCAAAAAACCATTTACAATGGTTAAAATTCAAAATCTGACCTGCAGATAATTTCCTAAAAGGACATCATCCACGTTTCATATATTTTTGGTCCAAAATCAAAAGTGCCGGCCAAAGAAAAAAAGTGCTGTATTCTGACAGAATACGTCTTCCTTAGCATTTGTTACTATGGCACCAAAGCCGTAGCTCCACTGTGCGTCGAGTATTTGAGATCTAAAAGTCATCGATTATTCATACATTTTTTGTTCAAAATCAAAAGTGTTGGCCAATAAAAATAAAAGTGCTGTGTTCTGACAGAATACGTCCGCCTTAGCATTTGTTACTATGGCACCAAAGCTGTAGCACCACTATGCGTCGAGTATTTGAGATCTAAAATTCATCGACGATTCATACATTTTTTGTTCAAAATCAAAAGTGTCGGCCAATAACAAAAAGTGCTGTCTTCTGACAGAATACGTCCGCCTTAGCATTTGTTACTATGGCACCAAAGCTGTAGCACCACTGTGCGTCGAGTATTTGAGATCTAAAATTCATCGACGATTCATACATTTTTTGTTCAAAATCAAAAATGTCGGCGAATCAAAAAAAAAGTGCCGTATTCTGACAGAATACGTCCGCCTTAGTATTTGTTACTATGACACCAAAGCTGTAGCACCACTGTGCATCGTAGTATTTGAGATCAAAGTCAGTCGTTTCATATATTTTTAGAGCTCAAATACTACGATGCACAGTGGTGCTACAGCTTTGGTGCCATAGTAATAAATGCTAAGGCGGACGTATTCTATCAGAATACAGCACTTTTATTTTTTGGCCGGCACTTTTGATTTTGGACCAAAATGGATGATGTCCTTTACAAGTTTAAAAATATCGGTCCACATCCAACTTCGATTCGTATTGTACATGTTTTTATGATTTAAGCCTTAGTTTATTTACATTTTTCGCAACATTACATTGTTTTGTCAAACCGCTCTTTTGGTCCTTCGAGCCAGATTTATCGAATAATCAAGCAAAACGATATCTACATTTTCATCGTTCATTTTAATTACAAGCAACGTTTAGACCTTTTGTCTAACATTGAATTCGCGTTAAAAAAGATAAATTACACAATTTTAAGAAGTGAAGTGTCAAGCTAACACTCACCCAAATTTCAAGATGGCGTGCCAATTTTATACATTATCATAATAATAAATAAGAGTTAGTTTTGCTTGTATCAAACTATCACTTCGAAACCAGACTATTTCTGCTTATTTGTCATAGAGCTTGACCTGTTGTGGCAGTCATTGTTTCAAACGATTGCCACGTTGTCGAGTGGCGACCGTCACGTGGTCGAGTAGCGGTCGTGACGCTGTCGCGTGGCGGTCGTTACGCCCTCGTGTGGTTGTTGGCGGTGACTGGCGGCGCCGCTGCCTCCTCTGCTGCCGCTTCTTCCGCTTTCAACTTGCGGTATTTACCTGAAAACAATATTTTATTTTTTTTATACTACATAATATTGAAATCCTTGGGGGAGGCCTTTGTCCAGCAGTGGACGTCTTGCGGCTGAAACGAACGAACGAACGAATATTATAATCAAAGTGTGTGAAGATGGATGTTTGTTACGCTTAAACCACTGAATCGAATGTGATGAAACTTAATAATTTGAGACCCAACGAAAAATACAGCAAAGGTTTTATCGAAGTTTTGGAAGAGGGGCAGGCGCGCGATGTAAAGACTGACCGAAATTCACTCGGGCGAAGCCGCTAGTTAAAGCTAGTATTTTACAATGTCCTATCCTATTTGCGCTATAGCTTAATACAAAAACTTCGTAAGTAAGTATTTTAAATTGGAAGTTAACAGTGACGATAAAACAGAACACCACGTTGGGCGCCAACTTATAGTTGACAACGAACAAACTTGACGTTTACTGCCGATTGGCACGCATCACTAAATTCAGCTGTTTACAAAAACAAAGGACGCTATTTCATTAGATTAAATTGAAACGAATTCGTTTAAATACGTAATTATCATTCAACTGATATTATTTAAATTCAGATTATAAAGACGCTACTTTAGCAAGGAGTCGTTTTTTATAATGAGTTCAAAGCAGTATTGGGACAGTTAATGCTTTGAGGAGCGCAGAATGTCAAAATGTCAAATTTCACGAGACTTGTCTAGACACATTACCCCTTCCGCACTTCTGCAATATCTCGGGAACCTCGGATACGAGCTCTGCCTGTAGTTCACCCAATCATCTTTCATACTATACAGGGTGTGGTTTTGTAAAACAACGCCCATCTCAGGGGTGGTAATTATTTTAATTTTCATACAAATCGGATTTTTTTAAATTTATTTTGTATGAAAATTTAAAATGATGATATCAAATTTCTGACTTCACCATACCATTTATATGCCCATGTCAACATGGGCTAGTGTTGGCTCATATACCCATTTACCTAACACCCTGTATAAAAAAATATTTTAAATTTTCATGGAAAAATTCATGAAATTAGAAAAATGGTATTATTACGAGGGCGAGCTATCGGACAGTCCCCCGTTCTCCCGGGACGGCGGCCGCATGTGCTCGGTGTAGCGGGGCACGCGGGGGTGGTGCGGGCGATAACAAGCGCCGTCTCGAAAGTTTTAGGAGACGTTTGAACAGGGTTTTTTACCAATAAAGTAATAGTTAAAATTTTATTTATATTTTTCTTGTAAATACTAACCACACCCTGTATGTAAGGTATAGATTTAGATACTCACGCGAGACCCTCAGCATGATGACGCCCCACCAGATGGACCAGCCCCAGCCCACCAGGCAGAACAGCACCGTGAACAGCTGCCCGCAACCCACAATCAAGTTGATCACCAGCGCGCCTGCACAGATACAAATGAAAATGTTTGTTATTGTTCATTTTACATTATTGTTTCATTCATATTATTTTTAATCGTTCCATTTCAATTAAAATAGACACGAGTCTTAACGCGACATTTTTGCCGTCAAGTACGAATGCGGATACTGTGAGTGTTGTGTGTCGTGGTAACATCACTAGTGGTAGTGTAACAAATGACAATATGAGGGTAGTTGAAAATCTTCAAGCTCGCCCGAACGGACGACGCCGCGAACCGCCAGTCTGCTTGTGACCACGGCTGCAGCATCGCAGCCGAAACGTCAAGCCGTGAGTACATAATGTAACTCATTAATACACGTCGCGTTAAGACCCGTGTCTTACAATTTTAATCATTTATTTGTTTATCATCTTATAAGAAACAGGCTTGGCCACAGGATACTGCCCTGTGGGACGCCACAAGTAATTGGAAGCTCAGAGCTTTTTAAGTCACCAATTTTCACCGTATATTCCTTTTCCTTTCCTATTATTCCGCCATTTAGATTAGATTTTCCGTTATTTAGACTCCACTACAGGGACACGTCTCTCCCTTTTCATCATAATCATCAGGTCATTTAGTTTCCACTGCAGAAACACGACTGTCCAATTTACCAGAGGCAAATGGATGATTGGGCTAAAAACACTCCCCTTTCTTGCTTGGTTCTATCCCCAATAGTCTGTAAAGGACCTTTGACATGAAGTTCATATTCCCTGGTAAGCTTGCAAACGTCACTTACCTATCCTCTGCTTGGCCCCATCGTAGACGCCGAACCTTGGTATGCCGAAACACAGACAGAACAGTCCACTCAGAATTGTACCTGCAAAAAAAAACATCAGTGGCAATAATAACTATTCTAACGCAAACATTTGAGGTCTCATCTTTCTCACAGTGCGCGTGGACGCACAGGGTCACATACGAACCAATCACAGAGCTCTATTCAACGCTGTGCATTCAATTTGCTGCTTCACCTACGCCCGTATTCACAAACGATGCTGGCTTAAGTGAAGCAATAATTGTATTTGTGGATACGGGCGTTTAGCAAGCATCGTTTGTGAATACGGGTGTAAGTAAATTCCAATATTTCATTCGAATGTAAAATGAGTTGGTTGGTCGTTATAGTCACGGTCGAAGTTAGGTGGTGCAACTCAAACTTAGGCTAGCAACTACACTTGCGAGCAAAACTTGGACGAATAAACCACTGGACACGAAACCTACAAGATTTCTAAGGAAACACGATCAACCACTTTTTGCGGGGGGAGAGGTTTGACAATTGTCAAATAATGACATTTAGTGCTGGGAAAAGATCGTAAATTTTTATCGATAGTTATATGAATGAATGAATGAACCTAACGAGATAAATGAATTATGGATTGATTTAATATTGAAAGTTTCTTTAATTGAAAGACTATAATTAATTATTGTATCGTGTTTATTATAATGCCATTGGTAAATCATAGGTACAAATAATATAACAAATTATTCATATAGGTAGGTAACTAGGTGAAATATTTTTTGGCTGGTGCGAGCTAATTGAAAGCGTGCTTGTCGGCGACCTGCCGTCAGTTTCCAGCCTGTGGCAGGCCTTTTTGGAGTCAAATTTTATTGCTCATATCTTAGACGAACTGTCCACTCGCTAACAGCTATCCTACGAACATTTCTGAGCTCTTGCTGGACGTCGATACCAGTCAAATGACGATTTCGTAGAGAAGTTGACATGAAAAAACGGTTTTCCCTCTGCGATGTGCACCGGCAATGTTCAGAACTTGGTCTCGGGATAAAGCCACCAGTCTCCCGAAAGCGTCTTAAAACTTTTGAAACCCAGGACTGGCTTATGTGGAGCTGACGTGCGACAGCCCGCTGGCTTAGCCCTTCTTGCAATAGTGCAACGATTTGTGCTGCTTCTGAAGGTGTAGAATCCCAGGTAAAGTGTCAAAAGAAGCCGAGATGTGTATGGATCAACGTGTGAACGCAAAAATCCGGAAACACGTGCTTTTATAGGGGGTAAATAGGCCGCAACTCGCGACGTATCAAACAGTTGGTACATGTCTTTTTTCTTACTTCTTCACATCAGCCGGGATATCTTTTTAAATACCGGTGTGATTTAAATGAATTTGGTATCAATTTAAAGTTAAAAGTTTAATTTTTAAAATGATGCAACTTTTTTAGTTACTAACAAATTCGTTAGTACACAAGATCGCGTGGAAACAACTTCATGTAAGTGATTCCATACTTTTGCTCGCGAGTGTAGTTTTTACTGCCTAGCTATTAAAAGTGTTATAAAGAATGAGTTTTTTAGTAGGTTCACTATTTTAATCATGTTTTTGCATCGCATTATTCTCGGTTCTTTGTCAACTTGGCGAGTAGCCAAGCGACAGCTCCGCCCTACTCATACTGTATGTAATAAAGCCTGTTGTCCATTAAGACACCATTATTTTAATATGGAGGTGTCAACTCGAGACGTAATAGACTGCATAATGTCTTGTGGTGTAGGGCAAAGTAGAGGACACCAGGTCACTCGGACGTTCGCCAATGCGAAGGATTTAAAGTAGAGCTGATCAAAACTGCTATGGATTGTCCCCCACACGAGTGCACCGTGTTGAATGAGACCGTGATCGTAACGTAAGAAAGACAACCGTGAACAGGAAAAGATGGTGAGACGTTCCACAACAATTTACACTTTTGTACCTCAAGCACAAAAATCTTGCGTCTTCGAATCGTTTGCGTACGCAACTTTCTCACTAAAACATTGACGGCGAAACAAAATTCCATACACAGCCTTCGAATTCAACAATAACGTGACGAACTCGATTGTCTAAATTAGTTTTGTGTTACCATTTCTCATACTACTCGTAAGTTCACTTTACGTCACGTTCACTATTCGATTTCGATACCAAAATGTTACAATTGTTCCTGCTATTATTTCTTAGTTCTCGTTATGACCGTAGGGGCATTTATTTTAAATTTTTCATATCTACTAAATCTTTCGATGGCGATTCGAATACGCAAACGATTCGAAGACGAAAGTTTTTCATGCTAGAGTAGAGGTACTAACGACCATTCTGTCAAGAGTTTAACGACTGAGAAGTCTACTCACCCAAGCCAGGGACGCAGACGTTGCACAGCAGGCAGAAGTAAGCCAGCACGATGGGCAGCACGGGGATGGCGCCCTTCATCACGCTCGTGTGCTCCACAAGCGACGAGTCCAGTTTCTTGCGGGTGTCCTGGGAATTAAAGACATAAAATTAATTAATCTACTGCACATAAGTAGGTACCTAGTTGTTACACGTCCCAGTATAACTTTAACCCTTCTTCCACTTCGGAACAATAAATAGGCAGTAAGGGTAAGCTAATTTATGTAACCATATGCAGGTATCACTTTAGGGTCGTACACACTTTTTGTTTCCAACACCGTACACTATCATATAGGAAACCGAGTCATGGTGTGGTGTCAAGTGGATACAACTGGGCACAAAATATGTTCAGGTCCTACGTCTGCGCGGGGCGGGGAGTTTAGGCGTGACCTAAACCACTGAATCGATTTTGATTAAATGGCAATGCCAGATTTTGTATGGAAGGTGGCGTCTTTTTTTTTTTCGCGCGGCCATTGACCAAACTTTGTTTTTTGATTACGAAATAGTGTAATAAACCAAACTTACTATGACATATATACCTCTAAACTCAGTCTGAACTGAGTTACGAGCGTTAGAAGTTTGATGATTTACATACTAGATTTGCTTTTTGCGCGCAAGTTTTGTAAGAAATTGCAACAAAATATTGCGCTATTTTTTTATTGCGCTGATTCTACTCCACACTGATGTCTGGAGCCTTTAATGGATGGCATTGTTTGTTTACACGTACAATGTCACTATTTTGTTGCAATTTCTTACAAAACTTGCGCGTAAAAAGCAAATCTAGTATGAAAATCATCAAACTTCTAATGCTCGTAACTCAGTTCAGACTGAGTTTAGAGGTATATATGTCATAGTAAGTTTGGTTTATTACACTATTTCGTAATCAAAAAACAAAGTTTGGTCGATGGCCGCGCGAAAAAAAAAAGACGCCAATTTCCGGCATTGTCTTTTGGCATAGAGGTAGTTTGAGTCCCGGGAAAGGACATAGGATAGTTTTTATTCCGGTTTTTGAAAAGGGACGCGCGCGATATAGTTTTTTGTCTAAAAGAAAAAATCCACGCGGGCGAAGCCGCGGGCGGAAAGCTAGTACAAAAGTGAACGTTTGCGCAACCACTTTAAAAGCAGTTTGACAGATTACATTAGAGTTAAATATTTTTAAATAATAGTCCTATCTACATGTTGAATCATGCAACGCAAACCGTAAAGTTAAGTAAAGATAACTTGAAGAGGATGCTCATTGAAAAGAGAAGGTTTCACTATATTCCCAACACAACCACACAACTTTCGTTGCTACCTCGGCATCTTCTTCCACGTCAGTGTCCTTCTTCATCAGGTCCGTGCTGATCATGACACGAGATCTGGTGGACCGCCGCGACGGCGCAGGCGATGGTACGGGAGTCGGTACTTGGAGGGTATTCATCTTTAATTTTACGGTACGAAGATGCGGGTAGTTCACAATTTTGATACTAAACTAACTATCACGAGTTACAATTATTTATTAAGATTGTAAATTAATTGTAAAAATATTTAAATTATAAATAAAATGACAAATGCTGGTGGTTCACACTTTTAACGCTAACTGTCTCGAGTTGTAAAGTACTTGATGCTAATTGCTGTCACTAGACGCAACGTGTTAATTAACAGTAACTGTATTTTCGATTAATGTGATTCTTCCACATATTAAAAATACTTATCAATTAGTGATTTTGTAAAACAATATTTAGATTTTTTGTTTAATTTGAAACTAACATTGAAACCATTAAAGGTCTAATAGATATGAAATTTTGGACTTTGCTCTTAATTTATATTTTATTATTTTAATTTTAATAACCACTTGGATAATTTTAAAGTAGGAAATTGGGTGCTTTGAAACTGAAACCACTAGCACTTCCAAGTCCGACAGTCGTCATGAAGACACTAATAAAACAGATCGAAAAATGTTACGTATTTCGTAAATAATAACTCATTACGCGAATTGAAACGTATCGATTCGTCCTTTTGTGCCAAACCCGACCTTGGACCTACTGACCCACTGGCTAATGTATTAATAAATAAGTTTTAAATATTGTAGATCATAATCATGCAGAAAAAGTCCGCTTCTCACGCATAAGAGAAATGTTTGTGGTGATTATAAATAAAAACGATCGTTGTTTACACACATTTGCGTGGTAATCGAGCGTTATAAATGTTTTGTTACTTTACGAGTGATTACGAATAGTAGTTACATTAATAGTGATAGATTATTATCAGGCGAGTTTTTTTAAAGTTTTTACTGTACCACGTTGGGCGCCAACCAAAATCTACTCTGATTTGGCGAATGAAATGCATGTCATCTTTGATTAAATTTTAATTTGATATCAAGTTAATGATGTTTTATAGCTGAAACCAACATGGTTGTTTCTATAATAAATTAATACTAGATAGTATTCGGTGGACAATTTGATATACCCTTTTTTACGTTAAACTTTCAAATCCCTTTCAGTAAATTTGTTACTAGTCTTAATGAGTCATATATGACCACCACTAGCTATGACTCAGGTGAATGCTTGTCATCATTCATCATTCAGCCTATAAAGCTGTGCGTAGTGCATTACTATGCCAACAGCGGTCAAAGGATCTTTCTTATGAATAATAACAAAAATATGAGTGCTTTTTGGTTCCAGATATTTTTTATTCGTTGTTTAGTCGCCATAGTATGTACAAACTCAGCTTAGTTTAGGGTAGGTGTAACTGGTACAATTTAAAGCATTAAATAAACAACAATTTATCCGGCAGTTTTGAACCTGCTAGCGCTGCTTTCAGTGTCATTGTCACAAATTAATAGTCATACTGCAGTTCTTCGCATGTGAAGTCGAACAAATGCTCCAATGCAAAAACAAAACTTGGCGCCCAACGTGGTGTTCATTACAACTTTGTAAAAGTTACTAAAAGTTTTTGTATTTATTACTTCATGTCTTTAACCGATTGAGTCCCAGACGGCATTAATTAATGTCATAACAATTGCTTATCTACTGTGTCTAGATTCGCGGAGCTTGAAGGATTAATCTTGTTGTGATGTTATTGAAAGGAATAAACAGTAAGGTAATTTTATACTTTTTACTTGTAACAAATTTTAAATGATTTTATAAGTAAAAGTCGATATTTTACTGACTAATCTTGCGTGTAAAACTTGTACTTGACTTAATAACCGCCAAAACTTCTTCGTTCGTGTCGTAATCGATGTCCTGTGTTCGCGTGCCGACTGCTGACCACCCGAACGTCGTCAAGGGCGAGTTTGGCGAGGCAAGCACTTGGTGACATCGATAGGTGTTACTTGAATTCATTTAGACCTAAAACCTTTCATCAAACAATACTAGAAAGAAAAATACTACTTGCCATTTCACACTTCACGCTAGGTACGCTAAGTAATTGGTTCTTTCTTGAGGAATTGTACCTACTTATTAAAATTCTTCTTCTACTAATATTTAATTGTGTAATTTTGTGAAGATGGATGGATGAATGTTTGTTACGTTTTTACGCAAAATTTACTAAACGGATTTGAATGATATTTGGTTAAAGAGCCTGGGAAAAACAGTGATTACGAGTAGGTTTCTTTGTGTCAAACCGATATTCATGAGTGCGAAGCCGTGGGCAAAAGCTAGTGTTGTACAAGTACCTAAAAATCACAATCTCTTAAATAAAATTCAAAATATAGATTAAGAAAATTCTCGGGCCAAAAGTTTATTATAAAGTAATTACTTTTTATCATGTCAGATAAATTAATTTGATAACCGTGATTCATTAAAAATAACTAAAATTAGAGTTGGTTTAAAAAGTAGGCAGTTTTTTTTATAAAAAAAAGTAGCTAGTTATTTTTATTTAAAAAGGTCTTAAAGTCCTTAAAGGTCAATCCCAGGTATGTCGTGCAAGCAGCGTGCAAACATAGCTGTTCGTAATACGTAGTAAGTTATTGGAAAATGTTTCCAGAGTTTGCACGTAATGACTTTTTATTATAACTTCAAGGACGAGTACGTTATCGACTCAGTTTTTCTGGTAAACGTGTTGTTTTTGTATATCATGCTCGCTTTTTATTAAATTAGACGTTAGACGGTGTAAAAACATGCAAACGGGGTTCTTTTAAAAGCACGAGTAAATATAGAAAAGCACATGCAACCTATGTTACTTCTTTCTGTCTACTAATATGTACCTACTACCGTTCCTTGTAGGTAGATTGCAATTGTTTAGTCGCGTATACTCGTGTTAAGTACATAAATTGGGGATTTAGCGAATCAATGTTCTTCTATCTTATTGGTTGTGATAACTGAGAAAAAAATCTCTGCGAATAACTCCTGATGCAAACTTGCAATAGGTATCGACTAAAAAATAATTACTGTCCATTGATACTTAATTTTTTTTAAACCTATTTAAAATTATAAATATTATTTAAATAACTATTAATCTCTAGAAAGTCTCTAGAATAATTTTTAGAAACAAAAGTTCTTTTCACCAACTGGTAAATTCATTCTACTAATCGTGTTTCACTGTTACCTGTCAGTTTTAATCCTTAGAAAATTACTTAATTCTACGTTACTTTTTCTTTACATTTCTGAGTCACAGAAATTGTTCGTCACGCCAACTCGCAGGTCCTTTGACATTTGCATAAATTTGTGGTCCAATTAAAAGGGAGCGATCCAGTGTAATGACCCACTCGGACTGAAACACGGGTGTAATAGTCATTAGGGGGTCTACTGTGAAACCCTGGCCAGTTTCGAATGTTGCTATCCCTCTCACGCAAAGCGAGATGCCAGCATGAGCGACAGTGACAGAGAGAAAGAAACTAAGTGAAAAGCGTTTTGGAGTAGCCCTACAGTTTCGAGCTATCGTAAATGAGCAGATGGCGTGATTGAGAAAAATGTAGAGGTATCTTTGGGAAAACTTTGGAAATGAGATAAGAAGTCATAATAGTTTATGAAAGTGCATTTGAAGAATGTGGTTTTACCTAAATTAAAATCTAAGTGTAGTGTAGGTAAGGTAGTATACAAGAACACATTCTATGTTTGGTGGGTATAAACTGGTTGAGTTCGTAATTATGTATAGGTACGAGTAATTAAAAAAAAGTACCAAATTCTAAAAATTAACGTGAATGACATTTTGAAGGCTTTTTATTAGACCGTCTATTCTGTGCTATCATTAGAATCTTAAAAATGCTCAAGTAGGTAAGGCATATTAGTCATCACATCATTGCGTGCTGTACTTACAAAATTATGACATTTACAAAATGTGACATGCAATAAATAATTTGAATTTGAATTTGAATTAGACACTTCAATCTTCATACATCTAACAAAGACTGAAACACAAAATATAACAGAAGGTAAACTCCATACTAAGTGCGCTTGAGCCACGCACACGTAGACACCGCTCTCGTACGCGTTATCTAGGACTATCTCGGACGAATGCGAGCGTGACTAAAGCTACCAAAATTCAGATGGTTTTATCCCAGGAAGATCATTGTCGTTGTAATTTGACAAGAGTCCCAAGAATACTATAAAAGATACGTACCTCGGGCGGCAGCGTGGGCGACATGCTCTTGTTCTTGGAGAACATGCTGGTGCGTCGGCTGGACGACGCCTCGGAGCGCCGCCGGCACGCGCCTGCCATCCACGTGCACAGACGCGTGCAGCAACTAGTTCAAAATAACCAGTAGTTTAATAACACAAGTATATTTAGCTCACCCCACAGAACTATTAATAAATACAGAACTATTAGTAAATACACACAAAAACATCTAAAAATCTAATCAATACACTTATATTAGGTCTTCTTAACCTCAATATAATATAATAGAATAGAAAGTATTTATTTGTCTCTTCAACTTTTCAGCCAATGTTAACTGCACAAATGTTACATACCTAGTACAATCTTTTTTTTTCTTCATCTTGGCAGGCAATAAAGTCCACTGGCGGACGGAAGCTTCTCTCAAGAAACAGTCATCATCATTATCATCATCATTTTCAGCCATAGGACGTCCACTACTAAACATAGGCCTCCCCCAAGGATTTCCACTACGACCGCTCGCATCCAGACACCTCCCGCAACCTTCACCAGATCGTCGGTCCACCTAGTGGAGGGCCTGCCCACACTACGTCCTCTCGCCTAGTAATTTTGTATGTTTGTAACGAATAAACCCATAAAATTCTGATCCTATTTCAAAACTTCCACTATTATAATGGATCACACCGAAATTCACGCAGGCGAAGCCGCGGGAAAAAGCTAGCATGGGACCCACCTCTCGTTCCCACCGCTGCAACTCCTGTGTAGCCAGGATCTACAACTTGACCACCAATAAAAACTCAACCAGTGAAGATCAAGTACGGTAAAGGTCGGGAAAAGACAAGTAGTAAATACTTTTTAATATCTATCAACAACACACTTAAGTATACCTATTTCTTCACTTTTGTAGCAGTCAGTGAAACTAATGCACTGAAAGGACACTTCAACACTGCGCTATAAGAAACTGAAATGCAATGCACCATGTTGGGCGCCAATCATAATTTTTACAAGTTCTTTTTTGTTTCATTATCAAGCAAAAGAATTATGCACAACTTTTATTTGGTAGATAACAAAGCAAAGTAAAAATGCATAAAATAGTTTTCTTTCAAAGAATTCTAATGCAATTTATAAGTTGTCTGCAATTTCACCTTGATTTAAGTTACCAAGTTCATTGGTATTAAAACTTTTCTGTATTTTAGTCACTAAGTAAACAAAGTCTAGATTAATAAGGTTTTATCTCCATTCCGACAGAAAATGCGGTGAAAATAGTCGCTTTGAAATGGTTCGCTATTAATAAATAGGGACATTGAAAGATTTAATTGATTCTTAACATAGCTTTGATTAAAGATTGGAGTTATTTTATTTACCGTGTATTTTTCACTAGAAGCATTCGAACTTATTTTATAAGAATTGACCAAGTAACTCACTATAAGCATATCCTAAAATTTCGATTTTATTTGTGATTTTCCAATAAATTATTGAGACGGGACTCGAATCCTCAATCGTATAACGTTATAGCGTCGTATGCCGTGTGGTGACGGCAGAGTAGAATACACTTGTCACCAACCCCTACTCTTCCCACGGGTGTCGTAAGAGGCGACTTAGGGACTACACATCAAACAGAGAACGGGTAGCAGCGCTCTCTGACAAACATCAATCTTTTAAACTGCGATCTCCAACCCGCCTGCCAAGCGTGGGGATTATGGCAAAACCCTCCACTATAGTGGAGGAGGCTCATAGTCCAGTAGTGGACTGTAAAGGGCTGTTGATGATAACGTTATAGCCGGGCACACGAACATCTTAGCCAGAAGGCCGTTATTATGTACCATTAACCTGAAGAATAACATAGTTGCTTACCCTGGCGGTGGTCGGTCGCTCAATATGCTGTCCCTTCTCTCCTCCCCGCGCCTTTTCCCCCAGCAGCCCGTCTCGGCGACCACGCCGGAAACCGGCGCGTCCACCACGCCCGCCGACATGACGCCGGGAGAAACCACGCCGGACACGTCGCCGACGCGCCGCCGGCGGCCGCAGCACCCGCAGAATATGTCGCGGAAGGTGCGCTTGCGTTTTATTTCGTTTTCGAATTCTATCGTTGCTTCCTGTGGAATAGAGTTGTGTGAATGTAGAATATTTATTTTTTACGTGATGACCCTCGTATAAGTTCGTATTTGGGGTAGGTTAGGTACATTGGTTAGGCAATGTCGAGTGTTAAAATGTGGTCAAGTTTGTGATAGCGGAAATGTACAAATTTTATTTATTTATTTATTTATTTTGGCTTTTCAACAATAAGTACACTATTAAAATTTAAAATACATACCCAAAATTACATGTATAAGTGCCCCATCACTTAAAGAAAAGCACTGCATCTGCTAAATAATGTGTAACTACGCAAAAAAATTTTACCAAATCATTAAGCGAGATTTCGTTTCAGCCAAATGACGTCCACTGCTGGACAAAGGCCTCCCCCAAGGTTTTCTAAGCGAGATTAAAGTTTAGAAATTAGGTTAATAGTTAATTACATGATAAAATACAGGCATTCAAAATTACTCTTTCATTACCATGTAGGTTGCCTTCCCGTATCTGTTTCAAGACGCCTTCGCAATTCCCCCACACGAAAATACAATTTACATGTTTCAATATTTTTAACCGACTTTAACAAAAGGAGGAGGTTCTCAATTCGGTTGTTACACTTATTTTTATCACATCACTGAGTTTTATAACAACACAGACACAACTTTTACGGATTTGTACTAATAGCTTATGAATCCATTACATATTAATAAATCGACCATGTTTTTTGTTCAACTACCTTCCGTCTTCAAAAAATCTATTAACTTTTTTTTTCTCGAACGTTCCATTTCATGCAATAATGTGAACTGTCAGTCTGTATCTCATGCAATTATTTGTGTTATTAGTGTTAATAATTTAGCAATTCTTTCTTCTTCTTTCTTTTCAGCCAAATGACGTCCACTGCTGGACAAAGGCCTCCCCCAAGGTTTTCCACAATCAATGAACGGTCCTGCGCTGCCCGCATCCAGGCTCTTCCCGCGACCTTTACCAGATCGTCGGTCCACCTAGTAGGAGGCCTGCCCACGCTACGTCTTCCAGCCCGTGGTCGCCACTCGAGAACTTTCCTGCCCCAACGGCCATATCGTCTCTACGAGCTATGTGCCCCGCCCACTGCCACTTGATTTTAGCAATTCTGCGAGCTATGTCGGTTACTTTGGTTCTCCTGCGGATCTCCTCATTTCTGATTCGATCACGCAGGGAAACTCCGAGCATAGCCCGCTCCATCGCCCTTTGGGTGACCTTGAGCCTTCTTATGAGGCCCATAGTAAGCGACCACGTCGCGTAGAATTTAGCAATAAAGATAAAGACAATAATCTTCATAAATTTTAACGTGGCAACATTTACATCTTACAATTTAATTACTCGCTAATCAAACCAAGAAATTAGAAACCCAACGTGTTAAGTTTATTCGAGTACAAAGAACTAATTGGCCAATAAACACTAGACCGATTGCGTCGCTCAGGGTTAGCGGTTAGCAGACCAGTCAGCCCCCTGAACTATGCAAATGGGAGGAAATCGAGTGCAAGTCTGAGAAACCTATTAACACTAGACCCGTACTATGGGTGTTTATTTTACCGAGCGTGGTAAGAATATAAAACTAATTCGAATTGCCTAAGGCTTCAACCACACCAACGCGTGCATATCGCCATCGCCGGCGCGATCAAAGGCCAATGACAAGTCGCGCGGCCCATGACAGTTCACGCGACCTGTCATTTTACTGTGATCGCGCCTTAATCGCGCCAAGCAACTGCTACAAGACATTAGGTGAACCCGTCGAAATTTTCAGGAGTAATACACTGTTACGGCCAGGGTTTGCATCACCAATCAGACCGTCCTAGTAGCCTACTAGTCTAAATTATAGCTAATAGCGTCCAAAAACTCAAAATTCTCATTTATAGAGCTTCCTCGTAATGGATACGTTATGAACGTATCTAAAATACCACCAAACTATAATAATTATCATCATTATTTAAGCCACAGGACGTCTTCTGCTAAACATAGCCTCTCCCAATGATTTCCAGATCGCCTCCTGCAACATTTACAGACTTAATACATACCTTTCCTGCAGCTCTCGCCACCTCCCGTATTTGTTCTGGGTCTTCCACGTCTCCCTTCTTACAGCAGTTCAACTTGCTCAGCGTTCCTTTCTTCTGCGCATCTTCCATCTCTGTCGCCTCGTCATCCTCGCCCTTGATGCAACAAGGACAGCACTTCGTCTTGCACTTCCCCATGAGTCTTTGGCAGATGTTGGGGGGTTTGGGATGCTGGTCTTCTGGGGGTGGAGTCGGTTCTGGCGTGGTCTTCTCATCTTTGGAAGTCTTTCTGTGTGCGCGCGCTGGGGGCTTCGGTGTTGTACTTGTACTTTGCGGAAACCTGTCAAAAAGGTTTTGTTATTTGACATTGAAATACTTTTGTGGATTGGCGCCCAACGTGGTGTTTTTGTAAATAGCGTTTTAGAAGTAGAACTTATCATGTGCTTGGCTTAAATTAATTAAAGTAAGTTTTGATTAATAGAGGGTTCGTGTCAAGATATTTACATAAAAGGGGATATTTTAAATCAAGAAATAAATACAGGTACTAAATTTTTAAGTAGGTAGGTATAGTTGGTCGCCAAAAGTCAATGAAAATAGTAAAACATTACCTTTGATTTTTATTATTAATTACAATAATAAAAGAAGCATTTGGGCTACGGGCTAGAAAGATAAGTGTTTTGGTGTTTAGAAAAAGGAACACAGTAATTTTTATCCATCCAATTAACATAAATATCTAAGTTACATACATTGTGTTATGATAATCGTCGTGTTAGTAATAAAGTTTAGTTTCGAATGTACGGCAGGTGTTCAAGTGAAATGAAATATGACTTTGGCCGGTCGTTCGTTGCTCAGTAATTGTGTTGAAGTAAGGCGTGCATGCGATGTGTTAAGCCACGTTACCTTATCAATGCGGCAGGCCCGAGATATCTGAATGAAATACAAAATATATAGTTTTCATGCTACAAAAATGAAGTAGGTATAATTCCAAAAAACTGGCAAAAACATGAAGACATTAAATACAAATTCAATTTATTCATATTTTACCCGTTGTCATCGTCATACCGCTTTGGCAGTAGTTCATTTGGCAGTATGTACACCGTTCTGTTGTGTATCATCGTTATTACAAAATATCCACAAAGAAATCACACATCATCTCGATTCACATTTTAAATTAAGATGGAAGCACTAGTTTAAAAAACGTAACTGTCATTTTCATTGATTTGAGAATTTCGCGCGCGTTTTCACAGATTAGATAGCGCTATCCGGCACAGATAACAAACATCATTGACGAAGGAGTATTTATTTCGCGCCATAGCGGGTTGAGAACGACGGGTGAATGTTTCAACACGCAAGGGTCGACTAACGCTTGAACCAATTTCTTAAGGGTTGAATCGAGTGCCAAGTATTGCGTGGTTTGCGGCGTGTGCTCGGCATAATGAGGCTTGTCGATACACAAAGAAAGTAATAGTGAAATTAGCTGCTATTAAATGCGAAGGACGGCCGTTAGCGCTCTTGTTAGTTCAAGAATATGTATTAAAAATTACTGAGTAAACCTCAATAAATTCACTGAATGAATTGAAATGATGACTCATGAAATTCAAAGAATAATAACACTGATTGAAGACCAAAACTACACTAAAGTTTGTCATTTGTTTTTTGATCCCTTGAAAGATTCATAACGTTTGACACCAGTGTCTTTAATTTTGTTGTATACGAATTTAGTACGATTAGATTTTTATAGGATTAGACGTTATAGGATTAGATTTTTTTAAGGGTTTGTATCTACATAACACTTTTATGTAATGATTTTAACTTAGGAGTTTCATTAATAAAGATAACTAGACAAACAAAGAATTCATAAGGTTCAGAGTTAAGTTGTGGTTAAGTGGAATAGCGCCATCTAGCGATACCAATAAGAACAACAGTTAGACTGACTTTGAAATAAAGTTCAGAGCTGCTACATAGATGGCTGCCTTGTGCATCGTTGGTAAAGTATTTATTACTCGACTGCAGAAAGATAATGTATGAAAAGTTAGTGATTGAATTAATTTAATTGAATGCTCGTAGATTTACAGACTGTTTTCCACAACAACCCAAGTGATCATGGTTGATTTAAACTATCACTTTTTGTAAGTAATAATTTCTTGTATAATCTAAGGCTGAGTTGCATCACCTAACTTTGACCGTAACTATAACGATAACCGGCGTTTTTTGTATGGAGTTTGACAGATTTTTGACATTTGTCAAAGTTAAAGTAAGATGGTGCAACCCAGCCTTAGTAATTTTTATTTAATCTAAAAATAATAGTGAGTTCTTTTCTTTTTAGTCTTGTCACCTACAACTACAATTTATGTAGGCCAAGTGTTATTAATATTATACGCGAAATATCACACACTTTAATGTGCTATGTAGTACTTTATTTTTGGAATAATTGCGGTTAATTAGTATGTATATTACTTGTGGAGTGCCCTAGAAAAACTTAAGAACCTTTAACGCGTGTGTGACACGCATTAGTGACGTCTCGTGACGATGACTAGTGATGTTAGGTGTCGATATATGAAGCCCTCGATAATAGTGATGTGTGCAGATTACTCGTACTTAAGTGACATAATGATATTGTAAATCACTCCTCACGTAAAGATGACTGAATGAATATTCATATTTGGTAGGGAGAGTTTAAGACACAGGGAAAAACAATCGAGTTTTTATTCCAGTTTTTAAACAGGTACCTATTCATAAATTTAAACTACAGGTTAAGAAAATCGTTATGAAAAAAGGATACCATGATTATTTAAATGACTGTATTTGGTTGAAAAAGAAGCTGACAAAAGTGACTGAGTCTCTTCCGCCACTTCTTAGGACAACATATGGGATGTTGTCCCGAAGTGGTGGTAGGGCAAGCTATATTTAGGACGTGTATAAGCCCTTTGGGCCTATGTTCTGAATAAACTATTTGATTTGATTTAAGTAGGGACATAAAGATCGGTCCTGCGCCTCCCGCGACCCTCACCAGATCGTCGGTCCACCTAGTGGGAGGCCTATAGGGGCCATCCATAAAGTACGTCACACGAATTTCATGATTTTTTGACCTCCCCTCCGTCCTTGTCACAGGTGGTCACATTTCTGAGACCCCCCCCTCCCTAGTGTGACGTCACATGTTTAGCAATTTCACATCGAAAAATTATGAAATTAACAGCAGTTCCGAAATTAAGATTTTTTTTTGTTATGAAATCAACATTTATATTAAACTAGCTGACCCGGCGAACTTTGTTCCGCCTTAATGGCAGACTTTTTTTTTATTTCGAACGGGATAAAAAGTATCCTATGTCCTTCTCCTGGCTCTAAACTACCTCCCTGACAATTTTCAGCTAAATCAGTTCTTGAGTTATAAGTGGAGTAACTAACACGACTTTCTTTTATATATATAGATATTATATCAAATATTTGAAACAATTGAAATGTGATGTCACGAAACTTAGGACCCCTCCCACCCCTTGTCACACCATGTCACACTTTGTCAACCCCCTCCCCCCCTCTTTACGTGTGACGTACTTTATGGATGACCCCAATTACGGTGCGATAGTCTTTCTGAGGCAAACCGAAATTCAAGCAAGCGAAGTCGTAGACAAAACCTAGATTTTCTATATAACTAGTACGAGTACTCTGAATGAACATCCTACCTCAACATACCGAAGGATTTACACCGCCCTTTGTTGGCCGTCCGTTGATTTATTGGGGCCCACATAGATAAGGCGCGGTAGCACTTGTACGAATAACTTGTTTGGGGTGAACCGTGTGTGCTGTGACGGGCTACACAAAATGGGGAGGCTTACTTTTATTTAAATGGGATTTCGTGGCGTAATAGAATATTAAAAATTACGTACATCGTTTTTTTGCTAGTTATTTTTGAACTAACAATTGAGGCCTTATTGCAAAACAGTTCAACACAAATTGAACACTTGTTTAAAATGATATTTTCATACATGTCACTATAAACTAGTGTTTAATGCGCGATAATTTTTTGTAATAAGACGGATGAAGTTTTTAAGAGCAAAACAGCAAAACTTTTCTTTATGTTATCATCAGAAATCAGCGTATTTACACGAGCTCAGTTTGGGCTTAAATTCAAGCTTTAAGTGATTTAAAAATATCATTTGAAATAAAAGATAAGATTAGAGAATCATCAATTTTATCTCATGCTATCTTTTAACGCGTTGATGTCTTTTATTTGGTGATCATTGTCTTGCCATATTTTGTTTTTAAAATTCATAAATATAAACCTTTCGTCATAAATTTATTCATATAACTTTGTTTTTATTTCTTAACTCCGAGATAAGTGTGTAAAATGACCAAGAATATTATTATTATGAAAACCTACATCGAATATTATGTGGATATCCCAACTAATATTATAAATGCGAAAGTAACTTTGTCTGTCTGTCTGTCTGTCTGTCTGTTACGCTTTCCCGCTTAAACCTCGCAACCGATTTTGATGAAATTTGGCATAGAGATAGTTTGAGTCCCGGGAAAGAACATAGGATAGTTTTTATCCCGGTTTTTGAAACAGGGACGCGCGCGATAAAGTTTTTCTGTGACAGACAAAATTCCACGCGGGCGAAGCCGCGGGCGGAAAGCTAGTACATAATATTTCCTAATATAAATAAAATTCATACACGTACTACTATAGTGAACTTCCTACAATTTTTGACAGTAAATAGGTTAACCTGTACCTCGATTCGTGTGCCGAGTTGCCGCAGGGTTGCCAAAATTTAATATAAGACTTGTATACGCAACGGAAATTAGATTATTATTGAGCGATTGAGGTAATTCAGGCTGAGGGCGAAGCCTTGAGCCGTCGAAGGTATCTGCCCACGACCAAATTAGCTTTCGCTATACTTGGAGCTTTGGAATTGGAAAAGCTTGGATAATAGCAAATAATTGTAGTAACGACGGTGAGGTTAGTCAGTTTGTTTTTTGTTGTAAATTAAAGTGAAATGGCCGTGAACGTGGGCGGAGTACTTTGAACTGTCTACGTAATGTATTCCTTCAAATATGTCAATAAATTGGTACGTTAGACTTTATAAATTACAGACAATGCAGGTTTAAAATGATTGTACTGGCTGTGATGAGAATAATGATGATTTGTGTGGTCTCGTGATTAGAGAGGTCTAAGTTAATTCTTTTATGAAACACCTTGGGTTCGATTCCCAGTTTTGATTGTTTTTTGTTTATCTTATGTAGGTATTGTCAATGTATTCCAGATTGTACTCGTAAGTAATTAGTGTCAATTAAATAAAATCTGCCATACCTAGTCAACATTTAAGCAAGAATTTAGATTTCGTAGTGTATTACTATTTTTAATTCTTCTTTCTAAATAAAGTTACGTGCAGGTTACAGAATGTAGGTACATACTCGTAGAGAAAAGCCTAAAGCATGGAGTAGGTATGCTGTTGGGCAGCAGATATATTACTACCCAGCCTGTGACCGTGACGCGTTACGGCTAGACTGGGCGCACGATAGTGCCGAGCCAAGATCGAATAATTAAAGCAGGTTGTTAAAACAACAGCTGTGATGATAATTATGCGAGCTCTATGTTTCATTTCAGTCTGCTAGTTACTTTATTCAGATCAAAATACAAAACTCGATTAAAACTAACTTATTAATAAAAGATAAATGCGCATTGAAACCTAGTTTTTAAAGTGATGTTTAATTGTCTATGGCATTGACTTTTTAGATGCACACATTGCATTATAATAAGTGAACTTTGTGAACTTCACACAGGTTTGGATGTATTTTTGAGTTTGATTCACACTTCGTGCAGTTCCTAAGTTTAATTTGTTGTTGGTAAATCTATATCACTAAAATCAAAAATAAATGCAAAGTGAATATCTGCTGCACAACTTGGCTTCCCATTTCCCTTGTTGTCCGATATGGTAATTCTCGCTAGGTCACGCGACCAGACGTCGCGCGATACGTGACCGTCGTCCTGGGGCGACACCCCCGGAACCAGGACAACTATCCTTTATGTACAGTTTGTTTTGCATGTTTGTAAGCGAGCAAGATAAATAGTTTTGTTATTGAAGCTGGAACTGCAAGTCTTACAAATACGATTTACACTAGGGAAGCTTAGTGGAAAATTATTTATGAATGCTCGGGCAGTGTCATCAATTTTTTTATCAATTACCTAGATTGATTTACTATATTAAGGAGATGTACAAAAATCTTATTTATTTTTTAACTCGCACGAAAAAGTTGCAGAAACGAATGTGCAAATAAATAAATGTGTAAATAATTACATAAGTGGACATTAAGTCTCAAAAATTGAGATGTATCAATTTATTTCAATGCCTAATTTTAACCTTTATCAGAATAACTTTGATTAACGTCTTGCACAAAAAATTATCCACCTCCACCAACTAATTGATTCCTTTCATAGTTTATGTGCAAGAAATTAAGCATCTAGCTAGACCATCTTTTTGCAAAAATGTATCCGTAATCTATGAAGCTCTATCCAAAAAGCTAAATAATGGGAATATAATTTAGCCCTTCTCCACAACAACACTACCAATATAAACCTTCTACTACTCGATTCATTTCAGCCACAGGACGTCCACTGCTGAACATAGGCCTCCCCCAATTATTTCCACATCGCCCGGTTTGGTAGCGGCCTGCATCCAGCGCCTTCCTGCTACCTTTACGAAACTACCTTTACTCCATTGCGAATAATAAAAAGAAACTTAAAATGCACGTCGCAAACCGCTATAATCACCGTGGTATTATGGTCTCTATGGGGAAAACAGTGAAAAGAAGTTTCTCTGTGGATTACCGCACACTTTCCTTTGACTTATGCGTAGGCGGGTTTGATTCCCGGGAGTGTCAGTCGTACTGGGATTTGGTTAGGAAGTTATATTATGTATCAGAATGTTATATAACTTGTAAATGTTATATTTGTAATGTTTAAATTAACTTTATAATAATACACAATTAGCCTGGCCATTCGACGTGGCAATGCTGCCAGCCCTTTGGGCACCATTCCTGACTGCGGCGCTGGGGGTGAAGTATTTTTTATTTTGTAAATAGTTTTTATCATTAGTAATTTTATATTTTAGTTTTTAAGTAATTTTAAGTTTATTTCAATCTATACTTATAATAAATCTGTAAAGAGGTCAATTCTGTACATTAATATATTTTCATAATAACTATCAGGGGGTGATTAGTGATCGATACTGATGCCAAAAATGCAATCAGTAAAATTTTTGTCTGTCTTTCTGTCTGTCTGTCTGTATGTTCCTTATAGAAACAAAAACTACTCGACGGATTTTAACGAAACTTGATACAATTATTCTTCATACTCCTGGGCAGGTTATAGTATACATAGGAATTCCCACGGGAACGGGAATTAGCGGGAAAATCCTTTTGTGTGAAAAATCTAAACCGCTTAAGTTAGACGCTTGAAATTTGGTATGCAGGTATCTTAGTAAACTTAAAGCTTAGTTACAACAGGATATTGTAAAATTCCCACGGGCACGGGAGTAAGCGGGAAAAACATTTGTATGAAAAAATCTAAACTGCGTAAGATAGATGAAGGGTGTAAAACGGGATCCACGCGTACGAAGTCGCGGTCGGCCGCTAGTATATTATAAAATTATTGTTTATTAAATAAAACTACATACACAATTACGTAAAGAATATGCTGACATAATGACAAAGGAGATCGAGTTTCTTCCGCCACTTCTTCTCAGCATCAGCCCATATAATTGTCCCGAATAGGAGGTAGGGCAAGCTATATTTGGGACGTGTACAAGAGCCCTGGTAGAAAGGGCATAAGATAAATTTTTGGTTTTGATAGGCCGTGATTGATATGGAATTAGTTTTATTTCTAGGTCGGCCAGTGTGGTGTATTGTATACAAAATTACGACTAAACGATCTAAGCTACAAAAGACGAACAAGTCGTAAATGAAGTTATTTTTTACTTAAAAACCTGTTTACGCCGTTAATTCACGTCTTTATGCAACTTTTCTTTACAACTATTTCGGGAAAACTGTTCTTTACAACTGTGTTTTGGCCATTATCTTGGAAGAAGCACAACAATAATGCTAGTCACTGCGTCACAGTCAGTTAGTTATTATTTTTACATCTTCACATTTTATAGTTCCAAAATAGTGAACTGTCCTATCGATGACATTGACAGTGGGGCGCCACCGTCAATACCGGATCGCTGGTTCAGATTTTTGCCATGTTGGAAACCATATAGTTGAACGATGGTAGCGCCCCCCTGTCATTGAGTTTGGTGGGACAGTTCAGCTTGGGTCATCTATACTCATGAATTCATCATCATAATTCATTCAGTGATGTCCAAGTTCCGATTCACAAGAGATGTGTTTGAAATGTTACTACCGGTTAAATTTTGATTTAGTGATTTTTAGAATATAAAATGCTATTTCAGAATTCTTACTTGTATACAGGGTGGAAACGATAAGTGATCTCATTCGATTATTTCTAAACTATACAAGATATTGAAAAACTGGTTACTGATCCTAAAAGTGCTTCACGAGCTCTATCCAACGGTACCAAAATAGGTTACAGAATTAATTGGATCTATCCGAAAATTAAATGTTTTCAGCCTCCATACTAAATGTATGCCAGCCAAACAAAATTAGAAGTATTAAATTTTTAATTAAACAATAAACACTTAAAATTAACTCGTAAATAGCATTCTTATTTAAAATTATTCATGGAAAACATTGGTTTTAGGCTTTACTTGCTATAATATTATGAAGACATGAGTGCCATGACTGTGGCTGTACTAAATGTATGGAAGCTGGAAACATTGAATTTTAGGATGGATCCAGTTAATTTTGTAACCTATTATTGGTATCGTTGGATAGAGCTCGTGAACCACTTTCAGGATCAGTAACCAGTTTTTGAATATCTTGTATAGTTTTTAATATTATGCGGTTTTACTAAATGTATGGAAGCTGGAAACATTGAATTTTTGGATAGATCCAGTTTATTATGTAACCTATCATTGGTACCGTTTAAAAGAGCTTGTGAAGCACTTTTAGAATCAGTAATCAGTTTTTCGATATCTTGTATAGTTTAGAAATAATCGAGTGAGATCACTTAACGTTTCCACCCTGTATTATGATTCTACAGTTACACCTATGTATTATTATGTGCAGTAAGCAAAAAAGTGTTCATAGTGTTAGTGATAATATTAAAAACATAGTGGAAATAAAATCAATTTCAAAACTTACCCGCCATTGCTCTGCGATTTGTCCGAGTCATTTCCGTCGGCCATCTTCTTCAGAGGCGCCATCTTGTCCCCCGGCGTCGATAGATTCGAACTTTGCACTTCCACTTCCGGTTCTCCTTTAACTAGAGCTTCCGTCATTTTCTCCACTGTCTCCGCTGGCCCGTTCTTCTTTTTTTCATTCACAACCATCACTATTGGTTCTATCTCTTTCTTGACTTCCACTTTTGCCTTTTCTAAAACCTCTTTTGGCGTCTCAACAGGTGTAATAATGCTGTCAACGATCTTAGTCGCTTCAGACCGCATTTCAGCTGCTGTCTTGTCCGCCTTTTTCACAGCCTCGTCTTTAATTTCTGTTAGTTTCTTTGCTACTTCATCTTTTGTCTCTTTCACTTCTGTCTTCGTTTTATCAGCTACGCTCTTGAATGTTTTGGGTGGCTCTTTTGCTTTTGCTGCAGCTGCTAAAATGTTTTCAGGAGAAACTTCAGGCTCTTTTAATATACTGTCTATTTTTTGTCTGGCGCGCTCAACTTGAGGATTGTTGTAGGGAGGCTGTAGAAGTTTTAACTTTATACTATCGTCCACGAAGACTGGCGTGGGTTCTTTAGGTTTAGGGGCAGGAGCAGGTGGTTTCTTTTCTTCTACTTTAGGCGGTTTCTTTTCATCTGTCTTCTCTTTGTCTTCAGTCGCATCCTTTGTGTCTGGTTTCGTAGTCTCGTTATCCTTTTTTGTTTCTGACTTTCCTTCATTCTGTTCATCTTTAGGTGCTAAAGAGTCTCTAGAGTTAAGTCTCTCGAAAATACCCTTTTCTCTAGCTTTTTCCAAAGCTGCTGGTAGCTGATTGGTGACGGTGGTTACTACTGCAAGTGGCTGTGAAGTGATCGCTGCCGTCGTCATGGAAACAATGTTTCTTTTCGTCATTAGTACCAGTTCACCTTTCTCGTTCGTTATCTTGTCGTATTGCGTTTCATTGTCCTGTTTCATAACTTGCTCTTCGGCGTCGGTTCCTGAATCTACGCTCGTTTTCGTTTCCACATTACTACTCCCTTTTTCATTTTTTGTTTTCTCTTTTTGAGCAGATTCTGTTTTTTTGGGAATTTTGTCATCTTTACTCGAATCTTTCTTGGTACCAACTTCATTTAATTTAGTTGTAGATTTATTTTTCTCCGTCAAATCTTTTTTGCTATTTCTCTTTGCTAGTGGAGGTTTCTCATTTAACGTTTTACTACTAGGGGTTCTTACTAAACTTTTCACACTATTGGTACGGCTCATAGGTTTTTTAGGCTCTGGTTTACTTACAGGAGCAGGTTTCTGCGTAGTTCTGGTGCTGGTTGTCCGAGCCACCGGCTTCCCTGGTACGTTGTTAGCTATTTTAGAAGAAGTGGAGGTCTTAGTTACAGTCTTTCGCTTTTCAGGGCTGGGGTCTCTACTGACAGTTCTGCTTGGCTGTCTAGAATTTAATCTAGACGTAGCAGGAGTGTTACCAGCAGTTTTGTTAGTTTTTCTAGTCGCTGGTGATGGTTTTGGTGTTGTTTTGGCAGAACTTGGCTTGAGGTCTTCAATAGGGCTTTTGTTTGGAGTACCTACGATAGGTGACAGCCTTTTTGAGTTGATAGATCTATTCGCAGGCGGTGGTCCGCCTCTTCCAGGTGATATTGGAGGTTTCCCTTTTATAAGAGCTGGACTTATAGTTAAATGTTGAGTACTTTTGCTATTTCTCTTATCGTGAACTTGGCTCCCTATCCTGATCGTTTCGTGTATACTGCTTGCACTGCTCGACATGTACTTTTGGTTTTTCAGACCATTTTCAACTGGCCGTCTACTCATAGAGCCGTCTCTTTTACTCATTCGATTAGGGGAAACGGAGTTTTGGCGTTTGGGAATTTTTGAATGTTTCGGAGATCCCTCGTTGGATTGAGGTTGCGATTTTGACACAGTTCGGATCCTAGACCTATGCGTTACAGGTTGGGCCATCCCATCCTCTGCATTTATGAATTCTTTACTAGTAGCACGAATGTTTTCGTAATGTAATATTGCCGATGGAGAGTTGGATCTGGACCTAAGATTAATTTTAGTTGGAGAATTACTTCTAGAGTTAGTCCGAGAACAGACGACGCTTCTGATGGCGTCGCTCTTTGCGTTTTTATCTAGCAAGCCCATCTCTTTGAGTAAAGCTTCTTCTTCTTCTATTCTTTGCTGTTCTGCTTCAGCTTCGTGCCTCTCTCTGTTCAATTCGCTAATTTCTCTCACTTCTTCTATGTTTTCCTTGACGAAATTTCTGGGGGAGTGTGGTCTGCTCAGGGTGGGTATGGGAAGGGGTAGGGTGGCTGCTTGGGCCATCTTGTCGATCTTGGACAAGGAGTTGGTCCTTCGTCTCGGCGGCGAGTTGGCTCGGGAGTTGGCAGCTGAGGTTTTGGGCGTGTTGTGGCGGGAGGTCTCTTCTCTGAAGCCGCGACCTTGAAATAAAGAAAACATTTAGTTAACATAGGTTGAGAAACAAAAAAGTTATTATGATGGCTAGCGATAAGACCGTCTCTTTTGTGTATTTTATACTTGTCTATTCTTGATATGTGGGTAACATTATAGTGTGTTCTATCTGTTTACTCGTATAATACAAATAGCAGTAGGTAGGTACTTGATTTCATGAATGATATGTATTCAGTAATATTCTTAGAACTTTATCTGATCATTTGATAGCAAATAGTCCAGTTTGTTAATATGCTAATTCAAAAATTGAGTGACCTCTTTACGGATTGTGTTTTGTATTTTGATTTTGATCACCATGATAATGAGGAAAAGATATTTTTAACTTGATTGCGGCAAAAAAGGGTCATGTTTTTTTAAATGTCATGTTAATTTTAAACGACTTGTCGTGCAGGGGAAGGTTGAGGGCACAAGAGCGCGCGGCAGGTCACCCATGCGCTGGACTGACCAGGTCAAAACCGCACTCAATGGTCTACTCCAAGAGTGCACAAGGAGGAATGGCGACGGATTGTGAGGCTTGCAACCGGACCGGGTGTGACGACCATGACCACTCTGGCACAAAATAAGACAGAAGGTAAACTCATGTACCTATTACTTCGCTTTGCATCGCTACGATCGGCCGACCGATGCGTACGTCCAGTCGCACTCGCATTCGTCCGATACAGTCCCAGATTACGCGTACGTGAGTGGTGTCTATGTGTGCGTTGCTCGAGCGCGCTTAGTACGGAGTTTACCTTCTGTCTTATTTTGTGACTCTGGCTCTGGCAAGTGTGTAGCGACGAAGAAGTTTAAAGAGTTGAAATCATATTACCTTTGAAAGGATTTCGCTTGTCGGATCTGATCTCCACGGGTAGCGAGCGAGGGCTGGTGGGGCGGGAGGCGACGGGCGTCTCCGTTAGTATCGCAAACGACGACTCGCGCTTTCGCTTCGATGTTGGCACCACGCTGTTGAAGAAGAAAAACACTGCTTGAAATACTTGTAAACTGAGTATAGTTTGAAGCCACGATAGCCGAATGGTGAAGGGGTCGGACTAACCGACTCGAAAACCGAGGAATGCGAGTTCGAACCCCACCACCGCTCGACTATTGTGGTGAGCATATTCTAGCTAGTACTAGCTTAGTACGAGGGGCTAACGGGACTATTTTTGTGCAATACAAATTAGTTACTAGTTAAAAAGAATGATGCTACTTAGAATTGTTAAGATCTCATAACATTTTAAAACTTTCGAGTCCCATTACATTTAAAACTGACAGTAAATGGGACTCAACACAGAAATTTCTTATGACCTTGTTGTACACGAGTACCTACTACGGACAACTACAGCGTAGTGACAAGGGGTTATTGTCGATTTGCCACAAAATCGATACGTTACGAAAAAAACATGTGTATTATAAGGAATTTTGTAAATTCAATGAATGAATGAATCAACTTTACAGCGATTTTAAATAGGTACACTAGAAAACAAAGAATTTTAAAACTTTTAGCTCATCTACAGTCAGTACCTAATTGTACTGAATATTTTACTGATATACCTATTCGTAGAGGGAATCGCCATGATAAAACGGGACCTAAAAACTTCATTCTTATGAAAACCGTAACTACGCATCGAATTTTTCTGAATGAAATGTAACAAAGCGTGATGATTTGCTGAACTTTTCCAGGATTAATTACAACACCGTGGCATAATGATAAACGACGGGTCTGCTCCTCATTCTGTAACAAATTGCAGCGGCCTACAAATTAATGTGGTGGCGTAAATTGAATTAAACTCCCCTTTTTAACGGTTATACTGGGTGGCTTTTTATATGGGACAGATAAAACAGGTAAGGTACCAAAAACGTTGTCATGGATCTTATATGCTGTATCGGAAAAAAACCGGCCAAGTGCGAGTCGGGCTCGCGCACAAAGGGTTCCGTAGCAGCAACAGTTAAATCAACCTATCTCAAAAACTATAAGAGATACTTTGATCAAACCAAAAATCGTTGAAAGAGTTAATTAGCATGCATCACCTCTATTTTTTTTAGAATTTTATACCCCGTAGTTATAAAAATAGAGGGGGGGGGACATACTTTTTACGACTTTGAGAGCTGATATCTCAAAAACCGTTCACTTTAAGAAAAATGTTTTTTAGAAAACTTTATATCATTTTAAAAGACCTTTCCATTGATACCCCACACGGGTATGTACATCGAAAAAAAATTTTCATCCCTCAGTTACATGTATGGGGGGCCCCACCCCCAATTCTTTTTTTTACTATTTAGTGTCATAATTTTGTAGCGGTTCATACAACACATATTCCCATCAAATTTCATCACTGTAGTACTTATAGTTTCCGAGTAAATCGGCTGTGACAGACGGACAGACGGACAGACGGACAGACGGACAGACGGACATGACGAAACTATAAGGGTTCCGTTTTTGCCATTTTGGCTACGGAACCCTAAAAATGGAATAGAGACTCAATATGTAGGTAGGCACATAGCACATAGCTCGCAGAGCTGATGGTCGCTAGGGCAGAAAAGTTCTCGAGTGGCGACCACGAGACGGGAGACGTAGTGTGGGCAGGCCTCCCACTAGGTGGACAGACGATTTGGTGAAGGTCGCGGAAGGTGCCTGGATGTGGGCGGCGCAGGACCGGTCTTTGTGGAAATCCTTGGGGTAGGCCTTTGTCCAGCAGTGGACACTGGACGTCATTCGGCTGAAACGAACGAACGATGTAGGTAACGCGAATGAAAGCCTTAATATTTTTCTCCTTGGCTTGTTTAAAGAGATCGCTCATTAGCTACAAGACTGCCCAAAGTTTGTTGCAAAATTACACGAAGTAGAACTATAGGGCTAACTTTGATGTGCGTGCAGTTTAACAATTTATAACAAAATAGTTTTAAAGACAAGTTCCGATGTACTTGAAGAATCTTTTAAAGTATTAATTAGTTAATAATTATAGTTGATATTGTATAATTACACTCCTGTCATGTTTGTTTTTTGTTGTTTAATAAAATATTGCTTCTCGTGTACATTTCCCGGTTGGGCGTAATTGGAACTACATTTGCAGTGTGTGTTATTGACAGTAGTTTTACAATTTAATTGAACAATTCTAACTTTTTACATAATAGGAAAATGAGCGATTACTAGTAAAAGTAACGTCAAAGTTAATTATAATATTTTACTTTCGCGTTCCATTTTCATTAAAATAAAGAAGCACGGGTCACACTCATAAAATGGTGCGCTGAGAGCCGTGTTTCTCTATTTTAATATTTAATAAAATCAAAGTCCTTGAACTTCCTATTGTCAAACGATAGGATAAGCTCAGCAACTTGATGGACCAACGACTTTAAGAAGATGATTTCCAGTGAAATGGTAAAGAAATAATTTGTATTGCCCTTTATTTAAACGAGTCATTTAGTTTTAGACTCAAAAAGCTATACAAATACAGCAATTTAAATTTGAAAAATATCAGACTTTTTAGCACTTTTAAATTAACCCCTCATGATTGATGTTAGTTGAGTGTTAGGGTTGATTGATTAAAAGCCTTCAAGTGGCTGCCGGAAGTGAATTTTTCCGGAACTGTAACGTAACCAGTTACCATTTTCAGGGAATGATAAATATTTATTCCACCAAATATTTGATTATTTTGTAGATACATTTATTTTTGCATTGTTTCGTCTTTACATTGAGAATACAAAAACAATTTTCCCAACATATTGCTAAATATGATGTCTGAATAAGTCGTTTCCCCATAACAATAGCATACATAATTTGGTTAAAAACAAAGGTTTTTCTTCGAACCCGAGTGTAACCGGAAATGGAGTGATATTACCGTGATTACCGTTCGATGGGGGTTCAGTGGGTCACAGAAATGTAACAATAGCGAAAGTGAATATGCGTGTTGTTATGTAACATTTTATTTGTTGTTATAATACCTTGTTATAGGTACTATTATGTCGAAGAAAGTTGGGTGTTCTAAGCGAAATATTTGCCATGTTTTTGGACTGTCTGAAGTTAGCACTCCTATCACTCCGCTATTAAATGAAGAGACGAAAGATGTTATTTTCTTTTTCAGAATTAACTTTATATTTATCTAACTTATGTAAGCAACACCGTCAGTCTTTAAATCGTTCGTTCGTTCGTTCGTTTCAGCCAAATGACGTCAAAGACCTCCTCCAAGGTTTTCCACAATGCACGGTCCTGCGCTGGCCGCATCCAGGCTCTTCCCGCGACCTTTACCAGATCATTGCTTCGCGATCGCCGTTGGGGCAGAAAAGTTCTCGAGTGGCGACCACGGGCTGGAAGACGTAGCGTGGGCAGGTCAGGTCTCCTACTAGGTGGACCAACGAGTCTTTAAATAATCACGAACAAATATAAATATCCTTGGAATTTTTACATCGCGCCATCTAGTCCCAACTAAAGAAATTTTATTATGTTATGTACTTATAAATAATAAACGTAATCAACTACATTTATGCTTTAAGACTCTTTCAGAGTAATAAAGATTAAACGACAATAGATCGCTGGACACGCGATAGCCTATTGACTGAAAACCACGCGAGAACAGCCGCGCATTAAAGCTAGTTTTAAATAATAATAGAGCTAAACAAATGATTTTTATTTTAATATGTTAACGTGCGAATATGACATAATTGTACTGTGTGAGACGTGGCTGGCCGGTGACATACTGGATTCTGAATTGTTTTGTGACAGGTACCGGGTTTATAGGCGCGATCGCGAATCTAGCGGGTTTCACTGCAACAAATCGGGTGGAGGAGTTTTGATAGCAGTGTCAAAGTGGTTAACATCAAGTCGTCAACCGCAATTCGAGAGCAATTGTGAGGATTTGTGGGTTAGCGTGGATATTTGTGTAGACAATCAGGTAGATAAGCTAATGATATGCAGCGTATACTTACCACCACCTATTCAAAAACACATTATTGAACACTTTTTCGACAACGTGAATAGAATATCTGTAAACTTTAAAAAAACGTTAATATTAGGCGATTTTAATTTGGGTGGTATACACTGGCATGGTCAGCCTGGGTCGCCTCTTACCGCATCAATTAGCCATAAAAGTGTGTATGAAAATATGCTCTCTGACTTTATTGCTTATCACGATTTAAATCAATATAACTGGATCAGGAACAGTAAGGATAGGATATTGGATTTAATTTTGTCTAATATGTCGGTGTCCGGTATGCGCGTTAGTGAAACCCCTCTAACTAACATCGATACGTATCACCCACCATTGGAATGCGAGTTACAATGTAGCACTTCACACTGTGTTCTCACTAAACAAGAACCTAGGTTTAAATTTTATAAAGCAGACTACTCTAAAATAATTGCCGCATTAATGGAAATACAGTGGCATGATTTGCTCTCGCAGTATTCTAGTATTGACACAATGGTATCTGCATTTTATAATGTTATCAATGACATTATTAGGAAACATGTTCCATTGTCTAAGTCCAACTCAGATAAATACCCAAGGTGGTACAGTAAGTGTTTAATTAATGCTCTCCGTGAAAAGAATAAATATCGTAAGCTTTTTTCCAAATATATGAACCCGCTAGATGACTTAACATATCGTTTACTTAAGAAGAGATGTACACAACTCACACGTATGAATTATAAAAAATACATTGCATCGATCGAGTCCTCTTTAACTGCAAACCCTAAACTGTTCTGGTCTTTTTTAAAACAAAAACGTAATGGCCTCAGTTCGTATCCCTCGAGCATGCACTATTGTAACCAAATTGCAACTCAAAGATCAGATATATGTGAATTTTTCGCTTCATGTTTTTCCGATGTATATGAAAATAGCGATAAGCTCGATACTTTGCGACCAACTATCCCTGACAATCCTGATTCACATTGCTTAAATAGTATATCTTTTTCGAAAGATGCCGTTGAAAGGGTTTTAAAAAGACTTGACCCACATAAGGGAGCAGGGTCA